TATTTGACAAATATCTTTTATAAAATGGCGGTCGGTGGGTAAAAAGGATGTTGTTGCCATTTCAAAAACTGAAATAGTCTTGGTAAATTTTCAAATGCCAGTTTTAACCGTGTCAAAACCGACATGTCGGTACCACTTTTTACGACTTTTTTGAAAAATAAACTGTATTTAAATGATCATAAAACTTAATTAAAAAACTACCGGCGACAATAGCTATATCAGTGTATTTTCAAATGCTATCCTAGTAGAAAAAATTACAGTATCGCCTTCCGACATCGAAGAACACGAGTGGGGGACAACATCAAAATGTGAACCCTTGGTATATAAAAATGGTCATTATTTAAATATTAACGCAAAGTAATAAGATTTTTGTTTAAACTTAACTAGTTTAGAGTGTGTTTAATGCTTTTCAATCATGAAAATAATTTTTGAGACATAAATTATATTTTTTATTATATTTCAAACACGGGGGACAGCTCAATAGTGGGGGGTACACCTTTTTTGGAAAACGCTCTACTACAGTTAGAGACATATTTTTACACGTAAATACGACATAAATCATATCGTGTCGACTCTGTAACCCATAATAAATGTATGAAACCGATGCGTCACGACACGCCATGACATGACACGTTAATATGTTTATGCCTTCACAGTCAACTAAATTGTTTTTTGCCTAAAGTAGCCACTTTTTAAGGACTTTGCATAGTGTGGGCTAGTGTGGGCACTATTACAGCTACAGATAATTATAGCAGAAAATTCTGTGAAAAGGTTGCATAACAATATGCCCTTTTCGAGTATAGTGTACCTTTACTTGATCTTCACGTCAGCGTACAAAAAGTATTAGTTCGGTTCGTTCGATTTAGGGGCCCTGGACACGATACGATGTTTTTGAAATTGACAAAAAAATAAGTAGTGCAAACTATGCGAAAACGGTATCACGAGATTAGGATACAATAGGCATGCCTTGCTAGCTAATTTATGTTATCTTCACATGGCATTTCATATTTGCTAATTGTAATCTTAATGTCGGCACTTCACTTGGCTTGTAAGCTTGATATCAGTCTGTCCTTTTCATCCCATAAAAAACATGATTAGGACTAGGACAGACTGTTGTAGGTCAACAGTCTCTCCTTTTTATTGTCTACAAAGCATGATAAGAATATGAATAAGTTGTGTACCTATTCGTCACTTACGCCGGCGCCGCCGCAAAGTCAATGTACTTTGAATTTTTATGAAACGTTTCTCATTACCTAGGCGACTTAATGAAGCATTAAATGAATTTGACGTTTCTAAGTTAATTAGTTAAGTTTCTTTTCTTTTTGTGTTCTGCTCTTCGGTTGGAAATGGGCTGGATATTCTCTCAGCCGTCAGAAACGTCAAAAATTTCAAATTAATTTAACGTTATCGCAAAAAGTTGTAAGTCAAATTATCAATGTTAGCCAATCTTTACACACATAAAAAAGTTTATTGATTTACCTGATTGGGGCAGTTTAACGATTTAAGCTCCGAAATTAAATCAAAAAGTTTCCTTTTTGATTTGAGGAAGTCCGTTCAAAACTAGCTATTTACATTTTGAGCTCGTTTTGTTCTTTTTTCGATTCGGGCTCGAAGACGTGATTTTTATGAATTTCGTAAATAAATTTAATCAAAACTTGTTATTTATAGGTTCAAATACAAATCAAAAATATGAATTTTGCTCAAAACTTGCTATTCACATAATTTAAATATATTTTATTTTACGATTATAGTTTCTAATCATAATGGTCTATTTACTTTATTCTTTCGTTGAATTGATTGAGATGTTGAACAAAAAAGTTTAAATACTGCGTTGCGTGGCAGCATATTATGACTATATGAAAATGAATATGAAAAGATATTCTAAGCTTGGCAGTATGGCTGGATTCATATCTATACTTATAATAAATCTGTAGAGATGTCAATTCTGTACATGAAATATATTTTTAAAATAACTATCAGGGGGTAATTAGTGATCGATACTGATGCCAAAAATGCAATCAGTAAGATTTTTGTCTGTCTGTCTGTGTGTATGTTCCTTATAGAAACAAAAACTACTCGACGGATTTTAACGAAGCTTGGTACAATTATTCTTCATACTCCTGCCCCTCTAGCATGACCACCGAAACGGGATATGATAAAGCGATATATCGACATTAACTGTCAGACTACTGTCAAACTCCATAGTAGTCTGACAGTTAATGCCGATATATCGCGGCTTTATCATATCCCGTTTCGGTGGTCAGGCTAGAGGGGATGGGCAGGTTATAGTATACTTTTCATCACGCTACAATCAATAGAAGCAGAGTAGTGAAGGAAAATGTTGGGAAAACGGGAGAAGTTACTCCATTTTTTAAGCTTCAGTCGCGTGTGCAACCTTAATGGTTAAAGTTACATAGAAATCATGTATGACGGAAATATTCTACATAAAATTGTCTAAAAAATATCCTGCAACAGCATATGTTTATCTTTTATGATTGACTCACAATAACACGTGTAATTATATAAATAAAATTGTTTATAACACAAGCCTGAGAACAAAAACTATAGTTTACACTACAGCTCTACACCGAAGCGAAGCGAAGGCCGGCCACTAGTGTTTACAATAAGAATCTTTTGTTTTGACGTTTTAGCGCGTAGGTATGTGGTTTGTTGTTCAATGTTGTGTTGGTAGCCGCTCAAGTGTAGAATTTTATCATAACTTTTATAATGTATCTGTCATCTGAACCTATTGATCAAGTGCTACTAAATAGAAAACTTCTAGGCATGGACGTATAAAAAAAGGCGGACAGAATTTCGGCTAAGACAATACTGAGGCACCGTAATGGCGGCGGCTATTGATGAGTGAGTGAGTGAATTGTAGGGTTGCTAGGTTAGCCAATTTTTTACCAATAAAACATAGTAAAAAGATGAAAATATTTTAATTGTACAAAATTTTACTTTTTGCCCGACTGCGGAGGAAAAAAAAGTATAAGTATTTTTATAACCCGTCAAACGAGGTATCAAAGTGAAGGGTTTTAAAAGAATATTAAGAAAACATACAATTCGTGTAATTAAAATAAAAATGAAATTAAAATGTAGAAAAGAAAAAAACCCTTACTGAAAATAAAAATACAAGTCCAGTTGTCTATAATTCTGTTTCATAACGAACAAAGTTACTTTAACAGTCGGGACTCATTAGAAATTCTAGAATGTATCGAATTTTCTCAATATTGGGTAAATCAACTAAATATATCTATATTATATCGAGGCCTGCATTCTCTTTCATATTTCTTAAAATAAACTAACACCCATTGAGTACTGTTTGTAATTGAGGAGTTCCATTGTTTTTCTCCGAAAGTACTCATCAGATCTCCAGTAAATTAAGATGCAGCCATCTCGCTACTAAACTGATTAAAACAAAAAAAGAATCATCATAAACGGTCCACGAATCACGGAGATCTGCGCGAACAACAATAAAAAAAATGGGTGCGTGTACTTATGTAGGCGCGTGAGAAGTTATCCTTCTTTGGCATCGTTTAAAATTAGTTTTTAATTGCATGCAAATAATTAATTACAATAAATTAATAAAAAGTCTGGAAAAGGACACAGTCAATAAAGTTCAGTTTTAATTTGAAAAAATAAATAAATAATCAAAATATTCAATTAAAATCGCTACTGAATATAATTTATTAGAACATATGTGATTTGCACTTGTATGAAACTCAAACACGTATTCCGAATATACAAACTAGAAACATGTGGATAAATATTATAAATATGAATACCTATGACTGTTACTTTATTACAAAAAATAAAGATGTGGTTTTTGGTTCTACTACACCAATGGTCAAGAGATGGCGCTGTAGTCTCCTGAATCGCGCTTTGGTTCCGTTGTTCCAGATTAATAATATTCAATTAAAATCGCTACTGAATATAATTTATTAGAACATATGTGATTTGCACTTGTATGAAACTCAAACACGTATTCCGAATATACAAACTAGAAACATGTGGATAAATATTATAAATATGAATACCTATAACTGTTACTTTATTACAAAAAATAAAGATGTGGTTTTTGGTTCTACTACACCAATGGTCAAGAGATGGCGCTGTAGTCTCCTAAATCGCGCTTTGGTTCCGTTGTTCCAGATTAATAAATACTTTTGATAGGCCTTCACAATGCAGTCGTTAACACCCACAAAATAGAGATTCTATTTCTATTTTGGTGGTAGATTTTCTTAATGTGCGGTAAACACAAAAGTAACAGCATGAAGTTGGTCGCTTAAGCGACTTCATGCTGTTAATTTTTTGTGTTACAGTGATGCGCGCTCATCTTAAAATTTCACTCTCATAATTTTTTCATAACGCGCCTAAAGAAGTATAACTTCAAAAACAAATATGACGCATTGCGAACCTCTTTCTTTTCGAAGTCGGTTAAAAATTTTAATCAACCTTTTGAGGTAATGCATACGTAATAACACGCCGGAGTCGTCCTTTAGTAGTATATAAGTCTTGAGCTTCAAAATGAAGACTAAAAATGACACTACTACATATTTGTTTGGAAATCATTCATTATCCAGTCATTTCTCCATACTACATTTTCTTTAGGAAATCTGATAAAAAAGAATAATAAATAATAGATTGAAGTTAATGTCAACCCAATTTCCCATATTTTAGGTAATATGGTTATATGAACATTGGCAACACTGCTTAGAATTAAAATTGATTTCGATTTCTAAAAACTAGAAAAAAGTGATTCAATTATTCATTTACCTATGAAACGTGATTCCTGGATTTTTTTTTCTTTCGGTCATTAACAGTTTTTACACCTTTTTACAAGCAAGATATCTTGTTTAGCTTATTTTTAACTCCACGTAACGTGTCGGCTGCTTTGACGTTTGCATGCGTAGTGGCTGACTATAGTGTGAATTTGTGCGTGCCGGCTTGTACGTACAGCGACCTGGCCGACTCTGAGCGACACAGTTTATTGTTTACCGGGACTCTGTCCGCCTTTTTTTATAAGTCCATGCTTCTAGGTATATATAATTTGATTTAAAAACTGTTGTTTAACACTAAAATATGTGAGACATGAGAATAATCAAACACTTTTATACCATATTTTTATGGAATAAATAATAATTATTATTATATGTCTACGAAAAAAATTGACCAAGACATATTACTTGACTCGGCTACTCACTCCTCGCGATCCACAAAGAAGAGGAAACTATGTGCCAAAATCAACAAGAAAGAAAGTTAATCGTATTCTGAGTGCTGTCTATTATGTATGCAAGAACATTTCTCATCAAAAACAGATATTTACAAATATTTTTTTATCAAGTGTCTATTTACTACCATCTGCATCAAAAGTGTCTATTTACAAACTTCTTAATTTTTTTAAAGAATAATAATCAAAGTATTAAAAACGGGGGGGCTGATGTGTGCCCAAGTGTACGTTGTTGGGTAACTCACGTCTGCCGTCAAGTGTCACTCTTAGTGTCGCCGCACACGGGCCACGCGCCACAGCCACAAACGCCGCCACGAGAAGCTAAAAGCGGCTACTAAAGTGGCTGAAGCGCGCGACAGCGGCCAACTAAGGTAAGGGAGAGAGGGGTGGGGAATCGCGCGAGTGACGTGTGGCGGCGTTTTGTATAGGCGCATTAAGTGGCCGGTGCGGGCCACAAGAAGCGAGCAACGACGATTTGTAGCGTGTGGCGACCCACGGCGTACCGTGTGTGGCGAGTCCATAGAAAAAGTATGAAAACTACAAGTAATATGCCGGTGGCGGCGTTTTGTGTTTGTGGTCAGTGGCCCGTCTGCGGCGACACTTACGTCCACGTCGTTCACCCCGGTAATACCTGGATCTGTAAACGTACACTAATATCTACCCTGGGATCCTCGTAGCTGAATTTAGTAATGCTATCCCATTGATGCACTCCAACATCATGGGAGATACTTCCTGTGATCCGTAGTCCTTTCTTTCCAATTCCAACTAATCGTTTAGCCCCTTCTTCATCCTAAATCCTGTCACTCCCCAAGGCCGAACCTAACAAAGGCTCTACCGGGAAATGGGAGGCGGCGCGGTAGACTATTAGCCTCTCCTGCGCTAAGGCCTGCGCAGTTGAGCGCCGTAAGGGGGGATGAAGGAGTACTGGAGGGTTGAGTGAAGCGAGGTCGGCGGTAGTAACTTCGCGACACAACACACCCTCTTTGGTCCGGATTTCAACAGAAACGGCAGCCTCTTTGGGTAGCGCCAGAGGGGATACGGTCACGCGTCCCATCAGAGGGCCGCAGCGAGGAGTGGAGGGGTCTGGGGCGGTTTGCCGCTCTAATTGGTTAAGCTCATGCTGACGAGGCACGGGTGTGTGGAACAACTGGGGTACTCTGAATCGGTAACCCAGCCATACACTTCGAGCTTCCAATGTCGCACCTGACACCTCTCTGCTCCTATATCCAGTCGGTAGTCCTAGTGCACCACTATGGGCACTCCCAAATGTGCGGGCTCCAAGGAGGGTGGGAATCCGACTGGATGAAGTTATACACCACGAACAATGGACACACACACAGGTTCAAAGTTCTACCAACACCCGATGGGAAACCAGAGGGCACAGCTGCTCGCTCGCAAACCGAGAAATCGGAATGCTTGCTTGAGGAAAGCTCTTCTACACCTCAGATCGAGGACACACACAAACTGCTGGAGCCGAAGTGGACGGTCGTGGCTAGGAAAGGAGCGAGGAAGGTAGAAGCAACTCGGACCCCCGCACCATCCGGCCAGGCCTCCACGCGTATGGAGAGGCAGAGGGAGCGGACGCGAAGAAGACGGCAGCTCAAACGGGTCTCCCGTGACCCCTTAAGACGACGGCGACCGGGACCGCCCCAAAATCCTATGCGGCGGCTGCAGCCTCCTCGGCTCTCATCAGATGCGCCGTTACGTCGAAGACCGGGTTCATCTCGAGATCGACGGCGGAGCTGATTGAGGAGAAGCTTGAAGAAGCCTTTTTACAGGTGGCGATGAGCACAGAACGTCCAGCCTGTTTAAGGGAGGGTCTAGCGTTCAGTGAGAAATCCCTCTATGCGGACGGGTGCCTTCGCTTCACGTGCACCAACAACGCTACGTTTATGTGGTTCCAACAGGTAATATGAGACATCCATGACTCGGAGCTGGGTGAGCTTGTGGTCCTCCGGGACGACGAGATCCCCAAAAGAGTTAGGTATGGTTTTGTGCTGCCCAAGCTCTGGTAGCACCATCAAGTTTTGCTAGGCAAATGCCTGCAGATCGGGAATCCGGAGCTGAAACCCGAACGTTGGCTGCTTAACGGCATCCAACAGCAGCCTACCATCGGGGCCACATTCGTTGTGGTTTCGATCCCTGAGGACGTTGTGCCTGCGATCCTGGCTAGGGGACGCCGACTCAGCTTCATGTTTGGGTCGGTGTACCTGAAGATCAGGAACGCCAAGAGGAAGTACGTCGACACTCCGCCGACGTCCGACCCCTCAGCACCACTTGGGGCTCTAACCACGGCGGCCGTTACACCAGCGCCCCCAACACCATCGACATCCAGCGCTGGCCCCACGGACACTGTCGTCCCACGCGCCCCGTCATCGGGTGTCGAAGTTCAGAATAAACGAAGAATAAAGAAGAGAAGAATAAAACAATTCCTTCGATGCTTTTATAAATAACACAAATATGTCGTTCAAAATCAAATAACAAATGCCTCGGCAACACTTCTCATTCGTAACACTGTAAAATCATTTTTTCTCAAAAGTCACGGTTTGTCGTGAATGTTATTTACGAATCGCCATTTTGTTATCAAGAAAAGGACAACAAACAATACAGCTCAGCCGTACGCACTCGGAAGCCGATTCGCCGTTTCGCTCGGCAGGGCCGGATTTAGAGGTTCAGAGGCCTCGGGGCAACAGAGGAGCGGTGGCCCCCTCACCCCAAATTATTTTCCAAATAAAGTAAACAATTTTTTTTCAGTTGAGTTTTTCAATAAATAATTTATTGTAAACCAAGTAGATTCCCTTAGTATTGAACAAACACATATAAATATAAACGAAAACAAGAATTATCTGAAATTAAATCTTAGAGTTAACGAACGGAACCTTTCGAGCTTTTTTTCCGAAGTCTCTATTGTGCCCCCCCCCCCCCCCCCCCCCCCCCGTTTGTGGAGGCCCCGGGGCTTTCGCCCCGGTTGCCCTCCCCTAAATCCGGCAGTGTCGCTCGGTCTGCGTTGAAGCGTACAGTTCTGTCTCGCTCGCTCGATTGAATTATATTTACATACGTGTGCGTGTGTGAGAGTTGCTTATGTAGTCGAGGCTTATCATATTTTATTTGATGCTAGTATGAGCGTAGGTACCGTATCTTCCCTTTTTGTTTTAATCTAATGCTAGCACTACACTCTCGCCGAGGTTAAATTAAACGAGGGAATGCGAGCACGAGAGAGAGAGAGAGTAGTGGGTACCCTCGCGTCACATCGCCGCGCCTCGGCTCGTCTCGTCTGTCCTCCGACTGGAGTCGGTTTTTGGGCGCGAGGTACGAGGCGAGGGGGGACGAGGCGAGGCGCGGCGTCCACATTCTCGCCAGTGTTGCCACCTTGGTGGTTTTTCCACCAGAACTGGTGCTTTTTCACGGCTCCTAGTGGTATATTTTCATCATCTAGCGGGTAAATTTTTTTAGTGGTTTTTTAACATGAAATCTAGCAACATATTTTTAAGGGGGAATGCCCTAACTTTCCGAAATTTCATAATGTTCTATGTGGTTACTCACAGTTATTTCTGTAGTATCTCATACATACTCACTGGTTTTTTATTTAAATTAGGGTTTTTTGTTATCAGAGATGTAATGTAATTTAGCGGATTTTGGTGTATTTTATTAAATCTGGCGATTTTGACTTTTGACTTGGAGCCTTAAAAAAATCCAAGGTGGCAACACTGATTCTCGCGTTTATTTAATCGGTATGCCACCGGAAATTTTAGTGAGATTGAGTAACATTTTTTTGGAGAGTTTTTATTAGAAAAAAAACGATAAAAATACTCACATAGTAATCGTATTTTCACCTGAAAAATAAAATTGTTACTTATATCTTGTTCTGTGACGGTGTAAAGATCTTATCCACCATCGCTTTCTTCGCCAAGGCTTTTTAATTTTATAAGTGAACTATATGTTATCAAAAATCATATACGCAAAAACGCATTAAAGTCGCGGCACTTGCCACTTCGAGCACGTTCATTATGCTGGCGCACAGAGAGAATTGAACAGAGGCGATAGTGAAGATGGATACTGTCTCGTGTCACCTCGTGGTGGTGACACGAGAAAGTATCCAGGTGTCCAGGTGACACAAGGCGAGTCACACGCCTCGCGTAAATTCGTGCAACCTTGCCTCGCCTGACTTCGACGATAGTCAGATAGATCTAGGTTGAAGGAAGGAAGGAAGGTTGAAGCGTATCATTCTGTCTCGATCGGTCGATTGAATTTATATAAATGTGTGTGTGTGTGTGTGTGTGTGAGAGAGAGAGAGAGTAGTTGACTCGGAGCATTTTTAATTTGAGGCAAGTAAAGAGCGTACCGTGTCTTCCCTATTTGATTTAATCCAATTTAAACAATAACAGGCATAATTGGGACATAAGTATAATGCGATTCAAATAAGAATAGGAAAGCCAATGACCTCCATCTATCAAACGTCACTTGAAAAGTACGGCTTGCAAAAAAGTCTTGGAACCCTTTTTTAGCACCCACCTAATTCTAGAATAAAAACCAAACATTTGTAAACAAACAATAACAAATATTGATAATTAATATTGTTTGCTATTTTTTTTCATTTATTGAGCTTTGGCTATGACTGGTTGATAACCTAAATCGTCAACCAAATGTCACTTTAAGTTGCGTTCATAAACTCGATTTAAAACTTTCGTTTACTTAAAGGATGCATGTTCATATGTGACCTAGTAATAGTGCATGATTATTATTCATAACTACTCCGGCGGAAATGCAGAGATAAGCGGATTTGAAGAGCTAGATTATGATTAATGTTTTTTTCTCACACAGTCTTAATAAATAAATATTATTAAATGAATATTGCTTTTTTTTCTCAATCTTAGTAAATATATTTTATTAAAATATCTGATGTTTTATCCTACTTAATCTAAGTAAATAAGTTTTATTATATTATATATTACAAAAACTTTTTTTGCTCACTCTACCTATTTGGTTTGAATTGACAGCTATGACGTCACAATATGACGCCCAGTCGGTCCTATTCTTAGTTGAATCGCATTTTAAAGACCCTAAAGAAAAATAAGTAAAAAATTTATACATAGCAAGCAACAGGTAATTTTGAATAAGTATTGACCATCGACAAAAGAATGCTTATTTTTTTCCTAGTAAAATTTTCTATAGATTTAAACATCCAACAGTTAAATGCTTAAAATAAATACAAATAAACAATAAGAAATAAGTTTATGGCATGTAGGTACTTTATTTATTGAAATATTTTTGCCACTGTAAATACAATTGGAATGGATTTATGTTTATATTTTGCAGACATATTTCGCATTATGTAATACAGTAATACATACATACATTATCAATATCTATAATATTTACACTTACCAACGGAGCTATAAAGTAATGTCTCGATTTCTTGCTTATTTAAAACCTTCGTTATTTTCATTAGGTGTACATCCCATTTAACTTATAATAGCTACTATCTTAAAAATATTAAAAAAAAACCCAGACTTGATATACAGTTTGAGGCCAATAAATATTTAGTTTAATTTCAAGATACAATTGACTAAAAATTGTGAAGACAGTAGGTATTATTACCTAACAATGCTGAGTATGAAACCCGAAGCCTTATCGCTAACGGTTTTTGACAAAAGGAAGTTAAGCCACCGAGCTATTGATCCACTACTGCTTTATTATAACGCCACGAAGATACGTATCCTGGTGACATATTCGCTAAATTTTTTAACATTTACAATGTTCACTGAACGTTTTTGAAAGAAAGAAGTGATAATTACCGATATTTGCTATTGACAGTGTTCTTTAATTGTTTGTAGCGAATCAAGCTAAATTCGTTGTGCAAAAATATAAAAACGGAAACAATTCATACAGTTCAGGTACTTAAAAATATCTTTCCATCAATCAATCATAATTACCTATGTACATTTTTTTTATTTTATTACTTCTTAACTATGTATAATATCAACATAACAATAGAAAACAAATAAAAATTCACTAACATGGAAACTTAATACTAAACTAGCACATGAAGTTTACTTAAAGTCGATTGAGACAAACTGCAGAACTTGAATGGATAAAAAGTAATTTACATGATTTTTTCAAGTGAAAGTGAAATAGGATTAGTTCAACGTTCGTTATCATTACATGACGTCTTTGTAATCTTAAATTAAATTACCACTAAGATTTTGATGCCAGTACTTCACTTGGCTATTCGTGTTTGGTATTTCTAAACTAAATAAAGTATGAGTAAAGTGCCGACATGAAATTAATTACAATATTAATAGTACCGACCGTTTGTGTAAATAAAGCACCAGAAATATTTTCAATTTAAAAAGTCTGTTAATATCTTTTCTTAAGTACATTAAACTTAGGGAAGATGCATATATAATATTTATGATAATTTTATGATTAAAATGTTAAAAAAATATAAAAGAAATGCCACTGCAACTTTTTTATTTTACATAATGTTGTTTTTTAACAATTATTACGAATTAAAAATACTTGAAACGGAACGTATTTTAAAACACCAATCAGCGTTTAGTGACGTCACTCCTGTTATGACAACTTCTTTGAGGTTATGGTTGTTAAAGTAAATATTATTTTATGGGAATATTTATTGCGTTTTTTTACATTTAATAAAAATGAGAGTTGCGTTTATCAAAGCAGACTCCAGGAATTTACCAAGAGTTAGCGTTGACATGGTTATAACTTTTTTTGTCCAAAGTGCAGAGTTTTTAAGTGTAGAAATGAAAGGGACTAAATTACTACGGTATGTAAAAATCGTAGTTGTTAAACTTCGTATTTTATTTAGCGGCTTCTACAAATCTTATGGCGATAATGCAATCGGCTATGTCCAAATTAAAAGAGATGGAGAATTATGTACAGTAGAAGGTCGAGTTCTCCGGAGCATAAAGTACGTAAAGAAGGATATCGTGTTACAGTTATTTTAAATGAAACGCAAAGCTTAGTTCAGTCCTGCCAATGTGAAGATTGTGCCACACATTTTAAACTTTATCTAATTTTCGTCGTCATTCTCCAACTGTAAAATTAAAAATATGTTATAGACAGGTTATGTAAATATTAGGTAGGTTACTAATGCGTTTTTACGTACAAGCAGATTAATTAAGCATATAACAAGTATATTCGCCGACTTACGTCAAAGTGATCTTCTCAGCATCGAATAATGGTCTTTGGAGAATAATTATCATTTCTCTTCGCAGCTTCGCAGCAAAAAAGTGGTTTCACACTTTTTTTCAGTTTTGGGTCAGAAGTTCCAGTCAAAAACATTTTATTTGGGAACTTTGTTGAAGTAGATTGGCACAAAACAAGAGTAAACACACCTTTTTTTCGGAATATTAGTGGTATTGTTATGATCACATGATGTTGATGGATAGTCCATTTTAAACTTTTCAAAAAAAATATTTCGAAAGTCGAAAAAATATGCAAAAGTATGAAAATTTAAAGACAGCAACGAACAAGTACGAGCAGTGACAGACAGGAGTGACGTCATCGCAACCATAGGTTCGTTTTCGCGCGAAAATTTAAATTGTCAATTTAAAACCGCATTTTTTCCGATAAATCACAATGTTTTAATTTTTTAATATATCTGTGGTTTATTCTACATGGAATTCTATAAAATGAAAACAAAAATAAAAATATTGCATCTTCCCTATGTCTGCAGTGACGTCTTTGACCCATTGGAGGCCCTGGGCATATTAGGATACTGGGGCCCCTTTGCCCCCGTTTGGTGATTTAATAGGAAATAGGGCCTTTGTATTTTCCCCTACCGATCGCGGGGCCCTGGGCACTTGCCCCAAAGTGCCCACTGGGAAAGAGGGGTCTGCCTGTCTGGGGAGCTAACCTGCACCTTACAGAAGATCACAGTGAAGTAACATTTGTGTTGCTTCTGGCATGATTCTCTAAACTTAAAACTAAATTTAACATCAGTCTCTCCTTTTCATTCTTTATGGAGAACTAGCGGCCGCCCGCGACTTCGTACGCGTGGAGTTAGTTAGAAATAAAGGTTCACTGCTCGTTCCCCCTAGGTGATAGCATGATAATATGTAGCCTTTATGTTGACCCGATTTCTTAATAACATTCGTGCCAAATTTTAAGTAAATCCTTGCAGTGCTTTTTGAGTTCATTCCGGACATACATACAGACAAACGGACAAAAATACTTAAAACTATATTTTTGGCTTCGATATCGATTGTAGATCACACCCCAAGTATTCTTTTAAAAAATATTCAATGTACAGTTTTTCCTACCATTTTCTTTTAAGTATAGATGAGAACGATAAACTATTGTCAAATTTAAGTTTAGGTTTAGGGAATCATGCCAGAATCAACACCATTATCTTTTTGTAGTGTTGTTTCTGCCATTGAGTAAGGATGGGGTCAGGGTAGCCAACGTTCTTTGATACATAAAAAGTTAGGTACATAAAAATACGTTTTCTTTCTCTCACTTCTAGAATGCCAGCGAAGATAAATAAATTTGTCCATTCACTGTTAAGACAGAGTCACAGGCCGAATTACCCAAAACTGTCAAATTTCTCCAACAGACTTTAAGCTTTATAAAGCTTTTTATATAAGTTTTAAAATCAAGCGAGAAAATTGTAAAGATTGTAGTAACTTGATGAGAGATGAGTCTATACATATTATCATTGGTAAAAATATGTGACTTTTTTTTGGTTATTTAGGTACTAAGAAATATGAATAATATCAGTATATTCACTGATATTCGTTTTTTTAAACAGTAATACCTTATTTATTAATTAGTATACTTTAAGAGTACCTACTTTTTAGATTCATTCTATTTTAGTAGGTAGGTATTAAATTTTAAGTGTGAGTTGCACCACAGAGCTAGTAAAAGTTAAATTATACGGCTTCGCTTAGACAGTTAATGGTGACGATTCTGGTATGATTCTCTTACTTAAAACTTAATTTAACGTCAGTCTCTTCTTTTCATTCTGTATAGACAATGACAAGGATACACTGTTGTCAAATTAAAGTTTAGGTTTGCAGATTCATGCCAGAATCGACACTACTGTCACTGTCGAATGAGGGTTATCGTTTTTTGTCTCACCAGATGGCGCCACTGTTGAGTGAGGTCCTGAAGTGTAGCTTTTAAAGTTTGTTAATACGCCCGTGATATTACTCTTTACTTTTTAATCATATTTTAATACAAAAGATGCGGTATCGTTAACATAATTATAGGCCATGTCACAGTGTTGCGCAGATCCGTTTTGTTTAGAAAAAAGGAGGACATACAAAATTTTCTTAGCTCCGCTTTTAAATAGCTGACATTCATCGACATGTAACCCATATTTATTAGTAGTAATTAATCTGAGTTACTGCCAAATATTCACAACATTATTTTAATTAGAAATAAACCCGTGTAGTCAACCCACAAGCAATATAATAATATTTGACGTTTTTGAGACCTCACGCTACACAAGCGCCGCTAGCGGCGGATTCATACGCGATAGCCCCATAGAGGTATAAGAATAGAGTAGGGGAGGTATAGACTCTACTACAAGTGGAAGTGTCCTTCTAATAGAAAGAGAAAGAAGATGTGAGACCGCTAGCTTTCTCTCTCTAATCGCGCATGCGCATTGGCAACCGTAACCATCATACGATTTCGATATGATGCCATTGGATGCCATGCAAGACAAGAGAGAGAGATAGCTAGCGGTCTCTCTTCTTCTTTCTCTTTCTACTAGACGGACATTTTTAGAGCCGCCTTCCCCACTCTATTCTTATACCTCTATGGGTAACCCTCATTATAACCTCATTTTTACTAACGTTAAAATGGTGCAACCCATTTTTTACATTACCAATATTTTAACTGAACAGTTGAAGTTAAACTAAGCTGTTAAAACTCACGCTAAGTGTTTATGCTGCCTACGCAGAAACAATTTAGGCACCGTTTCTATGCATGACTTTACTATTTTGAATATCTTCCCGTTTTAATTAAAATATACTAAGTGAAATGTACTAAGTCTACATATATTTTTGCTACATGCCACTACACATAAAATCGCATTTAAGCTGTTTGATTGTATTGTGCTTTGAAATTAATTTTCTTACAAATGCTTAATGCGCACCATCATACGATGACATTATAATTAATAAAAAATTTGCAGATAAGTTAATTAAAAATAATGGACATGCGTATAAATACTAATAAAATGCACTAAAAAGATAAGCAATCAATTCAAAACATCATTTCACATTTTCATCATTATTGCAAATTGCAAGAATAATATCAAATTCGAGTTTCTCATTTCAAGAAAAATAATGTCAGAAATATGTTAAAATACTTGAACAGATAATTAGTAAAAACATAAGTATTTTGACTCAATACAAGTTTACAAGATAGCATAAAAGATTTTACATCTAAAGATTTGACTGTAATTTTCAATTGTATGTATTAAAAATGCATTTCGCTAATACAAACAGCTTTCGTAGTTATACTTAATTAAATAATAAAATACAATCGTTGAAATATCCCATAAAAAAACAGTCTTAGGTTAAAGTGTAGCCCCAGTCTTACGCCTTAAATACATTCATATTTAAACATACATTTTGTATAAATATTAAAATTTGTATTTATATTCCAGAAAATGGACATACTGTTTAACATTGGTGCTGCTGAAAATTGTGTACTGACAAAACTCCAGTCGAAATGGAATCTTAATTACTATGTATATTATACATCGTATTAAAACTAGTATAAATACCTACAAATTAAAATTATGTACAATCTACATTTTGTACAAAATGTATGCAATAGATACATACTTCGATATTGGCAACTTTAAAAGAATACTCCTCTTGAACACAACTTATCAATGGAGATTACAAAATAATAATTATGAAGTATTTCTTTTGCTTTCTTTATTTGGAAAAAAATTCATTTGCCTATTTCAGTTGTTGCTTCAAAGAATTTCCCATTACGATACAAAAATAATAATAATAATAATAAATATTCAAAGTACAATCATAATAAATATCACAGATGCCTAAGGAAGATATTACATATCATAACATCCTACCGTTGAGGTATTGCAATTGTATTTAAACACCTATTCAAATATAAATAAATAAAACCGCACAATCTTAGAGCGCTGGTCTTTTTCTCAGATTAATACCTCAGATTGCCACTTCTCCATAAGTCCTTGATAATTTGCCCCTTCATACTTGAAAGTAATCACTAACGGTGGCGTCAGCACCATTACTAATACTGTTTTTTGGTTCCCTGTTGCCGGCCACGTTGATTTTTTCATACCCCGCTGAAGAGTCGGATCTGTCAACACCGCTACTGGTACCCATTTCATTGTTCACCTTCTCGTAAGGCGGTTCTTTGTTCGACAACTCGAAGTACTTAACGCTCTCGTAATTAGGGTCCTTTTTCGACCGCACCGAATCGTATTTGGAATCTTTAGACCGCACAGACTCGTATTTGGGGTCTTTACATCTCAATGACTCGTAATTGGGATCTTGTGCGTTCACACTCTCGTAATTGGGATCTTTGGGCCGTACCGATTCATAATTTGGATCAGATTCGCTCCCCGTCGTGTATAAAGGGTCGTGCGGCATTGACTCGTAGTTCGGTTCAACAGTAGGCTCGTCGTTATTGTTCGCCGGCCAATTGTTATATTTGTTCGGTCTTTTATTAACTGCCGAGTACGTAGGTTGCACTTTATAGTTGGGCGCTATCGTGGCATACGGCGGCGTAGGAGGTTGATTCCTCAACACTTCGTAGTTCGGATCCGAATCGGAAGCGTTATTGTCAGTCTTCGCGATATGCTCGTATCCAGCGTCACTGCTCATTATGCTATTGGGACCACTGTCTACGTTAACATGATTCAACTTTAGCAAGTTATTGTTCGTGAAATTAGTGTTAGGTCCCGTTTTGTTGTAGTCTTTTACTGTTTCGTAGCCCGGGTCTTGGTTTTGCGAAGTCTTTCGCTCTTTGTGACTTATGGTTTCGTAGCCATAGTTGATGGATTTCTTGCGGTCTATGGTCTCGTAGCCGGGATCGTCGCCGCGGTATTTCGACGTGCTCGCTTCTTTATCGGCGTTGGTGAGATCTTTGGATCTGCGCGCGCTCTCTTCAGATTTCCCTTTCGTTTTCTTTATCACTTTCGCGTACATTTCTTCGACGTTGCGCGACGGGCTTTCGGTGATTCGTTGTTCGGAGTTCATGCTTGTATTCGCCTCGGCTGACGAGTAGTCACTGTAACCGGGGCCGTCTATGGAGTTGTATAAGTTGTCGGCAGGGACGTCCCTTTGGTCTATGTCGAAATTCAGCTCTTTGGCGACCAACGGCCGTATGAGTTCGCCCGAGCTAAATCTATGCTTCTCCACGGGATAGTTGCAACCGTAGAAGTCAGATGAGCTGACGCAACTGTTGTTTCGTTGGTGTTTTTCGTTGAGGCTGCGTCGCAGCTTGTCGTGACTGAAGAGGTCACCTATGAATGGAATGGACAATTCGTTGAGTTATTAAACAGTACAAAAGCCTTGGTTTGAGAATCACCAACAAATAAAATCCTAGAAAGTAATCAGTACCACCGACACATGAAATTCTGCAATCGTGATCTAGTATAGTAAGGAAGGACATCCTTCCTACTCCTACTAATATTATAAATGCGAATGTTTGTATGGACGTTTGTAAATCTTCCACATTTAAACGGATTTAGATGAAGTCTGGCATAACTATAGTTTATCTCCTATATTTGCACGTAGGATACTTTATCCCGGTAAAATGTTAGGTTCGTGTGCTGGACAATCGTTGGGACCTCTGCTGGGCGTAGTCTACATCATCATCAGTCTATTAATGTACCCACTGCTGGGGCACTTTCACTTTAAAACGCTATGTTATTTAGGAAAAAAATATCCTCATGATTAACCCTTTCGATGGTTATCATAAAAAACATGTGCTTTTTGTTTCACATTTCACTAGTTTGGTCCCTGGTTTGACAGGCGATTTAAAAAAAAATGTGAATGCAGTTGTTTTAATAAAAATAAAATGATGTCTTCTTTCAATAAAATATCCTATCTTATAATTTTAAAATTCTTTCCCTCCGTGTGTGACAAACTCATATGGATTCTATCCGTTACCCCTGCATCTCATAACACAAGCCTTACAGGTGCTTACTTTGGGGCTAGAGTAAGGGAAGTATTCATTTAGAAGCGGCCGCCCGCGACTTCGTATGCGTGGAGTTAGTTAGAAATAAAGGTTCACTGCTCGTTCTCCGTAGGTGATAGCGTACATACGCTAGAATGTACGCTTGCTCAACATATAGGCTACATAGCCTATATGTTGACCCGACTTCTTAATAATATTCGTGCCAAATTTAAAGGAAATCCATGCAATACTTTTTAACAGACAAAAATTCAAAACACTATATATTTTTGGCTTCGGTACCGACTGTAGATCGTGTGATCTACAGTCGGTACCGACATACAAGAATACTTGGAGTGTTCCAAGTATTCTTTTAAAAAAATATTCAATGCACAGTTTTGACTTTCCTACCATTTTTATTATATGTATAGATATTTATAGGTCGTACCCGTGCTAGATATGCGTTGATGCTTTTGTTGGGCGTTTTCTACCGGTCGCGCGGGGTGAGCCGGCGGGGGCGGCAGGGGGGAGTTGGCCTGCCGCTTCTCCGGTTTAGGGGAGCCTAGGGCGCCCGTCGAGTTGGAACACGACGATGACGATGCTGAATACATAAATATATGAGGAGCTGGCGAACAAAACGTTATACGTTTTTCTATACATTACCTTACTATCACATAATACAAGTCTTACCATGGTTACTTTAGGGCTAGCAGCCAGCAATAATGGGGAATATGCATGTAATTCAAATAAGGCTCAAACTTTTTGTATTTAAACTCTATCTCCCTTGGAAAAGCTTAGACTAGTTACGCCGTGTTTTGTTCATTTGACTCAAATGCCCATTTGTCATTCAATAGAAAGAGACAAAACATGGAGTAACTAATCCAAGCGTAGTCTTCGTTTATTAATAATCATGTTCACAGGATATGTCAAAGTCCGTTGACTTTAACATAGTGCAGGTGAGTAGGGCGCGCGCACCTAACCTTCTAATCCCTGTTTGTTTTGTTGCTAAGTTGTCTGTGTAAAGTGGTTATTTTTTACATTTTTAGGGTTCCGTGCCTCAAAAGGAAAAAACGGAGGTTTGTACGGAACCCTCGGTGCGCGAGTCCGACTCGCACTTGGCCGGTTTTTTAGACACGTTACACTATTTTTTCGCCGTTGTAAATTTGTATACCATATTAAGGGAATGTATACTATGAAATAAAAATTGATAAAGTAATCATGCACATTCCCTATTGTGTTGGTATTATTTTTATTTTTTATGTGAAAACTTTTCCCTTGACTAGTAGTTAACCAAATGGCATGTATATAAAAATAACACTATAAGTTTTCCTAAGAAATTCTAAGTAAAATTAATTAAGCAATATCTAAATACTTTACCTTGTCTGGAATGAGTTGCGTTCGATGTGGAAGCACCAATTTCGGGCGGAGCACTCCTTCTGTTTTTTAAAATATTCATGATATGAGTTTTTTTCATGTTAAATGTTAGTCTGTCGTTAACAAAAAGTTTTTCGATATATAATTAAAATTTAGGGCGTAGAAGTTCTTAAATTAAATAAACTTTAGGCCTCATACTATTATGGTATTGGTATTGGCAAGTGATTCTTAACATAACTTTGATTCATATATTTATTTTATTTATTTATTTATTTAATCTTTAATGCCTTACATTGCATATGGCGGACTTAATGCCAGCATGGCATTCTCTACCAGTCAACCGGAAAGAACGTGCAGAGTCAATAAAACGGCAGACAATCATGGGAAAGAACAAACATCAAACAATAAAAAAACAAAATTAAATAGCGTTTAATACATACACATATACATACATACAAAAATAAATATAAATACATACACACACATATATACATAAATATATACATAATATACCTATAACATAGTGTCCGATTTTAGTATCCTGATTCAGCTTAAGCACTATGCAATAGATTCAAATAATGTTCCCGCACCGAACTCTTAAACACCGTCCTGTTTGGAGCGTTTCGAACGTCTAGAGGAAGTGCATTCCAGAGCCGAATGGCAGTAAGGGTGAATGAACTGGAGACAAATCTAGTATGGTGAATCGGTACTTCAAGTATCAAATTATCTTTTGAGCGGAGATTTAATCGATGGGAAGACCCCAGAAACTGAAACCGCGATTTCAGATATCCAGGGGTGCGTGGATCGTATAGTAAGTTGAAAAGGGTGCAAGCTGTCCTCAAATACCTACGCTCTCGAATAGGCAGCCACTTAAGTCTTTTGCGGAACTCGGAAATGTGGTCGTATTTACGTAAACCAAAAACGAAGCGAATAGTGTTATTGAGAAGACGATCCAACTTATTAAGAAATTGTTGATTTATATCAGTAAAACAAGCATCAGCATAATCAAAGAGGGGATGAACAAGGGACTGTACCAGAGAGATTTTCGTGCACGGTGGGAGAAAATTCTTTAGGCGATAAAGCGCACCAAGTGTGCCATTTACCTTGCGGCATATATTCTCCATTTGGCCATCCCAGCTGAGAGAGTGATCGAGTATGAGCCCAAGGTTTTTTACGTTCGTAGAATAAGGGATTACTATACCATCGTATGTAACAGCTGGAATTGTGTTCAAATGTAGCTGAGAAATTTGGCGAAAACTGCCTATAATGATCGCCTGACATTTAACAGGGTTGATGGTAATCCCAAAGCTATCAGACCACTCACGTATTTATATCTGTATAAGATATATCTAATTATGTTTTAAGCATTTAACTGCTAGATAAAAACTGCTGCATTTAACTGCTAGATGTATAAATCTATAGAAAAGTTAACTTGAAAAAAATCCACGCGGACCAGGCAGCAGACGGGACTCGAACCCGCACCCTTCGCTATCCGGGCGAACGCACTGACCATTATGTTACCGCGGCCCTGACGACCGGGTCGAATTATCTCTAGCCTTAGGCTGCAAGGAAGCACCATCTCTTCGCATTGTAGGTAACCCACAATGTTAAAGATATATGTATCTATTTAAGATCATATAGCTTGTCCCTAAAATAAATGGCCTGCCCTCCGGATATGACTTTTTGCTATGGTGCGGCGTTGCGTTTTATCGCAGCACATCGCTTGGCTGTTCATTGTTATTTTGATTGTAGGTTTTCCTTTTCATACACTATAGGAAGTGAAAGTGAGAGACGGTTGTCTGGGTTTACGAGTGGCTGATGCGAGTAGACGTGTGAAGTGCTGGTATTAGGCATGAGGTGTGTGAGGCATAGAATAATAATTTTCACGAAAAGAAGGAAAAATGCAATATCGATCTCTTTCAAATACATTATAGAGCTTATTGATGAAAGTAGGACGCACCGAATACATATTATTGCTTTTTTAGCATTCCTTATATTGTTAGTTATTATTATAAGGTTACGTGCATTTTTGAATCAGATTTTAAGCGTCGTGGTATCGTGGATATACCTATCGAGATTGCTTCGGCTGTTGCTATAGCTTATGATTTTTTTTGTTATTTCTGACCGGCGAAGGTTTTCAAATGCCTCGCACTCTTTTTGCATTGGTAATAACAATATTAAAGAAAATGAGCGCGAGGTATTTTTAAACCTTCGTCGGTCAGAAATAACAAAATGAAATCATAAGCTATAACATTAGCCCAAGCAATCCCGATAAGCGAAAGGCGCGGTGAGCGCACTTCACCTATGGTATCTGTTTAAAACTTTGTTTCAATAACTAATATGTTGATTTAATTTGGTAACAGAATAAATATTTTAATTTTTTTCAGTTAAATGCTAAAAAAAAACAATTTAAAATTCAATAAAAATCAAAGTAGATTAATAAAGAATACATGAAATACATGAAAGTTCAACATAAAAGTTTAATTTTCATAGTTTTTTACGTCTCATTTATTATTATCTGATGTCTCTGAGGAGCTCTATGCTGAAAATGGTAAGCGCTTTCGGCTGCGACCGTTGAAGTAAAGCAACATTCACAATGGTCGGTCATTGGATGGGTGACCAAAAATTAACTATCACGAGCTCCTCCGTGCTTAGGAAGGCACGTTAAGCCGTTGGTCCAGGCTGCATCTGCAGTCGTTAACACCTAGCAATCCGCACTGGGCCCGCGTGGTGGGAAACGATCCGGTCTCCCTAAACCATCCATAGGGAAGGGTCTGGAATGAGTTGTGCTCCAGCAGAAGGGACATTCATATGCAATGATATTATATGAGAGCAGATATTATGTCATAAGCGCGCACCACTGTGAAGTCTCGAAAACAGGCCAATTGGGCCGTCTTGACGACTAATACATGTTAATCTATGCACAAGATAACATTTGATGTTGGAACAGATTTTAAACGCAATTTGTCTGAACGTAACTTATCTACAGGGTGTAAAAAAAACCTTAAACGAAACCTATTTTCCACATCATGACGATCATTTTTTTCTTCTGGACGATACCTGGGAAATTTATGGTTATGGAGATATTGAAGGTCAAAATCTCATTTTTTTTTCAAGATTTTTACATTAATATTTTCAAAACGTTTTTTAGATACCTTTTTAAAGACGCACTTACACGCACGCACACAAAAATTGCATTTTTTTTTATTTAAAAATATCAACGATTGGCACGTATAAAATTACTTGTTTGGGTATACAGAATGAGTAGTCTTAGTCTTTGTCATAGGATTTTTTACACCCTGTATAGAAATAACATATCATTGGGCTAATGGTGATGATTATTACCTGGCGTCAGACCTCAGTTCGCTGGGCTCGCGTCGGCGCGGCTCGGGCGCTATTTGTGCGTACGTGTCAGATCCTTCGCCAACGCTCGCCTCTTCGATCGCGGCGTACATTTCGTCTGTATAGAGGATTTCACAAATTAAGACCTTGGTTGTAGCGACCATTTATCTATACCTACGTTAAATCTAAGTCCCTTGAATTTAAAGCATACTTTAGTAGAAATTCACATTACACATTCACTGTTAAAGAAAAGGCGGAAATCATTTATAAATATATAAACTATACATGTGTACGTGTCTGTTTCTCTTTACCTTTGCCTATAACGACTTCTGGATATAACAACGAAAGTAATGTGGTCCCTTCATCGTCGTTATACCCGAAATCCACTGTATTTAAAAAACGGCTTATAATAATAATCCATTTATTCATAAACAAAATTACAATAACACATAACAGTCACCCATTCTAGGCGAAGCCCGTTTTGTGTGTGTGTGTGTGTGTGTGTGTAACTGTGTGTTGTGTGCGTATGTGTATAATCAACTCATTATCCTTAAAAGATTCTCTGCTCTGTCATACGACCATTTTAATAACATTTTTGAGATGTCATTTCGCATCTCCTTTCGATATGTTAACTAGTTGGTTATAAATGTATGGGCCAAGAAAGATTCCGAAGCGTTTAGCAAAAGAGGTAGCAACAGTAACATTTGGTATTGAGAACACTCTTTTTTGCAACATCTCACTGTATTTATTGCCTCTTATCACTGTTGTAATTTAAGCCGCGTTGGCATGCTAGAAGCCTGCCTTGACAAAGCTTTTTTAACAATTGTTGGCCTCTATATTATTATGACGAAACCAACTACATTGAGTACATTATACGACCGAACATACCAGAGTCGTCGGATACAGTAGCATAGTGCGGCTGCGCTGGCGCCTTGGTGGTTTGCGCGCGAATATTGCTTAACGGCTCTCGTACTGAAATGCTGGTGTAACCCTCTGAAAAAAATGTTTAGTATCAAGATCACATCGTTTTAAAGCGTAATATCTAAAGCAGGGTACTCACCTCGAAGTGTAGCATGTAATGTATCTGATAATGTACCAACCTGCAAGTGAAAACGGCTCGTCCACGCAGCAAGCAGTGCTCGTGATGATATCACGTCGACAACATGTATCAAATGGTGGCTAGTCCATTTCCATAGTTCGTTTGAAGCTCGCGCCTACGTACTCACCTACAAGCGGCCGTATCGCCGTCCACGCGCATACTACGAGCCGCCTTTGTGTTCGCAGTGATACCACCACTCGGCGGGTCACTGCGAGCTTACTGCGCTCCTCACACGAGCGGCTCGCAGCATGCTCGTGCCTACGTCCTCGCTTGATACAGTATCAGATACGTTACATGCTACACGGCTAGGTGAGTACGCTGCTTAAGAAGAAAAAAGCTAAATTAAATATGGTCCTAGCATGGTTAGGATGATTTTTCTTACTGGCAGTCCGTGGAGTTGCCGCTGAAGTGTGTGTGTGTGTGTGTGTCGGTGTAATGTAAGGCAACTCTTGGCTCGACGGCAGCTGTCAGCTAAAATATGACCCTAGAATAAAGTAGTTCTGCTGATTTTTCTTACTGGCCGCCCGTAGAGTCGCCGCTAAAGTGTGTGTGTGTGTCGGTATAATGTAAAGCAACTCTTGACTCGACGGCAGCTGTCCGCTTAAATGTGACACTAGAATGAGTACTTACGATCATTTTTGTCACTGGCAGAGTCCGTGGAGTCGCCGCTGAAGGGTGTGTGAGTATCGGCGTGATGTATGGTAACTCTTGGCTCGACGGGAGCTGTCCGCTACAATATGACCCTAGAATGAGTAGTTGGGATGATTTTTCTTACTGGCAGAGTCCGTGGAGTCGCCGCTAAAGTGCGTGTGAGTGTCGGTGTGAGGACGCGGCGAGGGCGGCGTGATGTAAGGCAACTCTTGACTCGACGGCAACTGTCCGCTTATAGCTACCGATGCGGATATTACTACCGATTCTGCGAAAGAAAGTACTAGATACAAAACTATAAACATACGGCTACTTTCAGTAATAAACCTCGTAAAAGATGAGGGTCTATTCACACCGGAATGGCACAGTGGCGGTCCTTACATGTAGGCCGAGTAGCCCAGCTTGCCCTATGAAATCTCAAATCCACTAATGGTTCATTGAAATTGGTTGTTTGTATTATAATTGCACAAAATAAATTAAGTATCTTATACAAAATCTTGATTTGCTTAGTAAAAATTGTTGTTATAATCGAAATAATAAAATAATTCGACAACAAAGCTGTAATAGGCCTAATATTTTAGTGGAGTTTGATTATTGAAAATGGCCGATAAAAAATCATCATCATCATCAGCCTCGTAATGTCGCCACTGCTGGGGCACTGGCCTTCCTTACGGACGGCATAGGGAAAACGGGGGATGACCCAACACACGGGCCACGTTATTGTTTGTTAGCGACAGCAGATGCAGACAGGAACAACAGCTAAACGCGCCTTCCGCCAACCATCCAATTAATGGCCATTGCTAAAGTGGCTTAACTTAACGATCGCAGATCGGACAGCGCGCTAACTAAGAGAAATAACGAAATAAAAGATATTATGGACTAAGCAAAATTTGCATGAAAACTGAATGTGTTTGGTTCTTACCCGGACCTGATGGAGCTGCTTCGCGTTCTTCTATTTGAATTTCTCTCTCTGTTGACCCTTGGTCTGCTGCTGCCATTTCAACGGTGCTGAAATAAATAAAGTAGTTTCAGGAAAATCTTGTAATTAAAATATATTGATGCAACACTGAATCATCAGTATATTTTATGATAAATAGAGATATTTTTTAGAACTTGCCTTTTATTATATTTACATTTTTAAGCATTTAAATGCTAAGTTGATGTTTTTTCTATTAAAAATTTTCGTTAGGTTACCATTTTTTTTTATTATAGGTTTATTTATACGTTTGTCATCCTAAGAATTTCTTTATATGTGAAGAAATATATTTCTTATTTTTTAAGCATGTAACTGCTAGATGTTTAAATAAAAAATAATTGCTATTTCTTATTTCCAATGTTTAAATACTTGAGAAGGTATTAATTTGACATTGTGCATTACCTACAATGCGAAGAGATGGCGCTGCCTTGCAGCTTAAGAAAGGCTAGAGAGAATTCGACACGGCCATCAGGGCCGTGGTAACATAATGGTCAGTGCTTCGCCTGGATAGCGAAGGGTGCGGGTTGGAGTCCTGTCTGCTGCCTGTACCGCGTGGAATTTTTCTAGCAATATTTTTTTCAGAAAAATATTTTATCAAGAAGATTAGGCTGGAATCGACTTAGTTCCCCTCGTCAACTTTAGTGACTCGGTAGCTTACTCCTAGTATGCTACCGAGAATATGTTTATTTCGTATGTTTTCACGCTCACCACTTATAAAATAAAACTACTTTTTAACGGTTTTCAAAGGAGTTTTTTAATAGTTTTTACATAACTCGTCGTTACGCGTCCTTTCCAGCATGATTTGTAAGAGAATATGTAAAAAATCGCTTTAGAACTTTGTTCTTTGATTACTTACACATTACGAGAATCATTTTGTAATTTGGCATAGGCTCGCTCGTAGGGGTGATCTCCTCGACTCGTGGACGCGTTTGCCACAGTTTTGTTTCCTGTAGACAAAAACAAAAAACTAACTAAATATTTGTAGTGAAAAATATGACTTGTGCTCGAGGAGCTCGAGTGCGCAAGTTGTCAGCGCATTCGATTTGCGATCCTAAAGTTAAGCAACTTTTGAAATAGACGTTCATAGGCTGAGCAAGAGTTTACTATCTCGAACTCTTCCTGCTTTAGAAGGTACGTGAAGTCGATGTGCCCCGTGCATCTGCAGTTGTCAGCACCAACCAATCCGCAATGGCTTTTGGGCGTCCTGCATGATCCAATCTCCCTATGCAGCTATCGATACTTAACCTAACTAATAAAGTGAGTTTGTTTATTTGTTACGCTTTCACACATAAACCACTGAACAGATTTGTAAGAAATTTGGTATGCATATGTTTTAGTTTCTGGATTGAGACATAGAATACTTTTTATCACAGGGATTTTCAAAAACCTAAAGTTAACGCGGACGAAGTCACGGGCGGGCGCTAGTAAGTTATAATTGAACCAAGAAATATTTAAGTACGATATATAACGAATTTAATATAAGTTGCATGCTTACAACTAAGCCATGCATCCATTCCTTTCGAGTTGGTGTAACAAACCAGTACTACACAAATAATTTGATTATAATTCAACAATAAGTAAATAAAATAAAAACATTAACCATAAAACGTTACAGTTAATGAATTTCTAATTGATTAACAATACTTATCGCAATAACTGTGTGGTAACAAGTGCAGTCCGCTACTTAGTTCGGGCCATTTCGTAATAGTCGTAAAAACAGTGAAACAGTCAAGTTAATTCATGCCAAATTTAACAAGTATAAAATTGTTTTGTGCCGCCATCTTATGTTTTATTAAATATTTAATAGGTAACGGTTATTTCTTCTTTTTGGAGGGTTCCGAATCAACCAGGGACCCTCTTAGTTTCGTTATGTCCGACTGTCCGGAAAAAAAACCTGCTGTTTCATACAAAATTGCATCCGCTATTCGACCGAAATGTATGAAACAGCTGATTTCTTTTCGCGATTTCAGCGTTGGTTCCATAATAAAAGTTGTTCCTGTTGATGGGTTGAATCACCCCCTAAGAGGTTGTTGATGTTTTAAAATTAACCCAGTATTCCTTAGATTAAAACAAAAAAGCCGTTTACATATCATTAGTTGTTGCTTTAGATTTTTTGCTGGCTGGGAGGTTTAATAAGGCCTAACAATTTTAGAATCAGTTATAAGTGTATCGAGATCGTCGTGCCATCGTTCTATCGAAATCCTAAAGATATTTTTTTCTTAGAATGTTTTATCCTTTTACCGTATTTTCAATCTGATCAGCGTGAAACATCAACTCGGCGGTGATGCCGGCGCGGCTTTTGTTTGCCGGCGGCATTCCGCTTGCGGCATGGTCTGACCCAATATCTTGGTTTTATTTTGTGTGCGTGTTTTTTTTTATAATAACGTACAACACAAATCCAAAACACGCAATCCAACATATACGTTTAGGATAGAAAGTGCATAATTGCTGACGTTTAACGAAAGTGATTACAGATGTAAGCGGTCTTCAACAAGTTTCTACAGTTGCCACTACCAACCGTTAAAAACGTGCTTTCAATTTGTATAAAAATCAAATCGTTTATTTACCACAGATTAATACCATACATAGATCGCACTCATCATTACCACCACCTTCATCAGTGGTTATTGCACTACCAGTTAAGGGGAGGGCATAACGGGATTTCCACTCGAATTGTAGGTCTGGTTCCGTGGGGAACTAGCCTATAGAGTATAGGCTGGTCTTATATGTTACGAAAGACTACATTAAAATAACGCTATCTTTTAGTGGTGGTGATGAGTAAGTTTCCAGGGCTCCACAGATGGCTCCCCCCCTTGTAGTTCTGTCCTGCAAAGAGGGGGGCGGCGGAGGGAGCTACACGGGCACGCCCAAGTAGCCCTCCGCAGCGGACGGGGGGCGGTACGGTGGGCATTAGGCCGCGTACTCAACCTCCACGCGCGGGCCTACCTGCGCACGTCTGCGGGGTCCCCGTGATACCCCGGGAGACCCCTGCCGTGGAGTCCCGGCTAGGCCGGGAGGCTGCTAGGTGCGGAGACGCGGAGGAATCCCTAAACGGGGATCCCGCGGCTTCGCGCTAAGCAGCTTAGAGGGTATTCGCAGGACTTTTTTAGCGGATATTATGCCGTAAAGCGCCCGTAAGAGTTGCGGGGTCCTCGGTGGACAGCCACTGGGGCGCCCGTAAGACTTGCGGAAGCCAGGTGTGAGGTCCGTTCGGCGGTGTGCCTCTTAAAGGCGCCGTCGTCTGTAAATAGCATTTTTTACCTGCGTAATAAAAAAAAAAAAAAGGGCTCCACAGATGGCTGTAGCGGCATGCTTCTCTGTCCTAAAGCTATTGAGCTGTCTTCTCAACTGTACCCTTAGTATGAGTTTTTTTAATACGAAACGAACGATCGTCTTCGTCGATTCGATCAAACTATACGTTTTCGAATTGTGTCCCAGTACGAGTATAGAATTTCACTCCTCGTCTTCACGATATCATATGCTCGATGACTCGATTAAACGAACTTCACACTGTTTAGGTTTGTCTCTTTCATTCTTTATTGCCAAAAAAGAGATAGCTGAGCCATTCGTCAAATTCAACCTAATAAAAACAAAGCTAATCTATGTAAAACTCTAGACTTAATCTTATTAATCTGTGTCGAAAGAGTAAAGAACCTACGTTTATATGAGTGTGAAACTTGCTTGGCTGTATGTGGTATGGTTTGGGTATGGTTGACTTCAAAGCCGTAAAGAAATAAAATTAAAAAATATACATTGTACAAAATGCCTGTCTGTAATAAAAGAAGTTAATCGCCTGTGCTGTATAATTCACGCTGGTCTTCGTCATCTCTATCTCTTCAGCGAGCATGAGAGCTAAACATTCTACCGAAAACATGATTAGATTGCATAAAAATTTCAGCCACTGAAAGTTTCTAATCGAGTGACAATACGATCAAACGTATAATAGGTTAAGTTAAAGAGAATAAACATATTTAATTTTTATTTATTTTTTTTATACGTCGTAGTATACTCATAAAGCGCTGTCAAAGTAGTAACTTAAACTGCCAAATGCAAACGACATACGAAAACTTTGGGTGTTTTAGTTTTACAATGACTCGTTGAAACTCATACTGCTGATTTTTGTTTTTGATAGTAAACGCTAGGGGCGCTGCTAGTCAATGTATGGAAACGAGACGATACGATTGATCGAATTCGAAAAAGATTAAAACTCATAGTAGTGGTACTGGACTCCCAATTACACTTAACAACAGGTAATTCCCTGAATGCAATTTAATAAAGGACCAAAACTCTTTAAACAAAGAATAATAATCAGATCAGTAATCCAAGTCACAACCATAAGTGACAATGAAAATACTGATGCACTGGAATCCCGAGCTATGATGATTTATCAGTAATGCTTTACAGAGCTTAAAGTTACCTTCATTGAGATTTACGGTAGCATAGATTTCCGAAGCAGTGTCGCCGCTATCGTGCCTGCCAACAGGATGAGGTATTTCTGGCAAGCTCCGTTGACTGTTTTGAGTTGAAGCTCTGTTTATTAAAACAGTATAAATGTTAGAAGCTTGTTTGTACACAATGTTCACAGTAAAATAATGTAAAGTTTAACTAGCTAGTTAGCAGGGCTAAGATAATTCATGTAATAACAAATTGTTCTTTTAAAAATATAGGTCATGCTCTATTAGGATGAACTAATATTGCAGTAAGTTAAATAGAGTGTAGCTATCAGGGTTGGATCTCAGGTTTCAGTACTAGCCATAGTGTTAATAAGATGATGAAGTCATAACTCAACTTAATCATTGGCTCAATCAAGCTAAACTAACTTAAAACTAAACTAGCTAACTTAAAACTCTATCAAGATTCAAAAATTAGACAGGGATAGTAAGCAATATATTAATGTAAGTGTATGCTGATACATAGTCAAGTCACCTGCAGTAAAAAATTCATAATGGATCCATAGTTTTTTTTTAAGTCATAATTTTGTTGAATATTTTAGCCAAAATAAATGAAGCAAATTTTAGTCTAATAGAAAATTAAAAAGAAGATTAAACTATATTAGAAACATTACTTGTTAAATTAAAAAACTAACTTGAAGTTAAATTATACAGATTATATGTGTTGGAAGTACCATTTATTTCCCAAATACAATGTTAATAATTTGTAAATTCCAATAACCAAAATATATAAATAAATTACATAAGTTCTAAAAAAATAATAAATACTGGATACTAGCTGTGCCCCGCGGCATTACCCAAGGTTTATTAGGGATATATTCCCACAGTAAAACATAGCCTATATGTTAATCCAGGGTGTCAGCTAACTGCATTCCAAATTTTATTAAAATCGCTCCAGCCATTTAGACGTGAAGAAGTAACAAACATTACACACTCACACACTCACAAACTTTAGCCTTTATAATATTAGTGTGATTATCCCAAAAAAAACAATTGAAGAGCTTCTTTAATTAAAATTTGTACAATGATGATATAAACTCCAGGCGGAATAGAAAAATATTTTATTCTGTATTAACTCAGAATCAAATCTGGTTCCTAGGAGAAGATGATAACAGAAGGCGTCTGTTCTCTGGCTATGGATAAAATTTAAATAGCAGCAAAATATCATTCGAGGGTCAAATAAGTAGCTTTTCTGATTTCTAGTATACATACATTACTTTTACCATTAATTTTTAAGTATGAATATGTATTTTCTACTCAATTATATTTATATTAGTATAATATTAGGCATGCAAAAGTGATAACCCCAGATATTTTTAAACATGCTACATATAGATCCCATAGAGATTATTTAAAATACATTTATTATAAAGAAATTCAAAGCCCAAGGGTTAGGTATGTCTAAACATGCTCTGTCTAGAACAAACCGCTTGATAGAGGCAGGAGTGGTGGGCGTTGGGGATGGTACTTCCTCATCGAAACATATTTTGACTACACCGGCAGTGCCCACCAACTCACTTCTGTTAAATATAACACAGTTTCGTTAATTTATTTGATTTAAAACGCTAATCAAGATAATTATAACTAAAAACATTTAAAAGGTTCAGTCAACAATATAATATATGAATTAAAAAGCTATGACATCTAGCCTTGAAATAATACTGCGTTGTAAATAGAGTACAAAAATAGCAATGATTACTGACTAAGTGATAATTAATAACTGGGAAACATAGTTTGAAGTGAACAGAGGGTTTTTTTTGTAAATATTTTCCTCTTTAGATTTTCCTAGTATGTATTAGTTATTTTTAATTGATTCATGACGTTTGTTTTATGTCCTGTTTTATCCATTTTTTTAATACACCCGGTATTGAATCAGTTTTCTTCAATTCCAATTTTTTTATTTATTACTTTTTGATTCTAATAATTAATATAAAATAATTAAGGTTAAGATAAACTTTCGGAGTTTAGTAACATAAGGCAACTAAATAAAATAAGTTACATAGGTGTGACTCATAGTAAATAATAATAATGATTTTTATTTGCAAAAAAGTACCTACACCTAAATGGTAATATTCTTATAAGACTATTTTCACTAAGGCTACTATTTTACATAATTTTTTATTGAAATCTTCAGTCAAACTAGGAAGATAAACTTGTATGTTAGCTTCACAATTAATAAATAATTTTAAATACATACTCAGTGAATTACTATTTAGAACTCATATCAGTCAGCGTTATGAATAATATGTATAGGAAAACGCAGTTTTCAATTAATTTTCTAACTAAAGTGGTTTAGTAGCCCAAGATCGATCTGAGTGGCTTGCATTTGGAGAGGCCTATGTCCAGCAGTGGACTAAGATGGGCTGTTGATGATGATGAAGTGGTTTAAGAGTCCAGGGCCCGTATTACAGAATAACAACTAAGTGTTGATCTTTGCTTGAGTACAGTTAGAAAGGGATGTGGCTATGTGATATATATAGCGACATCCCTTTTTAACTATGCTCAAGACTGGATCAATTACTGAGAATGTTTCTATAATACAGGCCTAAGACTTACTCAGAAATAATTAAAAATGTTTTTGAAGATAATTATGACATTTGATGAAAATTTTTGTGTATCAATAACTTATTTCACTAAAGTTATGACAATCAACAGTTCAAACACTTACTTCTGATTAGAGTTTTTGCAGCCACACACACATAATGAGAATGCTGTAACTAAAGTGACAAGCACTCCCACACTAAAAGCTATCTCTAGTACAGTAAACATTACAAGAGTTTCTCAAGCAATGGTAAAGCGAAAGAGCTTCAGAAAATATTCCATAACAAAGATGAGTAACATTAAGTCACTCCTTTAAAAAGAAACTGTTTTGGTTCGGAACTTTCTTCCATTTGAATTAAAAATGTAATGTAGGACACTGTCTTAGACAAACACATATGCAGCAAAATGCACACGATTGACTTTCTGATATGATAAAAAAAGATATAATTAAATTAATTATGACAGGACTTGCAAGAGGTTTGTGATAAATTTATTTTTAAATGTATTTTAATAAAAACATTGCACATCGCCTTCTGACTTCAATAAAACCTCAGTGCAGTGTTGCCAGGTCTGATTTTCAAAAATCGAGAGGCTTTCGTTATAGGAAAAAACAGTAGATGTATGGAAAGAGCTGCAAGAAAACACAGAACAGTACCCTTAGTACGAGTTTGAGTTCATGAAAACTATCATAGTTTTCGTAATTGTAAATTATCTTTCTATGTCCATTTTGGTGAAAGGTAACCAAATATTCTTAAAATTTAAGAAGACGCAAACGATTTAATGATAGAATTTAAACACTGGTTATGTTTTTATTTATTTTTTAAGCATTTAACTGCTAGATGTTTAAATCTAAAGAAAAGTTTACTAGAAAAAAATATATCGGATCATAATATTTTGTATGAGCGTACCGCATCTACCCTTTTTGTTTTAATCTAAGCGTAAATCTCGGTTCGCTACTATCCAATGTGTTTCATCATAACATGTGTTATATTGACTTAGTTTACTACAGGTAAATGCGATATCAGGACGGGTGCACACTACAAGATACATTAAACTTCGAATAAGTTCCTGATATGGGAATCTTGAGTCAACATTGGTGCCAATTCTGGCGTGATTCTCTAAACTTAAAACTAAATTTGACATCAGTCTCTCCTTTTCATTCTGTATAGAGAATGACAAGGATATACTGCTGTCAAATTTAAGTTTAGGTTTAGAGAACCATGCTAGAATCGACACCATTGTCTGCCTTTGACAAATTAAAACTAACTTCCATAGGAGTTGCAACTTAGTGACATTCTGCAATATCTGCATTGCCTACTGTACCCTTAGAACGAGTTTAATAATTACGAAAGCTATGATAATTTTCGTGAGCTCGCACTCGTACTAAGGGTACTGATTTTATTGTTTTCTTTTCAATACAAATAAACAGTGGTGTCGATTCTGGCATGATTCCCTAAACTTTAAACTAAATTTAACATCAGTCTCTCCTTTTCATTCTGTGTAGAAAATGACAAGGATACACTGTTGTCAAGTTAAAGTTCAGTTCTAGCTTCTAGAAGCTTCTTCTAGCTAGTTAGTAAATGAAATATGTATATACATGTATATATTGTACACACACATATAATATATACATACAGATGGAACTAAAGGAGTTTCACTTCAGTCGTGTGGTCACTAACGTCATAAGCACACTCGTTTTTTATTACAAAAACATATTTATTGTACTAAATCTAAGGTTACATAGTCAATAGCGGAAACAGAAAATCACAGCACAGGCGGCTCTAGTGACACAGTTTTCGTTACGTTTCACGCAATTTAAAAAAGAAAATCGTATTCAATGAAATACAGTAGATTCATGTAGGTAGAGAAACAGAATAACAAAGGACATTTGAGAAAGGAGATCTCCTGTTAAATTGGGACACCTGGCAGCCCTGTCTCAGTGCACCACAGATCAGGGTTGACAGATGCAATTTTATGATTTCCTCCAAACTGATTTTTGAATTTCCCCAAAATGATACGTTTTCTCAGAAAAAGCCAATCACTTTGTTCTAAAAAAAACTAAATAAAATGAATAATATTTGATAATTTGAGCTTTATTAAAAATACCAAGTAAGTACTTCTTCATTCTCATTTTCCTCTGATGGTTGTTGATTTACATTTTTAAAACTAAAAAAATCTAGCATTTTACCTGTTGGTTAAAACTTCGTGCACCCGCCCCTTAGAGCATATATCAATGGCATATACTTATTGAGATGCCATACCGTTCCCTTGCCGAAAAAAATTTCGACCTATTTTTGCGCGGGACGAGGTACATTCGTTTAACACACTGACGAAAATATGCAATAAAAACACGAGCGTGTTGTTTCTATAAACGCACACTTCAAAAATTATGTCACACAGATAAACAACGCACACACGCTAACAATTTTTATGTAACTAGGCAATAGGCTAGTTGACTCATGTCGAATTGTATTAAATAAATGTTTATTTCTTAAAGTATTTGGTCTAAGGAACCTAAATATATCGATTTCACTTCATAAAAGCAGAAGATTGCTGTAGAAATTTAATTTTAAAAAATATTTTTTGGTCTATATTTTTTAAACACTAAAAACGCTATTCACCACATCCGCCATGATTGTGACGTCTCATATGATACAACTTGATATGATATATAATATGATTCGCGTGTTACTGTGGGTGGATTCTTTCATCTGACTTAATTTATCCTAAAACACTTTTAACTTTAGAAAAGTTTCCGTTTACTGTTTTTTTTTGAAAAAACTAATTATGGATGCCGGCTTTGTGAAAACAGAAAGCACAAATCTGCCAAGAATTGACGCATTCATGGTTGGTGAATTTATTTTACTAAACCCCGATTTCTGCTCTGCGGAGCAGAGAAACGACAAGGTATCTATGTAAGTACAGTGTATTTAGTATTACAATGTAGTAATAAACATAAAACTGATACAACATATGAATAAGTGTAATAAAGTTGCGTAGGTTAATTTCTTTCGGCACTTTTAATTCACAACTTTCCTGGAATCTTCAAGGATGTGTTTTTATATTCTCGTACAATACAATAATGATAATTACTTTATTTTTCGGGGTATTTATTAGAAATCATCTTTTGTTTATTATAAAGTCAGTTATTTTCTTACGAGTTTTTGTTTATTTACCTTTCTCTATGTGTTTACTGCAGTTAACGTCATAGCATAGATAATCTATAGACTAAAATGGCCGATAGCGTTTTTGTATGTCCATGAAAAATCTATTTTAAAATTAAAGATTTGTAGCTTTTTAGGTCTCAAAAAAATACAATACATTTTTTTTCGGTCTAATAAAACATTTATTAACCATTTAAAACCTTTTTCCAAAAAGGGTCAACTAGCCTATTGTTCGAGCACACAAAAATGTGACTAAAAAGACGCTTATCCAAGTATCTACAAAAAATACGCTTCGAAAAAAAAGTAAAATGTCAAAATTAATATGTGAGGCTTCATAGTGTCGTAGGGTGCGGCCAGAGTGCACTCAGATTCAGAGTCAGATTCAGATTCTGAAAACAAGCGCGAGAAATAAACAGTGTAGTCTAAGCAGGTTGCCTGGTTTTTCTCGCTCTTTGTTTTCTGAGTCTGAATCTGAATCTGAATCAGGAGTGCAATCTGGCCGTACCCTTCGACTACACTGTTTATTTCTCGCGCTTGATTTCGAAATCTGAATCTGAGTGCACTCTGGCCGCACCCGTAGGGTACGGCCAGAGTGCACTCAGATTCAGATTCAGATTCAGATTCCGAAAGCAAGCGCGAGAAATAAACAGTGTAGTTAAAGCAGGGTGGCCATAGTGGCCGCAGGCAACCTGCTTAAACTACACTGTATAGCGTAGGGTGCGGCCAGAGTGCACTCAGATTCAGATTCCGAAAACAAGCGCGAGAAATAAACAGTGTAGTTGAAGGGTACGGCCAGAGTGCACTCCTGATTCAGATTCAGATTCAGACTCAGAAAACAAAGCGCGAGAAAAAGTTTAGAATCTGAATCTGAGTGCCCTCTGGCCGTACCCGTAGAGCTTAGAAGTTCGCCGTCTGATGCGCTAGCATCACTACTAGTTTATGATGGTAGCGGTTGCGCATGAATTTGAGGCTGCAATATAGCAGCAGACTGCCGTAAATGAGAACGTCTAAAGACATTGGAAGTTGGAACATGCTTGGAACGCATTGGCTGCGTTCAGAATCTACGCTTTATGACAAAGGTCGATTCTGGCGTGATTCTGTAAATCTAAACATTAATTTAATAACATTATATCCTTGTCATTCTCTTCACAGAATGAAAAGGAGAGACTTTACAAATTTTAGATTTAGTTTTAAGTTTAGAGAATCATGCCAGAATCGACACCTTAAGCTGCATACATTTTCATTCAGGGTCCTTAGTAGCTGTCTGTGGGTAAAACGTTGCATTGAGCATTTTATTTTAGTTTTTCTGTTTGAAATCGAAAGGGCGCCCTGCCCCTGCACTTTTGACGTCTGTCATCCTGAAATTGCCATTTGTGCATTTGTAACACTCCAAGAAACATTAGAATGCGTCACACCCACATTCTAATGTAAAAAAGGAAAATTAATACAAAAATAAGATGATGGCTGCATGACTTTGCCTTTGCCTTTCCCAATAGGGAACATAGAACAAAAAAAAAATTGTGCATTTGTAACAAAGAGTAGTACCGGAAAATTTGTAATTATTAACCGTTGTATTTCTAATTTCTTTCTGCTAAATTAATTTTCAGACTTTTATGAAGTACTTAAATAGTGCCTAGTAGTTTATAATAATGTTCAGTATTTATTGAAGTGTCCTCCATCATGTTATTTTGATAAATAAATTATTTACTAACCTCGCATTGCCGGTTTGATCTGAGTTGCCGGTATGGAGCCAAAAAGCGAAATCTTTTCGCAAAGACTGATTATTGCTGTGATTTGGAATATCGGTCTTCAGACTCTTCTTGCAATATTGTTGGTGTTTGTCATTCAAGTAAATATACTGCTTCCGTTGACATGGATATCATCGACCATTCAAGATATACTTGGTTGGAAAATGTTACTAAACTTAATACTTCTTGCATTAGTATCATTTTTTCAAGCCTATGTTTATGGAAATTATTACATGATGCCCTCACCTAAGTATTTTACGCGATTCTCAATGCTCATCAACATGTTTTCAATGCAAAATATTGTTTTTAGCGTGTTATATGCTTTGAGTGGTTATTTTACAATGAGTTTGTATTCATCGTTGGCCAAAAGTAATTTCAGCATTTTGAAAAAACAATGTGCTCAATATGAGGGACAATGTTTGGTGGAACAGAGTTTGTTCTTACAGTTTGGTGGGATGTGGATGGGCCTGTATTATTTTTTGAATGTGCATACATTTGGTACAACAATTCTGATGTTTCCACATATATACCAAGAGAAGTTCCAACAAATAAAGCTTGCTATCAGCAACATAATCTCAATTGGATTTAAAAATTCTATTGCCCCAGTAGCATACTTCTGTATATTTTATTATTTGTGGGGTAGCAAACCGAGAAGTGTTGTTTCTGATGTCTACAGTTTGTATTTAGAAGACCCTCCACTGGATAATTTAATAAACTTGATTAGATCAGGAATATGGATTGGTCTATGGTTTTACACAAGTCTGTTCCTGGTATCTGTATACACAATGAGAACTATTTTTAACATTGTCTTAACGGAACCATTAAAGTTCCCAATAGTATCTGATTTTAATCTCACTTTGCATAATGCTTTGGCTCAAAGATCGCAATTTAATGGATACTTAGGTGCGCAGGATTTAAGAATAATGGCCATGACTGATTCAGTGAGAAGGCAGCAAATTTTTACACTCTCCCAACCTGGTGGACATCCGAGAAACTGGAATAATTTATTGGAAAGATGTTTAACTATGTTGAATGACTTCATTAAGGAATTAGACAATATAAATGGAGATGGAAGAATGGTGGAAAATGAATTGAAGAAGAATGCTAACATAATGAATGTAACACCATTTGTTGGCATGTACTCCAGCCACCTGCGTAATATGGCTCAATCACCGGAGTTACTTGAATTGAAAGATCATAATAAAAATAAAATTGAAAATTCTTTTGCTGATATTGCTAAAGAAGAATTCAAATTATTCCTGAATAAGTTGTGTCAAAAACCTGGAATAAATTACTTCTTTGGAGAACTTGCAGACACAAGACTGAAATATTTATTGATGCAAGCTCAACCAGTAATGTGGACATGTGAAGGCTTAGCCTTTATTGCAGCAGCATCCCTAAAAGAAGATAATTATGGAATAGTACAAACAGATTTGCCCATAATTTTATCTACAATGGTGAATCTCAAACAAAGCATAGATAAACTGACAAAGCCTGGTTTGATTCATAGGAAGCATATTTTAAATGATACAGTAGCAATCAAAATTAAATCGGCTCTTATTTCGGCAGTAAAAAGAAGTATCTATAAGATTGTGATGACTTTTTCAAAATATATTCATGAAATTCCTTTCGACTCTGATCTTCAAATTGCCATACAACCATTTCTGATGTGTAAAGAAGCATGAGGAAATAAATGTTTTTCTATATTTAAATTTTTATTTCTTTTCTTAATTTTGTAACACCTTCTAACATACTATACACATATCCATGTAAACCAATATCATACTATATAAATTTTGGACCGGGCCGGCCCGGGGGCGTCCCAGTGAAGTGGTTAGTGTGCACTAAGGTGCGCCGATCTTGAGACGCCGCCACATGGGCGTTGGAGGGTACCGGTGGTTTTTAGTGGGTAGGACCGTCGTCCCACACACGTCACGCGCCATGGTCCGTAAATGGATTTTCCACCGTCAACAAAAAAAAACAATATTACTATTCAAAATTAGTTCAAAATAAACACAAATTTAAAAAGAAAATCCATTAACAAATGCCTCGGCAACACTTTTCATGCGTAAAGCTGTAAAAACATTTTTTCTCAAAAATCAAGGTTTGCCGTGAACGTTATTTACGTAATCACCATTTTGTTATCAAGAAAAGGACAACAGTACAGCTCAGCCTTGCGGACTCTGACGTAGACTCGTCGCTTCGCTCGGCCTTGCGGACTCGGACACAGACTCGCCGTTTCGCTCGCGCTGCGTTGAAAGCGTACAGTTCTGTCTCGCTCGCTCCATTGAATGTTTATTTATAGACGTGGGCGTGTGTGAATTAATTATGTATTTGAGTCGGAGCATAATTCATTTGATGCTAATATGAGCGTACCGTACCCATCTTCCCTTTTTATTTTAATCTAAGGTCTTAATATATTAAAATAAATTGCAACCGTACAAAGTCGGGGCACTTTTAGTGTAGTAATAAAATTGACGTGGTCAACGAAGGTTGTGGGGCGTGAAGTTAATTGCTTAAATAATGAAACAAGAAAACGAACTATTCAAATAAAAACATCTTTATTTTTTATTTTTTAAATATAATGTAACGGTAATTTATTTTCCGAGTAAAACGATTAACATTGCACTAAAAAGTGCAATTTGGTTTTATAGACTGCATTGACTTCTTTTGAGAATGCTAAATATGAATGATTGTACTTGTTTTGATAATAAACGTATTATTCATAGAAGAGTGTCTTCATCTCTCAAGTCACTGCTGAGTAAAAGCGACCGTTGACTGGCGGCGCCTAAAAGAGCAGTCCTCTCCGCAGACGACGTGCCCGACTCGTAGCTCAAAGAAGCTGTGGAACAAAAAAAGGTGTATTTGTATAAAAACATATTTCTGCAATGACGGCTTTTAGGTTATAAATACGAACATAAAACTAGGTAATAAATGCAAAAGTATGGTTGCTGGTAATGGGCTAATGGGCTATCCATGGCGTCAAAAAGACAGACTTAATTTGATGAAAATACTGCCTCATACCTATAAGATTTGATTTAAGAGCCCTTTTACAATATTGCGCCGCTCTAGTTTAGGTAAATATGACCGCGAGCGTGTCCGAATCGCACGAGCGAGACATCGAAGCGGCGAAGTTCAGTATAGCGCGATTTACCAAATTGATACTTTAATATGCAATTATTGATTATACAATAAATGCAAATATAAAATAAAGTTAATTTCATGTGCTAAGATGGATCCCTACTGTAGCAACGAACGATTCTAGATAGGAATCCTGAGTGGAGCAAAGGATACAAGGATAAAGTTTTTTTACTATTGTGAGAAAATAAATAATATATTTATAGTACCCATTGGTTGCGTTTTGGAAATGACAATAAAGATTAATTATGATTATTACTAATTATTGTAACTTTATATTTTTGATTTGCATAGCTTCTGTTTGTTCAAATTTTTTTATTCACTCAGTAATTAAATGAAAAGTTTGTTCACTGTTATCGCTGAATGAAATCCCTTTTTCGAGTGGCAATGAGAAATAATATTTTATTTACTTGTATTTTTAGTATTGACTTTTTTAATGATGATTGATGTTTGGTAATAATCAAATATCTCAGTAAAACTGTACTAAGTGTAGTTCTGTCTTTGCCTTCGTAGTTCATTTAATAAAAAAGTTTTCGCACTCTGTATTTTCAATATATCTGTAAGAGTATTTGATAACAAAATAAAAAGCATGTTTTTTTGTATTCGTGTAATTTCCATTCATTTAAACAAAACCCATCAAAAGCATTTAACTTTCATAGGAACTCATCTCTTACACACCTAACTCATGAAATTTTTGCTGCGAGTTCTCGTATGGTAATTTCAGGATAAATAATATGAAAACGGAGCTGGGAAAGTTCACACCTCTTCCATCACTAGCTGCTGTAAAGCACATTCAATAAAATCTGCTATTCTCTATACAATTAATTACTCATCAGTGTTATCAAAGATTATCATCACGGATGCTATCATAACTGGAAGCAGTCTGGTAGTATAACGTATCACGTACAATGTTTGTCTCTTTTTGAAACTGGTGATTGATGTTTTGTTTTTCGTAAATTACAATGAAGGTTATATTATAGTTATCTATAATAATATATTATTCTTTGTGGATTATTACGGTGACAAAGGGCCACAATACATTTAATTTTAATAAAAGTATGACGATAATAAACAAAGTACTTATAATAACAACATCTGAAATTTCCTCGCTCATTGTCAATTCTATAAGTTCTTATTTCAGCTGAGGTGATAGATATGTTGACATTTGACGGTCCAACACCCAGTCTGGTGTTTCCAAGTGCAAAATGTCCTGGTATCATTACACGTCCTCCATCAACCATATACTCCTCCTGAAAACAGATTATCTAATTGACTACAATACTGCTTTTATCGACTATCTACGCATATAAACAGATATAGGCAACACTGGAAATACATTTCCAATCCAGACACAGATATGGTACGTAAATCAGCAAGTTACTGTCAATTGAACTTATGGAGCAAAGAAGTCTAAATATAACTTATTAAAAATCAACTTTTTTGCTCTAGAAATGCATCCCATTAGTTTAAGTTTAAAACAAAAAACCAAACTGCTAACATTGTAAACCATGTACCTAGTGTAGTAGTGAAATACCTATTAAGTCAGTATAAAACAGATAAAATATTTAAATTAGAGTTTGACGCTTCCCCTTGTTCCTCGGATTCGATTTCCAATCCAACAGCATTTTTTTCCTATATAATTAAATTTATTATTATAATTTCAATTTCTCTTTTCATTGTCTACTTCCAATAACAACATGAAAAACTTACAGTTTCCGTTGCAATCGAATCCATTGAACTTATGGTCGGTATAGTTTCAATATTTTCGGGGTTGCCATTAAAATTTTGTTTCCATCTAAAATACATAGAACTGTGGATTTCTATTCTAAATATATTATTATGTTGGGCCAATATGTACTTTGGCGGCCCACGAGCTTGTTATATTTGATCGAAATGCAAAATTTTACCGCACTCTAGCTTTTTTATAGACATAAGGATAGATTGACATACCCATTAAGTCAGTAAGTTAAAATCGTTGGCCATGAGAGTACAGTACCTTGACTGATTACAATTTTATACCAATGATACTTGAAAAGTCCGGACAAATCACCATTTTCATACAATTAAAACACCCATTGAAACCACAGAAATAAAAAACGAAATGTTATAAGCATATTCACCTTGCTTCACAAGCTTTCTTTATGGCTGTATCATTCTTTCGTTTTTTTTGACACAATGGTAAGCAGGAATTTTACGCCCCATTGTAAAAGCTTATAACAAAAATATTAGTTGAAGTTGAATAATTAATAACTAGGTAGGTACTTATGATAATAAAATTTAATACGGTTGTGGATACTTACATACAGTCAACGATTAAACTTTTGCGGTCGTAGTATATCCAGCCAGTTTTACGATGAATGCACTCGTAGCATCGCTCGGAACGCGTGCGGTACAAAGCGACACAGGTTCAACCTCCAAAGGCGCTGGCGCCGTACTGAACGGCGTCTTGATTTGCACTACTATATATTGCATTTTACGGGTGATGTTCAGAGTCTTATAAAATAATAATTAATGAAATTATTATAAAATTATATACATATTTCAGTAGTTCAATGATTGTAGATTACTTTTATCACAGTTTTTGATAGTAATTCTATTTAATTCAATATCAAAATACGAGGTAAACCTGCGTTATTTTTTGGGGAAACTCACGGAGGTTAGATGTTTTTTTAATAATTAATGAGATGGAAAATCAAGATTCTAATACATTATGTTGCAACAAAAACATATTTCTGGTGTCGTTGTAATTAATTTGATTTAATTTATTGAACATTATTGTGAGATTAAGGCGTTTTTAGTTGTGCATATTATCGTTTTTTCCGTAAACTAGCTGCGGTAGAACGATCAGTACAAAAAAATGGAAATAGTATTTGAAAATATTCTACATTAATTTTCAATAGGAAGAATAAACCTAATGTTTACTTCTATTGGAAGTAGTCAAAATCTCTTCTAAGGGGGCAAACGAGGCGCTCAGAAATTGCGATTTATTGCAAAAAATGTGAAAGGGCTCTTAAAGCTGCCAGAAATGATTCTTCATAAAATTTATTAATTTTGATTTTCAACACCAAATACTTATGAGCTTAGCTGGTACGTGATTCACAATAAATAATAATCAAAGACTTGTTAATCAGACTCAATGAATTGATAAACATTATTATAATCAGGTAATTTATCTACTTTTACTTATAATATAAATATAAAAAGGAAATAAAGAGTAAGAATAAGAAAAAAAGCATTCTTTATTTTATCAGTGATAGAAAAGAGAGCTAAGTAAGAAAATAATAAGTATGAAAATAAGTTACTACAGCCAGTAGTGAGACCAGTCGTCAGTCAACGTCAAGCGGTAAAACCGCAGTGCAATTTTTTAACGTTACGAAATTAAGATTGCTCCGTGTATGGGTCCCACTGCGCGCTTTCTAACAGCCAGGCTGACAAACAATGGGAATGTGAACAGTCGTATCAGACGAGGCCTGCAGTGGCCTGCTGTCCTTCGTCCGATCAATCGAGTCTTCAAAGGCTGATTTACGCCGGGGTAATAACTGTGCGGCATTTTGGTATGCCACACACTAATAATTTTACAGCACAGTGCTTTGAAAATGATATAGGCGTGATGTTGCGTCTGCTTTAAATATGCTGCTGGATATTGCAAATGAGCAGTATTTTTCTACTTGTTGCATACCGCCTATAGCTATAGCTTATGATTTCATTTTTTATTTCTGACTGCCAAAGGTGCTCAAGTGCGTCGCGCTCTTTTTTTGCTTTTGCATTGGTATTAACAATGCATGAGAAAATGAGCGTGAGGTATTAGAAAAATAACTGCGGCGGTCAAAATAATAAAGTCATAAGCTACGATTACAGCCGTAGCAATATCGATAGCCGGTAGGCCCCCAGATGACCCAATGACCCACGCGTACCCAGTCGTTAGCCCGAATACAAGTGCCATTCAAATTCGGGTGAATGACTAAGTGTAAAAAAGAACGGAGTCGAGTATGCCCGTATTCGGATTCCAGTAACGTCTTTCGTGCACCTGAATGCGGGCTAACGACCAAGTGTTATCGCGCCATTATTCAATGACGTCAAAAGATGGGCATAGATTTTTTCGCCTGTCGGTCAACTGACGTCGAGAATGTGGTTAGTTGGTAGTGAGCATAGAGGTATAACAATAGAGTGGGGAAGGCGGCTCTAAAAGTGTCCGTCTAGTAGAAAGAGAATGAAGATGAGAGACCGCTACCTATCTCTCTCTCTTGTGACGCATGGCATCCAATGGCATCACATCGAAATAGTAAGATGCTTACTATTTCGATGATGATTAGAGAGAGAAAGCTAGCGGTCTCTCATCTTCTTTCTCTTTCTATTAGAGGGACACTTCCACTTGTAGTAGAGTCTATATCTCCCCTACTCTATTCTTATACCTCTATGGTGGCATAGCCTCGCGCGGCTTGTGAGTTTACAGCCCGTGGGAGCTTTATGGCGCGATTACATTTGGTTGTAAGCCCGAACACAAGTGTCAATAGAATTCTGGTAAATAACTAAGTGTAGGTAAACGAACGGAGTCGAATACGCCCGTATTCGGATACCAGTAATGTCTTACGTGCACCCGAATACGAGCTAATGAGCAAGTGTAATCGCGCCATTATTCAATGACGTCAAAAAGTTTGATGTCAACTTTCAAATTGACGACACAGTATGAAATAAAACAGGGAGAAAAAAGCAGTCCTTGCTGAGTTTCTTGTCGGGTGCTCTCAGTACAAGGTCTCCCGCCGTAGTTTTGCGAACCGATGGCGTAGTTTTCGACTTTCACATGTGCTTGTAAAAGCCTAAACTGAATAAATGACTTTTGAATTGAATTGAAAAAAAATGTTGGGCGTTGATTTTTTCGCCTGACGGTCAACTGACGTCGAGAATGAGAAGGTTAGTTAGTAGTAAGTATTGAAGTTAGACGAGGTTTGTGTGTGTATAAGCGTGCGGTACATACGAACGCATGATTACCGTCGGGGCTAGCTCGCGGCGTGGCGCTCTGGTCGCCGCCGTCGGGGGACGCCAGCGCCGCGCGGAGGGAGCCGCCCGGAGACTCCGTCATAGACGCTTGGAGGCTGTAGCTCTCCCTGCAGAGACCAAACGGTTCAATTAACCTATGAATGTCCCAACTGCTCAGCGAATAGACCAGGGGGCGAATCGCCTAACGGGATTGCTATAAATAAAAAAAAAGGTAAATTTAAAAAATCAAAAAACCCGACTGCTTAATTATACTTCAAATAAAAACTGAAAAGAAAAAAACAAGTCCAGTAGTCTATAATTCTGTTAATAAGGAACAAAGCTACTTTAACAGTCGGGACCCATTAGATATTCAAGAATACATAATATTTGTCAACAGTGGGTCCCGACTGTTAAGGTAGCTTTGTTCCTTATTAAAAGAATTATAGACTACTGGACTTGTTTTTTTCTTTTCAGTTTTTATTTGAAGTATTATTAAGCAGTCGGGTTTATTGATTTTTTAAATTTACCTTTTTTATTTCACACTTTTTAGTTAGTTAGTATTTTAAGACGGTATATACCGTAGTCTTGTTACTTCAGTAAGGGAAGTAATATCGCGGGAATTATTAAGTACGTCGGTCTAAAAGATTGATTTATTAAGACATATAGAGACTTTACCAGCGGGGTCAAGGCTACAGATGGGCCTCAATTTTCGCAAAAATATGTGAAGTTAAATCAAGTCGTTAGATAAATATCTCTAATGTATGTAAATTTTATAGTAAACTAGCACTTACTCAAAAAGTCATCTTTTGTTTATGTTTTTTTTAATAGTTAAGCAGTAAATATAAAATTCATTTACTTTTATTCGTCGACTATTTAAAATTGGCAGTGGCTGCATTGTCATGTCAATGCCGGACGTCTAAGATTGTGATATACACAAATGCAGTATCAGTCCCTAGTCTCATAATTTGATATACCTACATAATTCACAGAAACCCAATATGTAGATGCCAGAAGTTAACTTCAAATGTTTTTAATCACCCTATATACAATACCAATCAATGACGTTTATGTCGCAGGTTGAAGAAAGCAGTAATTACCCTTAGATCACTAAATTTAATAATTATGCAATCACCAAAGCAAAGTTTATAATATTTGATTAAACTAAAGGCGCATAATAAATTTTCATAGCGTAGGTAGAGCACCATAGCAATCTCATTTATTATCAATTTATAGTTCTCTTTGTAGTTTTCTTTTAAAGCGTTCACATATAACAGGTCAAAGACTTTGTGATCGACCCTTTTTTATTGGTAGTGTAAAGCTTGAATGAAGAGTACTCCCAGTAGGGCAATCATGGCAATTTTTTCCAATTTTTTATTTGTTTAAAAAAATACCGAATAACGTATCACTGTTAAGCACAGATGCTAAGTAACTTTTACAAATATAATCCAATAAACCTATTACTTACTTTATTTTTAAATCTTTTTCATCAATTAAATACTTATCATATCCTAACTATCTATACTAATATTATAAAGGGGCAAGATTTGTATGTTTGTAACAAATAATCTGTCAAACTACTGAACCGGTTTCAAATATTAATTCATCATAAGGTAGCTACATTATTTATTATTACATTTTTCTTTATTCAAATACATTTTGTCCGAGTGACATAGGCTATATTTCATCCCGATAAATAAATTTCGCCCGTACAATGCCCGGGTGGATCACTAGTAAGAATAATATAATATTATAGATGTGAAAGTGAGTTTCTTTGTTGCGCTTCCGTGCCCTAATAGCTAAATCGAATATAATGAATTCCCATATAGAAGTAGATGGGAACTTGGTTCTTTGCTACAACATCGCAATACTGATTGGCGTAGGGTGATTTACCTATAAAAATATACATTATTTACTTTGAATTTTGTAGAATTATTACAAAACCAATATTACCGCGAGCTGATTAATAATATAGGGATTCCAATAAGTATGTACTTACTAGCGAGAAATGGGTTATTTGTCATTATATTAAGTAAACCTTTTTTGTAACATTAAGTAATATCGTTAAAAAAATGAAAAACAGTAAAATTCAGAGTTTTTCATTAAAATTCAATAATCATAAATACCTGTAATAATAATATATTTCTCATCATTTAATAAGAAGGAACTGTATCACAGTTTTATTGTTAGTGCTTCGTATAGAATCAGATACTGCGAATAGACCATTTTTTTTTCTTTTACATAGTGTACTATGTGTGAACGCGCGGTGTACCGCGCTATCACATTGTCATCGTTGTAACTTTTTAAATATTTGTCGAAATGACATAGTGTAAAAAGCAAAGTTTATCGTCTTTAAATATCAAAAGCGATAAAAGTATTTGTTTTGATATAAAATGATTTGTTAATAGAAAATGTGCATTTTGGAAATAGATATCAAATAAAATTTTAGTTTTGATTCACTATTTTAGCGGTAATGACTTACACATTAAAAATAGATATATGGTGTCACGGACTTTTTTTTAGAACTAGGTATTTAAGAGATACATTTTCACTCTACATTACATTCATGTAACTTCTATTGTTTTCGCAGTGCAGGCCAAAATGGCTCGCAGATGGGAGATTTTTTTCCGTCTTATGTGACACTTATTGTTATATATATAGGCCAATTCACTCAATAACTACATAAATTATTATATATATGTAATTATCATATATGAGCTATATTACTGTTAAGTTTGATTAAAATCCATTCAGTATTTTTTAGGTGAAAGAGTAACAAAGATCCATACAAATGTAAGATTGAAATTAAAAGCGTAAGTGGTTAATATACAACTTTAAAGCGTTGTAGATCCTAAACAATCATATTAAATGAAAAATGGTGTTAGGAACCTAAATATGATTTTTGATTATCTAGACAGTGATACTATACTCGACATATTTTGTCAACTTATTTTTTTTACTTCGTCACAATATGGCGCCTAATTTTGGCCACATTGAATTTTGATTACTATCATATCTTTAGTAGCACTCCCATGATTGAGACGAATCGATTGATGTATGAATCATCAAAATCGGTCCAGGTGTTTGGTCTCTAGTGTGCCACAAAGGAACAAACATACATATATAGATTGTTAAACACATAACCCTGTCTGCGCGTCGCGCTTCGCGCTCTTGCATTGCGCAGCCGGGTAAAAACGAGCGAGCCTTACAGTAGTCGCGTATGATGAGTAACATTTGAAACCTCATCTTTTAATACTAAAAAAAGAAATAAAACCTACTACAAAAGGAATAAGTCATTTGAACATTATGTTCTAAAATCAAATCAAATAGCGAGCGGGTTTCGCGACTTCCTTCCTTCCTACACACTTTCGTCCTATTTCATGAAATCATTCCCACAAATTCCACGAAAGCAAGAGGTTACATGTTACACATCAATAAATAAATATTTCCAACACACACCAATTAGCCTAGCCCCAAAGTAAGCGCTGTAAGGCTTGTGTTATGGGATACTAGGGTAACGGATAGAATACATATACAGTACATATATAAGTATATTTATATAGGAATACATATTAAACATCCATGCCTGGAGTACAAATGCTCGTATTCATCACACAAACATGGGCAGATGTTTGTGTGATGACACCGGGATTCGAAATTCTCGAGCCGGTGACACCATGAAACCCGGCGTACATACCACTCGACCACGGAGGTCGTCAAATCAACCGACGAATGTCCCAACTGCTGGGCATAGACCAGGAGGCTAATCGCCTATCGGGATTATATGGTATCTATGGTTATCGCTATTGCTTACTATGTATATCATTTTATTATTTCTGACCATCGATAAATTATCAAATACCTCACGCTCATTTTCTTTAAAATTATTTTTACCAATGCAAAAGAAGAAAAAAGAGCGTGAGGCAAACGTTAGTTCAGATCGCTTCTATTTGACAGAGGCACACCTTAAAATTTGGTAACATCCTCATTCCATATGAATGAAATAGAAAGATCGTGCTATAACCCGGGCACAGTGCGGTTTGGTGGGTGCCAACGACTGAAAATGCAGCCGGAAGCACAGGCTTAACGTGCCTTCCGAAGCATGGAGGAGATCAAGATGATACAATTTCGGTCTCATCGTCTAACCAGCTATTGCGAAAATTGCTTAACTGCAAAAGGCACAGTTAGAAATATATTTTAGATATCTTTATATAAGTACATGCATTAATCGGTCCGTGGATCAGAGACATTGTTGGATAAGTAAGGTCGTTAGCCTATCAATATAGGAGATTCTTATAATGTTATCGTTAGTTCAAGAGGCGTGTTATCATTCGTTTCTCCTAAAAATTAAACGATCCGGCTTTTTACTTACGGCCACATCTTTATATTTATGAAATCATACAAGGTTTGGTTTTTGAGTATTTATAGGCTTTCGGCCGGGTTAGAAATAAAACAGGAAGGCTAATTTCACGTAATTACTCGGGCAATAAAGAACTTAAATAGGTAGGTATATTTCAAATACAGTGACCCCAGAAATAGGTACCTGACAACACAAATCACATAAATACAAAATCATGCATTTTATAAACTGTTTGAAGATCACATTTAGCTATTTACAGCAAATAAAGAAAAACACACTGAAAGACGAAAATAGAAACAAACATTACAGAGCCGAGTGTTTCGGTAGAGATCGTTAGTGAAAAAAACCAACCACTCCATGTATTGATTCAATTTGTGATATCGTTATGAAGTCCGTCTAGTACTCATTACCTATATAAAATATTTTTAGTTTTCTTTTCATTAATGTAAAAACGCGCCTTTTTTTCTTTTTCCTTTTTCCATTATTTTTCGAGTTTTCACATTCTCTCTTCCCACTAAAACAACTGAAAAACACGGATCATGCTTGCACCCCATAAATCGAGTAGTTCTATTTACTGATGCATTAATGCTAGCCTGTATCCCGACGTAGATGAGGTCTGCGATATCTCGCTGTCGTACGAAGTGTCCGTGTGGATGTTACTTGGTAGCAGTAGTGGGGTTTGAGGCCAGGGTCTGCGAAGAGGGGTGCTATCAGCGCCCGGTGAGGAACACTCGTCTGATTCAAGGCGCACGTGCGATACCTGAAGGGGAAATACAATTTTTATTGTTAAGCATGTAACTGCTAGATATTTAAATGTAAAGAAAATATTACTAGAAAAATATCCACGCAGACGAGGCAGCAGACGGGACTCGAACCCGCACCCTTCGCTATCCGGGCGAATGCAATAACCAATAATAATTAATATTAGTGTTCACTAGACTCTCAGCTTCCTCTGAGACAAAAGGTAAATAAACCTTAGAAAGGTTTTACAATAGGTCGAATTTTATATGCATATAAAACCATAATTGAAAAAAAAAGTGACACTAAAAAGACCTAAAACTGTAGTGTAATAACTTAAGTTCGAGGAACCAATATGACCAATGTCGACAGACAAAGATACCCTGCCCTATTGAAAAACGTTGTACATAGAGTATTTCTTTAGAATCTGTTCCATTCACAGTACGCACAATTTATGGTCACTGTCTATTAGGTTACCCCTATGGGAAAAGACATGATTTTATAGGATATTATAATTATTGTGAAATGATGTTTGCAAGTACTATAAAGTTACTAGCGCTTTTTTCATAATCATCAGCCGCAAGACGCCCAGTACCTAACCTACTACAAAAACATTTTAAACATTGACAACCCCTTTAGATAGGTACAGTGATTTATACTAGAATGGTTTAACCATTGGCAATATTTGTACACAACTGTAAAATAATAGATAACCGGTAAAAAACCAATTTTATTTACAGAATCAAAAATTTTATCAAATTTTAAATTACATATATTCGGTTTCGAGGATTATATGTGAGGCAATAATTTTGCTTCAAAATACGTCAGTGATTTATTTGAATAAAATAACTATGCATAAAATGGCTGCTGCACGCACACCTTGGAATTTTTGAGGCGCCAAGCTCATTCGTTTTCTTATTTTTATCCATTTATCTCTAATAACTGCGTTTGCAAGAAATCTGTAAATTAAGCAACTAATAATAATTATTTTCAATAATTTATATCGGTGAGTTCATAGAGAATGACCTGTTGAATATAATGTTCAGAAAAAAAAATACTTGTATTAATTCGAGATGCCGATAATTTTTTTCAATCCCTTGTTAAAAAATAAAAAAGCTCTAAAAATCACCGACCTAATATGTAAAAAAATAAATAATATGTTATTCAGAAAATAAACTTTTTACTTCATACATTACCTACATTGAATATATTACCAAGTTATGTTAAGAATTAATTCATTGAAAATAAAAATTATGAAAGTTGTATTGCGCAATTTATTTGCTGAGAAACGTGTCTTTATTTGGGTTATTGCCGTAATTTACACCACAAAACACGAAAGCATAATCAGCTTGATAATTTTACGGGATATAACGCTAGTGAATGTGAGAAAATCTAGAAAATAATCGTATTTGGCAGGAAACTAACAGACTTAATGATCTCAAATCGGTTTCACGTCATTTTTATTTGTCTTCTTTTCACATGTAGCGTTTGCGGTAAGGCTTGGTTTCCTTCTCGTACGCTTTGTTCCTCTATTTGATAGTATAGTCGGAGTTTAGCTGCTTAGTTTTCATAGAAACTTTGACGATGCGATACGAGCTACGGAGCTGTTAAAGTTTGTAGTTGAGCCTCAGCTGTTTAGCCTGATTGAGACACTTTTGTCTGCGCCTTTGACGTCAGTATATCCCCGTCGTCGTTATGCGGCACTGACCTCGGGGCTGGTGTGCCTGCTGCGGCGGAACTTGAAGGTCTTCTTGGAATGCAGTCGCGGTCGGCCGCTGTTGTCCGCGCCTGTGACGTCACTATATCCCCGTTATGAACTCTTCGCACTGACCTCGGAACTGACGTGTCTGCTGTGGCGGAACTTGAAGGTCTTCCCAAGAAGATGCAGTTGCGGCCGGTCGCTGTTGTCCGCACCTGTGTCATCACTATATCCCCGTCGCCGTTATGGGACACTGATCTCAGACCTGGTATTCTGGCTGCGGCGGAACTTGAAGGTCTTTTTGGAATGCAGTCGCGGTCGGTAGCTGTTCTCCGCACCTGTGACATCACTATATCCCCGTCGCCGTTATGGGACACTGACCTCGGCCCTGGTATTCCTGCTGCGGCGGAACTTGAAGGTCTTCTTGGAATGCAATCGTGGACGGTCGCTGTTCTTCGCGCCTGTGACGTCACTATATCCCCCCGTTATGCGGCACTGACTTCGGGCCTGGTATTCCTGCTGCGGCGGAACTTGAAGGTCTTCTTAGAATGCAGTCGCGACCGATAGCTGTGGTCTGCGCCTGTAACGCCACTATATCCCCGCCTGTTATGCGGCACTGACCTCGGGCCTGGTATTCCTGCTGCGCCGGAACTTGAAGGTCTTCTTGGACGGCCCGTGCGCCCGATGAAGACGAGGCCGGTCATTATTGTCGGCGCCGTCTGCTTCGCTTTCGGCGCGAACAAGGGAAGCGCCTTCCCCATCGATACTGCATTCGGAGTCTCTGACGTCACGCGGCGAGAGCGGGGATAGTGGAGACATTGACGTCTCACCCGCTGTGACAAACCAATATACTTACATTACAATACAAACAAAAGTTCTGCATTCAGAGAGGCAATTGTCAGAGTACAAGGTTAAATGATTACAGAGAATAATTACAAAAAACCCGACACATAAAATTTTTATGTTGAAAGATGTTGAATTTGGATGTTATAAAATTTGTGATGAAAGGATCAAAAGTCAAAATATCTTTATTCAAATTGGATGCAAAATACAACTCTTTTGAATCGTCACATTTTTTTTCCTTACCACCAGTTAAGGACATTTTTTAGCTGTAGAGACAAAACTGGCAAAAAAAAATTCACAGCTTTAATAATTATGTAACAATATTTACTAAATATTATATTGTTACGGTGTCAATACAAAATAATTTCATCTTATCATAATTATAGAAAAAGCCTGCTGGAACGTTTGGAATAGTTTAAACCCAAGCATTTTTGTCTGAAATATAATCAGACACTTTATAATAGGCTTTATTACTAAGAACTCTTTAATGGTAATTTTAAATTTTAAGACGCTTAATGTTTGCATATTGTTAGGGACTTTATTGTAGAAGCGTACACAAAGATCTTTAAATGAATTATTGATTTTGTGATGCCTTGATATTGGTAACAGATGCTGATATGCTTTGTAAACCTGTTATTAAAAGAAAGTTAAATGCATTAACTAAAAACAGGTTGACTACATTTCTATATCTGACTGTAAAATTACCTGAAGTCAACTTGAACTCCACTGAAGGGACGAAGCGAAGCTTAGTTTGCGTACTTCCATACGACGGGGTACTAGCTGTAGGTTTGGTGTCGCTGCAGTTGTTGGAACCTAAAACAATTCAGTCTTCGATAAAGTTAAATATTTTACAAGCTGTTTAGCAAAAGCCGACGGAGGCAGATGCATGAGTTGACTTTACAGGATATTCTTAATTCTTCTAGTATCATAAATGTAAAGTACGTTTTGTTACTAAATTAGATTTTGATTAAATTATCATTCATATAGTTTATTACCGGGATTGGGACATAGGATACTTTTTATCCCTGTCGCCAGTCTGTCTGTCCGTATGCCACGGTTCTCTAGATCATTAACGGAATGAGTTACAGAACTGAAATTTTGGCATTTTATGTAGAATGCTTGCCCAAATCCGCATATGTATTCAGTTAAAAATTAAATTAAGTTATTTTTCATAGGTCCCATAACTGAAAAGGAGATGAAAATATATTTTTTCTTTTTGACTCTAGCATCCGACACATCATTGTCTAGAGAGCGTTGTGTAGAATATAAAGATAACTTTTATTATTTCAATAACACAGAAATGGGCGGCCGTTTAAGTTGTCATTTTTAGACGATTTTTGTTACGAGGTCTATCTCAAAATGGAAACTAGTTAGGAGTGTAAAATTTTGGTATATGATGTCCCACATGCTGTATTTAAACAAAAAATACTGAAAACACTGATTTATTATGTACTTTGTAAATTATGATGAAAACAAACAAATGGTTTGTACTTTCGCGGTTTGTTGTACGGAACCTGCGAGCGAGAGTCCGACTGGCACTTGGCCGGTTTTTTTGTTTATTGGCGGTGCGCTTAATAGCCAAACTATTTGGCTCAGTATTTGTATTAGTTGTGTGACACACGTACCCATGTGTGACGTATTACTGCCGTGATTGTTACTGTTGTCGCTGAGTCTGCCGCTGCCAGTTACATCAAATGCCTGCATATGCTGGCTCGTAGTAGATCCGCTGGATACAGATTCTGAATAATAGACATATCAAATAATATCGACACACATTAGGTGCCTTATTCAACGATATTAAATACCCTAGATACACCAACACGAACAAAATCGTGCCCGAAACCTGTCCAAAAGGTACATTGGACGACCCACGGAACTCCCTAAGATGATCGTGTAGTAAATCAAAAACCATATTAGGCATTATTCAAACATTGAAAGTCACTTTTAATGCATACTGTATAAGATCATAATTAAAACGCATGCGTCAAAAAGTTATGACAGTTCGAAATGCAAGCTCGTAAAATTTTACGACTTACTGCTATATGCGGAAGAATATAGACCTTATATCTTTGACTCTACGCGCTATTCTGAATGCGTGGTTAGCGATATAGCAGGTACGGACAGCGAGGAAAAGAGACGGCTATATTACCGACCATTCATTAGAATATCACAAATATTCTCTATTAAATCAGTTTATAATAAGTATTACAACAAAAATTTGCTTCAAATACGTTTTATTAACTAAAACACAAATTAGATACCTGTCGAAAAAACGTCACTCTAAATACTTTAAGTAACTTTTTCACATTTTTCGCGCGTGACTATGAACCAAGAAGTGCTTGAGTGGTGTTCAAGCACTTCTTTATTGGGACATATTTTGAGCGCACGTGGTATATCTAGGGTATTTAATATCGTTGCCCTTATTCCAAAACGCGGGCTAAATAAAGTTAGTCTTGGTTGGTAGCTAAAAAAAGACTGTGAATGATGTCTAAACCTAATGTTTACCTAATTAAAAAAAAATTAATGACCTCAATAACTGGTTAATGATCACCTAAAAAAATACATAGGGTATTTGACAAGTTTTAGAAAACGTTCTCTCTCTCTCTCTGTCTTATATTTTTATGGAGTCCATAAAAATATTTTTAATTCTGTTGTGCCATTCAGTAAAAAAACTAAATCAAAAATTAAATTTTTAAGTTGCCACGTAAACGTTACTCTGGAAATTATGGCGTCTCGTCTAGTGTATGACGTCACACGACTGTCATTAAAACGTCAAATGTAATGTCATTTTGGCCGGAAGTATACTAGCGTGTGTCGTCATTCAAGTCTTCCAATCCCAGGCATTTTCGGTCACGTGACCATGAAGTAAAAAATCATTTCTATTTATTGATTTTATAGAAATGTTATTAATTATTTGCTCTTTCAGAATAGTATCATCGTTGCTAATATTCATATTTAATACAGATGCCAAAAATTGGTACATTTTTTTTCATACTGTCAAATAGTCTATTGGTAAAGGTTTGGTTACCGATTGTATTTTTTGATGATCATTTTAATATGTATGTGCTAAACTATATCTATTCTTTTGGTTTTGTTATTCTACCTCGTTGAGCCGATAATGGGGCTGAAGGATGGTCTGGAGTCCTGGGCAAAGCACCAGCTCTTCCTACCAGCATCGATATGAGCGAGGGTCGATGTTGCTGGTGCTTTTCGGGGGCGGTCGTAGTGCGCGGAAACACTTCTGAGGCCCGTTTGCCCCCGCCCTGGCCGAGATTCTCGGCTATTTGTTCTGTTGGTAATAATATGGAAGAATAATAATAATAAATAAATAAATATCTCCAACACTCACACCAATCAGCCTAGCCCCAAAGTAAGCACTGTAAGGCTTGTGTTATGGGATACTAGGGTAAAAGTATGTAAAAACATTGGTAATCTCAACTCACCGAACTTGAACTGATCATGGGTATCTCTCATAGTTCTCAATTCTCGGGCTAACTCCGCTAAGAGAGCGCCCCGAGCCCTAGCTGCCGGCAACTTTAAACCACGTACTCGTTCCCGCACTACGAACTGCATGTGCCTTTCGTTGTCGCCTATAGGTGGTTGTGACAGCTGGGGAGGGAAAGTTTTAGGTTTATTAACCTGTTTAGTCTGACAATCAAAGACTGACACACAAGGGCGTCGCCAGCTTATGACTAAGGGGGGGGGGGGGGGGCGCAATATACTAGGTAAGGAAGTCAATTCCTTGCACTTTGGTCGCTTTGCGGCTAGCTACATTTGACCTCTAGCTAGATTTAATATCTGTAGTTGCCCAATTGGCGACGCCCTTGCTGACACATGAACCCTGGTGCGAGCAAGATCCTTTGGCACGTGGCCGAAATCGGAACTAATTTTAGAAAGTTAAAAATAATCCTTTTTATTTATACAGGAAGGTGTTAATAAGCCTTTTATTTCCCAATACCATTTCAGAGTTATTGCAAATTATAGCGTGCCCCAAGTGAGGAGATTTAACGTACCTATTTTATCCTAATTTCACAAGCTCCGCCCCTTTGTCAATGTCATAAAAGTGCCACAAGATCTTGTTTCAACTGAAGTTAAATTTATTATACACCAGTTGCATAAATTATTAATTTTACAACTTAATCTAAATGGAGTAAAGTTTCGTAATAATAATGAGTGGTACTTTTATTGCAAATAATGGAGGATATTGAGTTTAATTGTATATTCAGCATTCATTTGTTTTTTTAACATTATTTTTATGACAAAGAAAGAAAGGGGTTATAGTTGTATTTATATTAATGATGCAAACGAAACCAATCAGCTTCATCTGCACCATAGTGCAAAGCAAATGTGCATTCGGTACAACGCGGGTCTGTCAAGTACATAATTGAAATGATATCAGAATATGTATTATTTTGGGACTAACAAATAATAAACATATGAAACTTTATCATGGCTGATATAGACTTTTCAAGCGACATTTGACAGATGGAGGTCATTGACTTTCCTATTCTTATTTGAATCGCACTATACGTAAGACCTCAACTATAGCTTGACCGCTGTAGTGTAAAGTCGACCCTCCCGATGATCCGTGGGACGCGGGAGAGGGATGCGCTCAACCAATCAATCAGTAGCATGTCGGCTGCCAACAGCGATAGACGTTCAACGTCAGATCACGCGCGGTTGCAGCCATGTCTCCGCTACTTAATTATGATATCAATTTACGGCTTTGCATACAACAAAAATGGAATTACCGAGTCTACGTAATAAATAAAGAAGTCAAGCAAAGATTATGCTATTCAATGTGCTAATAAATATATTATTTTATATTTAAATATATTTTTCCTTGTAAAAACATTTATGGCAAGACGGTATTACTATTATTGAAATAAATGTAGGTACATATTACAAAGTCAGTCTATTTTTTATAAGTAACAAGTTATTACACTCATAGATTCGTTATCATAGAACACATAAAGAGGTTAGAAGGACCTCGTGGGCGGGACAGGCGCGCCACAGTAATATGTGAGCAAATGCTTATAACCTGACCAAAACTTGGTTCTGAATACGTCTTTGCTCACGGGTGTGAGCGCTGATTGGTTCGATTGTTTCATGCCGCGTCCTTTGATTGGCTAATTATCCATTAGGTGGAAGTGTAATGGTGGCGAACCAGCGACATCGGTTCCCGTACAAACGGTCTATTATCACCCTTCTAATCTCTTTCTGTGTTCTGTGTTCGTAATACTGATACAAGTAATACGAATAATTCTGAAATAACAACATGAAGATTTAAATAATATCATGAGATATCTCGCCTCGCCGGCATGCCGTGTGTACTCGTGCGCACCTGCCGCCTTACGTCCCGCAGATCATTAGAGGCATGGAGTTTAGAGAAAATAGTGTCCCAGAAATGTGGACAAAATAAGTGCGGCGCTGCGATCGCTAAGTTGTCTCAATAAAAGCAGGCTAATTTCAAATAACCAATGCCGCGAAGAAAATTTGTACAATATTCAACTAACTTCATATATTTGTACTCATAAACAGCTGACATCACAGATACTATTTACCGACGGCAGCGCGGCTGGTGGCTGAAAAATGGACTTTAAATTCTACAAATTTTCAGGGTCAGGCGGACTAATATGCTTTAGTACGTAGAGATCGTTCTCCTCTCTAACCTCCATGATTAGGAGGGTCGACTTACCGCGGTCAAGCTATAGATTTGTACTGACCTTATGCACTATGAACGGCTGCAGCAGTATGTACAGCGGCGTCCGATAAGTGACGCAGTGCTCTAGGAAGTCCCACAGATGGTGCGCAGCTTCATTGCGACGCCCGAGATCTCGCATAGCTCTCGCTATACGACCCCATTCGGAGCACAGTTCGCTTGTGAAGCATGCGCACATCACTTTCAATGCTGCGTTGGGAAGTAGAAGAAAAATAAGTTAGATATACGCTTTATTACACACACATTCACAATTAAAGGGCTTACAAAAACATAGACCGTAAAAGTTAGTCTTATCGCTTAAAGCGATCTAGTGATTAAGCTCATTAACTAGTAGATTTATTAGCGATTCAGCTGGCGACATGAATTTATTATAAATGGCCGTAATCAGAGACGTCAAATAAATTTAATATACTTCACTTAAAATCTGTCTTACTGACTTCATCGCAAAAAAGAGACAGCATTAACTTTAACAACAGTTGAAAATAAATTCACGTTTATAAGTGCGGACGAAAAATCAAGATACAACTGTCTTCAGTAAAGAAAAAAGCATGTACCTTTTTGTGGAAAGAGTGACATTAGTTAAATTAAGAGTTGTACGGCTGTACTCTCAGATACGTTTAATGGTTTAATGGCATTCAAAAACACATCTTGTCTCAGGTTTCGTATAAACGAGCAGCACGTAGCCGACGGTGGCCGCTGTCAGTCGAGGCGACGGCTGCCGTCAAAAGGTGGCGACGGCTGCCGTTCAACGAGTCGACGGCTACCTCCGAAAGATGATGACGGCTGCTATCGACTGCGAGCCGCTCGTGTATATGAACCTTTACTCTATAGCTATAGCAAAGAAAGTAATCAAACTATGTATGTCTCTGAGTACGACTGTTATTCCTAAAATATGTTTAGATATCGGATTCGTGTCGCCTATAATATTGCTATCGATGTAAAATAATATTTATTCAAATCGGTGGCAAAATCATAAATACTTAGTCCATTTAAGAGGTAGGGCATAGCGGATTTCCCGCTTGCATTGGAACGCCCCTCTGGGGAAGTAACCTCCACCATACAGAAGACCACAGTAACATAATACTACCTTTTTATGGTGTAGTGTTTCTGTCGGTGTGTAAGATTCCACAGGGTAGGGGATTGGCAACAGCGCGAAGGATATTTTTATATTTATATATTTGATATCGCAAGCGTCTATAGGCCATGGTGCCGCTTGCCATCAGGCGGGCCATATACTTGTTTGCCACCATTTTAACATGAAAAAAATACGTGAGGCACTCGGGGACTGCCGCGGTAAAGCTATTGCATAGCATTTTTTATCAACTATGCAATTATAATTATTTAGTTATTTTTTTTAGCACCGCTGTGCCGGCCGGAGTGGGGGATGTTAGGTTTATTTTCGTTAAGGAATTTCTTGATTCGGTCGCCGCTCTCAAATCCCGCGATAAAAGCTATGCAATAGCTTAAACATCCCTATTCACGTACCCAAAAACGCGATCCTGTACAGTTGATTTGACAGCCTCGTGGTGTTCCTAGTGTCCCTACTGCCTGTGAATGTGAGCGAGTTGGCTCTGGCATCGGCCGCGTTCAGCTTAGCATTAACTGCGGCTAATTGTCCAGGCGGCGCCGGGGGGCACAAGGCGTTCAGAACAACCGATACTAGGTAGCTCACGTCTGATTGGCGGAGTGGTGGTACGTCTGGAAGATTTTTTTTATTTATTTATACTTAATTGCAAAAATTCTAATGGCGGACATGATGCCATGAGGCATTCTCTCACCAGTCTTACTCTAACCAGTAAGAGCATGATAAAAAAAGCGAGTTTGCTTATAACCACACGACTGAAGTGAAACTTCTTTAGCTCCATCTGCATGTATACAGGGTTAATTTTAAAACATCAACAACCTCTTACGGGGTGATTCTACCCATCAACAGGAACAACTTTTATTATGGGACCAACGCTGAAATCGCGAAAAAAAAACTGCTGTTTCATACAAAAGTTGTTCCTGTTGATGGGTAGAATCACCCCGTAAGAGGTTGTTGGTGTTTTAAAATTAACCCTGTATAATATGTGTGTGACCGGTGACACTTTTCGTAACGCTTAACTCGTGACGCATTCGCCAGTTTACCCCCCAAGTCAAGCGTGCCTAAATTGTTCATTGTTTACCGATGAGTCACTAGTGACACTAATCGTAACGCGTAACTCGTAACGCATTCGCTAGTTTACCAAGTCAAGCGTGCCTAAAGAAGTTTCACTTCAAAAAATACGGGGGTGCAATAAGGGCAAATGTAAGATATATATCTACAATATTATACATTAATACACACATAATTATGCCAATCAAATATCACAACGCAGATTAATGATATTGAGATAGTGCTCACGAACGAATTTCTTAAATTTTAGGAGCTTTACGTTTATGGGGGGGGCAAGTCATTCCAGAGTTGGAATTGTGTATAAAAAACTCTTTAAAGTAGTTATAATTTTTATTTTTCAAGCATGTAACTGCTTGATGTTTAAATCTAAAGAAAATATAACTAAGCGAATGGATTCGCCCGGATAGCGAAGGGTGCGGATTCGAGTCCCGTCTGCTGCCTGGTCCGCGTGGAGTTTTTTCTAGTTATATTTTCTCTTTATAGAATCTTATATTTTAGTAAATAGATGATAAGCTATACTTATAAACACGAATCACTATTTTCCTTGGTCACACCATAGTTCCAGAAAGACTTAAGCGATTTTTTTTTAAACTTTGTAGAAAGTTTTTATATTAAATCATTTACTTGATTATAATAGTTACTTAACTGTAATTACAGCTTGCAGATGTCGCGGTTTCAGGACGTTATTATATTTTTTTCGGGCAGTACAGTAACTGTAAAATGCACTAGTCTGATATAATGTAATTCAAGTCCGAAATTATTTTTCTCTAGTAAAAAAATCTTAAGATTGGGAAATAGAAAAATCTAGCAGTTTCATGCTTACAATAAAAGTATTAACCTTTTCTGCCACTTCCAACACGCAAACAGAGCGGCATGAATAAGTTCATCAGCATGTTTTCAGTCTTCTCGGCGTTTTGGAATATTGCGCTGCCGCCACACATTTGTTCCAGCGAATAACTATCCTGTTAAGAGTAAATTTACAAAGTTATGAAGAAATTCGTTTAATTTATCATGTTATTAGAAACTAAAAAGCTAGTTTACATACCCCAGTGTTAATGACTTGTAACGCGATCAGTCGTACAACTGTACTACAAAAATGCGGAGGCGGTGGCTGCGACATAAGCGCAGCGGTCGCAGAAGATAGATTCTCGCCGGAATTGTTCTCGGATACTATAAGAGCCTGCGTGGAACAATAAATATTACTATATTAATACGTAAAGAAAAAAAATCCGTAGCTCCTTTTAGACACTTTTTGCTCATGGAGGTAAAATGATTTTGCATCTTAAACCTTTATATGTAAAAGGAGAGGAGAAAGCTAATTATTTTTCATGACAATGGATAACAAATATATTAAATCAAAAAAATAAAATTTGAAGATACCATGCGTTTTAAACACACAATTTAACTAAAATATTATAGAAGAATACTCTTACAGAAGAACTAAAAGAATTGAATTTAGACCAAGAGGCGACCGTTTGTCTGAATAAATATGTCGTACGGTCCTTTTGCATGTTTAAACACCAAAATATGTAAGTACCTGAACTGTATTAAGAAGTGTCTTCACTTGCTGCCAGTGCATTATGTATGGACATCTTATCATAGTTTCGTATACACCTTTTAGTAGTACGGCCGCTGAATCCCAGTCTGTGTTTCTCTAAAATGTTAATTGAATACAAGTTAATTAAAAACATTATCTAAAGTTTGGTTATGGTAAGGCATATACTTATTAAAATATTATATATGTATATATATATATATATATTCTTTAGATTTAGATTAGAAAATTATCTAAATGTTAAGGTGTCAGTATCAATCACAATATTAATCAATTTATTTCTTATGTTTTCACGCACACGACCGGAGCCTGTGAAGGATTTAAAACGACAAGAATAATAAAAAAAGATATAAATCGCGCTTATACCACCCCTTTAATAAGTGTTATATTAAACAATGTGGGTAACACTGTTTTTTTAGTATTCTGGCAAAACATGAGAAGTACAGCAAAGGTGATTTCCGAAATTTGATTCAGGGTAGGCAACACGCGACACCATAAAATGGCTAGCATATAATACTACAACAGGCCGTTACCTTCACCTACAAAAAACCTCTTACTGAAAGTATGTCAACTTACCCGTATACTTGGTTTCTTAGCTATCTTAAGGAAGACCTTGTCTAGCCTTCTGAGTATCATGATGAGTGCTGGTCTCAAAGCGTCGTCCGCCCAATCAGCAGCCGGCAAAACTTGCGTCATGTATCGCTGCAAGCCCCGGCATCCCATAGACTCGGGGTCGTATGGTGACACTTTCAGGAGAGAGTGTGCTATTTCCGCGAGTCGCTATGATAACAGAAAAACAAGATTTACACTTGGTCAGTTAATGACTCCAAGAGTGGGACTTAAGAAGCCAGTTCTTGCCCGATACTGGCATAAAATTAAACAATTTTTGGAGACAGTACAGCGCCGTCATCACGACTAATGACATATGAAACAGTGCAAGTCAATTCTCCAGTACTGATTACTGACCAATTTGGAGTCAGTAACTGACCCTGTCAGTAAAATTGCCATAATGGTGATACTTCGACACTGATAGATACTAAAAGTGATAATAATACAATACGGCCTATGACATCATTAACTTTAATGCAGACCCAGCATCGCATAGCCTTTGGGTCGTATGGTGACACTTTTAACAGAGAGTGTGCTATTTCCGCTAGACGCTGTGTGGGAAGTAATGCTGATATAATGGCTCTGACAGATGGTTGTCATGATAATGGAAGTTATATTATCAGCAACCGGCAACACTTTCGTCATATACCTCTGCAGACCTCGGCATCCCATAGACTCGGGGTCGTATGGACACAATTTCAAGAGAGAGTGTACTATATCCGCTAGACGCTATGTTAACTTTAATTTCACGTAGAGGTAACTATTTGTCAAAATTCTACACATTTTACTATGTATTTGTGGTGACATTGACTATTATAAAATTTTAACTATGTATCAAACAACGCTGCCTTAGAATCGAGAAACTTGACGAGTTTTCCGTCACTACCGCCGCTGCCGTTGAGGTCTAACAGTCGAGTCGTCGCCCTACCAATGAACTTTCCGAGTAGAGAACTTTCTTTGCTTAACTCACCGCATCTGACTTGGAGTCTAGAAGCTCAACGGGTTTTCCCTCACTTGCTGCTCTCAAAGCCGTTAAAGTATAAGAGTCGAGTCGAAGCCCCACCAGTGAGCTTTCCGACTAGAGAACTTTCTTTGCTTAACTCACCGCATATGACTTGGAGTCTAGAAGCTCGACGGGTTTCCCCTCACTTGCTGCCCTCAGAGCCGTTTAATTAGAAGGGTCGAGTCGAAGCCCTACCAATGAGCTTTCCAACTAGAGAACTTTCTTTGTTTAACTCACCGCATGTGACTTGGAGTCTAGAAGTTCGACGGGTTTTCCCTCACTTGCTGCCCTCAGAGCCGTTTAATTATAAGAGTCGAGTCGAAGCCCTACCGATGCGCTTTCCGACTAGAGAACTTTCTTTGTTTAACTCACCGCATGTAACTTGGAGTCTAGAATCTCGACGGGTTTTCCCCCACTCGCTGCCCTTAGAGCCGTTGAGGTATAACAGTCGAGTCGAAGACCTACCAATGACCTTTCCGACTAGAGAACTTCCTTTGTTTAACTTACCGCATGTGACTTGGAGTCTAGAAGCTCGACGGGCTTTCCTTCACTACCGCCGCTGCCCTTAGAGCCGTTGAGGTCCAACAGTCGAGTCGTCGCCCTACCGATGAACTCTCCTACCAGAGACAGCAGCACATCTCGGGGACGACGGTATTCGGCCCGGACCAACTGTTAACGTGACCACAAATTATACTGAATAGTTACTTAGCACGCATAGCAGCTATAAAATAATAGTCACTTGTAAATTAATGTCAAATTCTTTAAAGTTCGAAATTCTTTGCAGATTTGCATTTTGTGGTAATCTAACGTGTATCTGTCGACAGTCAGTTGTACTTTTGGATTCATTCGGTTCGAATAAAGCTATGGTTTTAAACAGTTTGAGAAATCTATATGATTTTAATAGTTAAACATAGAAGCCCTTCTATGGTGACGTTTCACTGCTATGATTTCTGACAACAGTTTTTTTTATCATTCTAGAGAGTTTCCAATTTCATACGAGTCTCAGTCCATTCTCTATGTTTCTCTATAATCGAATCTATCTTTCTATATCTTAATGGTTACAACATAAAGAGAAACAACATTGACCTCAGAGTCCTCAGCTCCAGTAAACTCTGGCACTTGTATCTTGGAGTTGTCAAACTTGGAGTGAGATTCGTCGAATATGATGTTTGTGGCCGCAGACCTCGGTACGGCGCGCTGCGACGATCCCTTGTGTTCGGGGGACGTTCTGTAGGGGCCGTTGTACGATCTGATGTGAGAAAAGGATATATTTTAGAACTAGCGGGCGCCCGCGACTTCGTTCGCGTGGAGTTAGTTATTTGCACATACTTTTTGACCCCTGTTCACTGCTCGTTCCCCGTAGGTGATAGCGTGATAATATGTGTTAACCTGACTTCTTAATAATATTCGTGCCAAATTTTAAGTAAATCCATGCAGACCTTTTTGAGTTTATCCCGAACATAGATACACATACACACAAACAGACAAAAATTCTAAAAACCATATTATTGGCTTCGGTATCGATTGAAAACACACCCCAAGTATTCTTTTAAAAAAATATTCAATGTACAGTTTTGACTTTCCTACCATTTTATTATATGTATAGATGAACATTGTTTTAAACTTTCATGGATACTTTTATTAAAGTTAAAAGCATCATTGCTACCTTGTGACATGATCATGGAGAAAGCACTTATTTGCAACAGTACCGAAAAATCAGGGACTTGCATAAAACCAGGTCCACGGTAGCAATCCCGCTATTTATTATAATATTATGAATGTCGAACAAGGTCCTATTCAGCGCTCTGAACTAGAGGAAAGTGGCTAAAGCGCTTTAAAGAAGGTATTCGCAATTTTGAACACTGGATAAAATTTAGATAATATAGTTTTCGATCGGAATTCTTTCCGCCTGTAATTAGACCCGACCCTAATCGTCGAATATGATGTTAGTGGTCGCAGACCTTGTTATGGCGCGACGATCCCTTGTGTTCGAGGCACGTTCTGTAGGGGCCGTTGTACGATCTGATGTTAGTAGAGAATAACTTTTTGGATCAACATTGTTTTTCACTTTTCATGATCACTTTCAACTTTTATTATTAAAGTAAATAGCGGGATTGCTACCATGCACCTTGTCGAATGATCACGGGGTGAGCACTTACTTGCAATAGTGTCGAAATATCAGGGATACGCAAAAAATAAGCTACCATGTAGCAATCCCGCTACTTCCTATAATACATAATTATTATGAATGTCGAACGAGATCCTATTTGGCGCTCTGAACCCGAAGAAAGTAGCTAAACTAGTTTATAGGAACAAAAACTGGATAAAATATAGATAAGTTAGTTTCCGATCGGATTTTTGTTCACTTGTAATTAAATTCGGGTTTAAGCATTGATATTGTGAATAAGTGTGCATTGTTGCACACAGGATTCGTAAATCGTCAAAATATATATTCGAAATTATTAAATTGCAGAATTTTATGATATAAAATATTGGCAATTGTAATTGTTTGCTATGTATTTAATATATTTTGGGAATAATTTAAATGTTACCAATAGATCCTTCCAAAACCAATAGACCTTAAGTGGTAAAAAAAATTTTTTTACGTCATCCATGTATGCCATACTACGAATGACGAGAGCTAACCTGATGTGAATAATTAAGTTTATGAATGCAATGAAATTAAATGTAAATTACCAATCACTTACTTAGACAGCCCCTCGCAGTTGTTGACTAGTGTTTTAATTGCGATGGCCAATTGCTGAATGATTTCTTTTTCGGTTTTTCCTTCCCTGTTATAAGTTGGTAGCTGAATTTGTTTCACGTAGCAAGGTAGTATTGCTTCTAATATAATCTGTAATAGTAAATGAATAATTTAAAATTTAAAAAACACAATTAGCGTAGTAATTTTTAAATGCTTCTTTCGTAATTATAGTATTTGAAAATTACTATAGTCTTGATAATAGCTTCGCCTTTTCACTCCCTATAGACTCTATAGTATAGAGTATGATAACATACCACCTCCTGACTAAATGGCAAATAGCAAATACGAATAGCCATATAATATATTCATAATGAGGAGCTCGATGGCGCAAGTGGTTAGCGCGTTCGGCTGCGGTCGTTGAAGTTAAGCAACTTTCGCAGTGGTTGGTCATTGGATGGGTGACCAAAAATTTACTATCTCGAGTTCCTCCGTGCTTAGGAAGGCACGTTAAGCCGTGGGTCCCGGCTGCACCTGCAGTCGTTAGCACCCACCAATCGGCACTGGGCCGCGGCCGGAACAAACTCCCTATTCCATCCATAGGGATGGCCTATGCCCCAGCAGTGGGGACATTAATAGGCTGATGATGATGATGATGATATTCATAATAAAAATTATAAAAGATAAACTTACAAGCATCTGGTAGCCCCTCATACTTTCAGCGGAATACGAGACGACCATCACACAGAGACTGATGCAATCCAAAACGTTTACCATTTCTTCTTCGTCTCGATAACAAAAGTCTATGGGTTTGAGTGGTTTCTCCTCTTTTATCAGCTCTGCTATGTGCAAAGGATCCGGCGATGGAGTTTCCAAACTAAGCAGAAGATTGAATAGGCAACTCGATTGTACCTTAAAACGATATGGAATTTTAAAGCCACATCAAAAAATCGTAATAAATTAGTATAATCGCAATGAAGCAGTAATATAATTTGGCGTTTCTTAGTACGGCCAAGCCATATATCGTAAAAAATCGTTCCACAATACATGAAAGTAGTTCAAGCCATATCTCGGTTAACCTCAGACCAATTTGTTAAGCAAAATAGATACAATAGAAAACAAGAGTAGAAGTGGCATCAATTCGTTTTAGTCCCAAAAACCAGTGAAACCAAAACTCACACATAAAAAACTTAAGCTACGCCTCTAATTGAATAGTACACACACAGAGATTGACGCACCCCGATTGCTAAAAAAAAGATAATCCGTACAAACAAATCAGCATAAATCACATTTTTGACAATTTAAATTCAACCTTATTTCTTTCACAATCTAACACAAAAACGAACAAGCTTGTTTAAACTAGTGTTGCTGCTTAACGCCAGATGGCGTACTTTATATTTAGCCAATCTGATTTACCACCTTAAATTCAAGTACATTGGATAGATTTATTAAATGAACTTCAACGTAAACGCAGTTGAAGTTCTAGTTGCTACTCAATTAGGTCTTGATTTTTTTTTATCGGTAAATAACGATTTAAAAATTATGCTTGGGAATTTAGTTATCACCAATAAAATTAACTTGAGTTCGTAATATGCTAGATATGAGCCTACAAAATCACACAAACTTAAACGAATTATTTTTGACAATGCAAAGACTTACTTTACTAGCATCACCGTACGTAGATTCTTCATCCGTGTCCAGTATAGCAGAGACAGATCCGAACATTTGCAATATGAATGGCTTTCTGTTCAAAAGGTAGAACTGTTTCACAGCGTATTCTATAGTGGTGGTGACTAATTTGTTCGTTTGGAAATTCGAGTATATTTGCAACAATGTTGGCATGATTAGGAGGTAGCTGGAAATGTAATCAAATTTTATAATATCATTCCTGTTGAAGACAAAGAAAATTTTTAATTTTAAATCTTGAGAAAACATACGGACCGGTTTATTTTAAACTGTAGTAGTTACATTAACTATTGGTGGTATTATGTTTCTGTCAGTGAATAAGGTTCCAGGGCTGTACAGGGTAAGAGATTTAGTTCAGACTGGAAAAGTGTGAATGGTTTGAGCGGCACCTTTTCCTACTTCATCTTCACGTTTGAACGTAATTTATAAATACTTAACATCAAATAGCGCCATTTGCGCATTTGCTACGCTTATTATAAAGACCATATTAACTAGAATAACAACAATATTTAACAAGTTTTCTATAGACCGAATTTTACGTTGGATTTGCGTGAGTCATACCTACGCCTACGTTACCTTAAAAAACAACTTACCCATTAGTAGAAAATATGCTTTTGAAGTTGAAAGCTGCATTGACGTAAGTCGCTATAACGTATCTGAGTATTAGCGAATCTTCACTGTGCAACATTAGAGCACCGTTTAGTACATTTAGGAATAAATGAATGTCTCTGGATGAGGTAAAATTACCGGCCATAGCTTCAAACATGCGAGATATCAAACGGACCCACCTGAAAACATTGCTTCGTTAGACATGTACTTCTTTTAGGGGCTTTAATGTTGTATGCTAGAATAATAATTTAAATTTTAAATCCTCTATAATGGGAAGTAACTTATAATTTACTAGGAGAATTTGTACCATGTTTAGAGAGAAATATTAAAAAAATCCCTTTGATTTTTTCGGTAAGGAAAGCATTATTCCAACATTTCGATTTCCATTGTTAATTTAATGTAATGTAGGAACATTCGAGATATAATCTACAAGGGCCGAATATAATGTGTTTGATAGTATTTTAATTGTGAAATGACCAAATTTCTCACATGAATTTGTGTAAAACATCCAATCCTAGAAGCGTAGAGCCTAAAGGTCCACGGCTATATAGTGTCAAGTCAGCTTCCAGCGCCTTCCGCGGGAATGACGGCAATTTCATCAACTCGTCATGCAAAAATACTACGCGCTGCACAACCTGTTAAAATAAGCTTAAGGTATCAAAAATTGGTGCTAAACTAAATCGTAGTCTAACAACAGTTTAAGTGACCTCTAGTGTATATATATTGATTTTATTTTTTTACCAAAAATGTATGGAACATAATGTCTATTTGATTGACGTAGGCTCCAACTTCCATCCGCAGTGAAGGAATGAAACGCAAATAAGTCAGTGTATCTTGTAAGGTCTGGATGGATTGTTTATATTTGGTGATTGGTTTAATGTATCGTGACGTCACATCTAAGCGCGCGTCAAAACTGGCAAATTTAAGACTTTATAAAATTTTTCGACGTTGATTTTTTTTATACTGCTTAAACCATGTAAACTACTAAATAAAATATTAATAAAAAACATGCATATACCCTATTTATAATTAAGTGATTTTGAAAAACTAACGGCAATAGAAAATGTAAGAAAAATATTCTTAAAGTAAGGGCTACACAAAAAGGTTAGATAATCTCTTTGGGTTATACTAAAATAAGCAACATTAGGTTAAGTATATTACCATGTCGACGTTCTTGAGGATAGCCCAAGTAAGCAGAACCTTTCCGATTTCAACAAATTTCATCAGCAACTCTTGTTTTTGCAGTTTATGGAATGCTTCCTCGGGCTCCATGTGCACTAGCCCTAACTGCGGATATTGGGAGCGTTTGAAAAAGTAATGGTCGCGCACGTAGTTCTGCGGGTTGTGGATTTGACCTGTTCATAAAAAGATGGTTAAATTGTTGACATTGGTATCGACTCTGGTGTGATTCTCTATACCTAAACTTAAATTTGACAACAGCGCATCCTTGTCTTTCTCCATACAAAATAAAAAGGGGGGACCGATGTTAAATTTAGTTTTAAGTCAAAATAATCATGCCAGAATCGACGCCATTATAATGTTTGCTGTTATCGACAATATAGGGAACGAACCAAAATATTCTTCTGCGTTTTTTGTACAGACTGCCACAAATAAAGTTACTATAAACTGTCAAATTATCGCAATAGATTTTGAATCATATGCCTAATGAATTAAAGCTCAAAGCCAGTAGGAAAAATTGCACTTTAAGGTTATTTGACCTGTTTTGATTTTTTGGCTGCCTGTAATGAGCGATAATATTAGAGATCAAGTAATATTTTTTTGTCTAGATAAGCATATTTACATATTATTATAATACGACAATAGTTGCATCAAAGTTAAAAATGAATATTCAAGTTTTCAAGTGCAGGGTGCAATCCGCGTCTGACCTGCCTACCTACTACATAATAAGAAAAAACATTTTATAAAAATCACTTACGTGTTTTGAAATCAACCAAGAAATGTTCCCGATGCAGATGTTCTGGAATACCAAAGAAATCTAGAGACTCCTTCAAGATTTGCGAGAAAACCGTGTCCTCTTGAACTGGGAACTGGGACGGAATACTGCCTTCGTTATCCGCTATAAAGAAATTACCATGTTTATAGTTTCAGCAGCTTAAAAATTTGAAACGTAGATATTGTTAAACGATACTAAACATTAAATATCTGAAAGATTCAAAAACATATGCGTTTCCACCTAGTGCTCAGAATAGTTCCAAGCGAGCCAACATTTGTTCGCTCAAAACAATGTTGTATTGTTTCCACTAATGACTGAGCAAGTGAGCTTTCGTTTCTTTGAGTCCAGTCAAATTATAGTTGTACAAACTCGTTAGATCGCTTTGACGTTTCCATTTACCGAGCGAGCAAATGTTTGCTCGTTCAGAACTTTTCCGAGCTTAAGTGGAAACGCAGCATAAGAAATACATGTATACGATATATGATTGATAGGATAGATCCTTCTACATGAAAATTTTAATTAGATTAGATTTATTCCAAATCGGGTGGGAGCCGTGCTGTATCTCTGATAAAGGCTCTAAGTGACAAGGTTAGTGTATATTCAAATTAAAATCACATTACTAGTCAAGTATCAATTTGCATTACAGTGCTTTAGATGCCTATCGAAGCCGTTATTGACTTACAAGGTCCATGAACGATGATTTTCTTAGCAGCTGGAACATTTGCTGTGAGTAATATAGAAGCATCGCATTGCTCTTTGCGCAGAATCTGTTTCAAATCTTTGAACATGATACCGTGAACACTGTGAACCACCTGAAAGATATTTTCTTATTATTTAAAATTACTGGAACCGTGAGTAAGGGGTTGAAAGTAAGGGGCTATCTCGCTGTGGTTTGTGCGTAGTAGGTAAATACCTATTGAATAAATAAATACTCATTCTTCAATGTTTTTCCTAACATTGTGTTATTCATCACATCGTCATTTTGTATTTCATATTAAATCAAAAATCATTTATACAGTCTAGGCTGGCTGTTACAAGCACTTGTGAAGGTCAAGAAGCTACGCCATCGGTTCGCAAAACTACGGCGGGAGAACCGACCTACTACAGAAAAGCACCTAGTTTCTACTTTCGCAATGGCCATTGCAGAGCAATAGATTAAATGGCTTTAACAGTCGTTACAAATCAAATATCCACGTGGCGAGTTTCTGTCTATTTACCTAGGTTTGTTCACCATGAGGACAGACTAGGCAAATAAGGGCTTTAAGATGCGCTAAACATAATTTTAAATAGCAACACAATAGGCTATTTGGCAATATAAAAAATAAAGTACCAATTGTTAGCATTTCTATTTAATTAGCAGCGATTTTACTATTCTGAGAGTAGACTATAGTCACGTGACCGGAAACGCCTGGGATTGGCGAACACTAAAATGACGTGACACACTAGTAAACCTCCGGTCAAAGTGACATTACATTGTATCGTTTGACGTTTTAATGACAATCGTGTTACGCCATAAGCTAGTAATACGCCATAATGTATAGAGAAATGTTTTCGCGGCATCTTGAAAATGGAATTTTTGATTTAGTTTTGTTACTGAAAAACACGACAGAATAATGAGTATCCACTTTTTATGGACTCCATAAATATTAGCAAATAACACTTTTTCTAATACCCATTTGTGTTGTGTTTACCAATTTCGACATCATCATCAGCTTTTTAATGTTCACACTGCTGGGGCACAGACCTTTCCTATGGAAAAAATACGAATAAAGCCATGACCCACCACGCGGTCACAGTGCGAATCCATCAATGCACTGCAGATGCAGCCGGCACTTACGGCTTCATGTGCCTTCCGAAGTGCGGAGGAGCTCGAGATTTTAACTTTTTTGGTCACCTTCACATATTCCACTCCACTTTCGTATCGTTTGATTGCAGCTCAAACACGCTAACCTTTAGCGCCATCGACTACCTCTTTAATTTTATCATCATCGTCAGCCTATTAAATTACCCACTACTGGAGTACATGTCTTCCCTATGGATGGAATAGGGAGTTTGGGCCATGGCCCACCACGCGGGCCCAGTGCGGATTGGTGGGTGCTAACGACTGCAGATGCAGCAGGGACCAACGGCTCGACGTGCCTTCTGAAGCACGGAGGAACTCGAGATAGTAAATTTTTGGTCACCCATTCGATGACCGACCAATGCGAAAGTTGCTTAGCATCAACGATCGCAGCCAAACGCGTTAACCACTTGCGTCATCGAGCTCCTCCCTCTCTAATTAACTAGAAGAAATCATCTCACCATCCACAATATAGAGAGGGCTGCTCCGATTAATCTCTGTCCGTCCTCATGAGGAGATCTCACGTAAAACATGACGTAACCTATGATGTAATTGTACAGCGCGAACGCAGCTTGTTGCGGCAAGCGGGGAATGAAACGGATCAAATGTCGCAGCAACTTGAACATTTCGTCTTGATGATCTCGCGTGAGTCTTTCTAGAACATGGCGCAGGAAGAGCGCGGAATCTTCCACTAGACAACCCCATATCACCTGTAGGAATATAGTAGTAATTGTTATTATAGCTATATTTATTTCATGTCGGCACTTCTTCACTTGCCCATTCGTATTTGCTGTTTGTAAACTTGACAACAGTCTCACCTTATTATGCTATATAAGGAATGAAAAGGACAGACTGATGTCGTGTTTACAAATAGCAAACACGAATAGCCAAGTGAGGTGCCGGCATCAAAGTTATAGATACCTAGATACCCTATATAGAATATAAAGTAGTTGTAAGTTCGGAATGTATTTAATGTAATTGAAAATAAAGTTGAACTAGTATAACTGTATTTAATTAAGTTAAGCCTAGCCATTATCAAATATATAGTAGATTTTATCTAAACAGAAAGTTTTCAGATGTGCATAACTATTCCGTGTGCACTGTCCGTCTGTCTTTTACCTTTTGACGTGCTGAAACAACTTTGATGAAATTTGGTGTAGAGATAGTTTGTGTCCCGAGAAAGGAGATAAGATAGTTTTTATCTCAGATATCTGTACGTAAGCTTGTATGGGAAACCAATTAGGCCACACAGACGAAGTCGCAGGCATCCGCTCGTTTGAAATATGAATAGCAACAGTACTGAATATTAAAAATATATAATTCAATGACTGTTGCATCTTAAGTTGGGGCTTTTGGAAAAAAAGTTTACCATAAGCCACGCTTTGACGTACAAAATGTTCGAGTAACTCGTCTGCTCCAATGATCATCATCATTAAAAAATATTGTTGTCTGTAAAGTTCGTTTACTACGATAATTTTACGTGATAACCTGTCGTTCGCTGTTTTCCTCGGGGCAGTTTTGTGTAGCTTTTGTCCTGGTTTGCTTGAGCCCAAGCACGCCTCTGTAGCTCTATGGGGGCCCGCGTTAAGCTGCGCGGAGGTGAGAGGCCGAGAGAAGGTTAGGGTGGTTAGAGGGAGGGAGGAAGCGATGCTCTACGCGAAAGACCACCGGTCGACGCGTATGGTGGGCGCTGGATGTCTCATTCGGAGTCATAGGGGGCAAGAGAGGGACGGAGAGAACTATGCTCTTCCTCCTACTCTTACTAGTGCCGCGAGTCTGCTCTTGGGCCTGCACTGCACAAGCTCTCTAGATGTCGATGCTCCTAATGCTCTGGGGCATCTTCATCGGGGTGGGTCCGTTTCGGGCAAACACCTTGCGGGTGCGTGGCCAGTTGGAAATCGGGTGCAACGACGACGCCCCCGCATTGGGGGGATCTCGGACCACAGAATGCGTGCCGGGTAAACGGTGCGGGAGCATTGTCTGGTTTTTACTGTTCAGGGCATTAAGTAGGGCCCTGTTCATTTCATCTGGCTGAAGCGAGCAGGGAGGAGTCTTACATACCTTCTTCTCGCTCCCCCGGTGGTTGAAGAATGCGTAAGGCATTTCCCTGAAAAAACAGGGGGGGGAGGTCAGGGTGATCAGGAGGGGTCTAGTCAGAGGGGGTTAAGGGGAGGGAGTCTACAGAACCAACCGACCTCACCACACACACACACACACACTTTGTTGAACTATCTCGTGACAACGTGACATGACTTCAGACTTTGTCGTGCGTGTAGGGTGTTCATAGATTTAAAGGACTTTATCACGTCAAAATCTTACTAACCTGATAAGCGACTTCGTACACTGAACATCCATCATGCGATACGGCGGCGTCATCTAAAAGCGATATGATTTCAGCCACCGCTGAGCACAATACGGAGGGAAATAATGCCGAAGCGACCTGAGTGTGGTGGGAGCCACGTACTCCTTCTACCATCTCTTCGTCAGCTGGAGCTGAAATACGACAAACCATCAGAACAAGAGCTAAAGCATAGAAAAACTCCAAATTGAACAGTTATCTCATTGTTACATATAAACCAAAAAAGAGACGAATATAGTTGCTATGAACCGAACTATAAACAACGTGCGAACCACTATACAAAACGTCCTTCTAAGCTTTTTGGATAGCTCGGATTGGATAACCTTAACGATACCGAATCAAAAAGCGATCTAACGTCAAATGCAACCTGCCTACAAGCCACCAATACTTTTTGGTTGGGTCATACTTTCTTTAAAAAAACTTTTCGTCAATTGGTTGTCTACGGAACTGTACGCTCAAACCTCATAGCATTACTTCTATGCTTTAGTTCTTGTACTGAGGTCAAACCGTAGCATTAAAAAGAAAAATTTAATTTTAACTTTACGGAGTCATAATTTTCAAAAAATTGAGAACCAAAAATAAAAGTACAATACGGGGGAAAATAACGCCACGTTAGTTAATCTTGATGTTTGAAACGAATAAAACTTGACGATCTGTTTTCCCATTGTCCCACCAAATCGCGAATTTAAACTTATATACTTATATATTTACTTAAAAATAATCAACAACGTAACGTTAGTATGGAATTATATGAAAATATTGCTACATGACAGCCCAGAGTTATTTCATATTTCAGCCACATCGCCGGCTGCGATCGATTTGACGGTCCCCGTCACCCACTTTTCACATAGCAAATATGCTATGGTGGCTTACCACCAAGTGAACTAAGTTTGTTTGCGACTCTTGTTTGGAAGTCTATCACGGTCACGGTACAATGGAACTATTGAAGAATTTATACAGGTGCCTATTATTATCTTGGTTATAATGCGTTTTATGCACTTCCGTTTTCAGGGTTTAAGAGTTTCAGATATACCTAGGGAATTGTTTAAAAAGTGATTTTATTACATAAATGTAACCAATTAGAAATAATATGGAATACAAACTGCGCTAAAAAGTGGTTTCACGTAAACTGCAATCAAGTGGGCAGGGCGAAACTGCGATCAACACGCCTATCATGGGATTGGATGGGATTTCCGTTTAACATTATCTTACTCAATGAATGTATTGAAGAATAAATTTTCAAATACTTGATTTTTAAAATACTTAGTTTTGTCTGTGTGCATGTCGTGTTAGTATTGAAGTTAAGTTGTATGAGTTTCGTACTATGTTTTGAGGACTTTGTTAGAGAGTAATGCTTCGATATCATTTCTAATTCGTTGCATAAGGGTTATCTTACGTTCGATGTGGTCGTCGGCAGCATGATCTAAGGCAGGTTCCCTGGCAGCTTGACGAGTTATAGGTATGGTTGTGATGAGGAAACTCTCTCTTTCCGCTCGTTTCTTGTCGTTGCGTTGCTGCAATGCCCTTTTTATCGCTTCGGTCTGTTGTTTCTTTCGAGTCTTAGTCGCTGTAACTAAAGATCGCTGTAAAATTGAAAATCTGTTATGAGAAGAGATTATGTCTCAAATTGTTTGTTATTGTTTTTAAATTTCATGCAGTCGCACATTAAGAATTACTACGAAAGTAGTAAGCGAACTAGTACCGTTTTATCTATCATTGGAATATTAAGTTTTTAAGGGGGGGGGGGGGGAGTTTCATTAGTGCATTCATTATTCAATAAAAAGTTAAAAGCAAAAGAATTCAAGGTTTTTTTTATAAAAAAAATAGGGTTCTCCTTTCATCGCGGAACTTTTAATGTCATAATATGCATAATAGTATAACGGCGGTTGGCGATATCTTAATTTCGCTGAACGTCATTTGGGGTTCACTCATTTATCAGACATTTAAAACTCACAATTTGTAAGCCATAATCATCTTTCGGCATAAATTTTATATTCACAATAATTTAAAAGGAGAACCATCATATCGCAGAAAGTTCACAGTCACAATCATCTTTTGACATATGTACTACATTATTAACTTTCCTTTTTTATTTATCTATTATTTCGCGCTTCGCCGGCCGCTGCCGCGGTACGCTCGTTTCACTCGCTCGGCTCGTGCTAAGTTTATGTCATCACACTAACCTAACCCACTGACCACAAACACTCAATCTATCATAACATACTTTTTTGCTTAAAGAATTTATGCAACTTAGTAGTCTGTCATTATGAGTTCGGACTTAAAGTTTCGGTCGACAAGTGTTATTTTTTATAAAAAATATGCCTTAAAAATATTTGTTTAAATTAGATTATGCTTGATGAATTTCGGAGTACCAAGATTCTGCCAGCCATTCTGCCATAGAGGGAATCCAAAAAATATCATCGCATAGTCAAAAGTTACATACATGTCTTTCTTGATTCAACGTCATCTCCATATCCTTGTCTTTGACTTGCGGACTCCAAGGCGGATCGACTACGGCCAATGATTCGATCCCTATCTTCGGCGATGGCAATGTGAATTCGATGCCTGGCGGAGGCACTTTGAAGGTCATCGAAGCTCCTTCCTCCATTCGGGGCCACACTTGGTAACGAAGCTTCCACATTACTTGAAACCGTAGTATTGCATTTATTCTGAAATAGTCATTTGGAAATCAACAGAAACCAATGTTATTGCATTCAAAACGTATTCGATTGTTGACAAGAACAAAGTTATAAAGTTGTAGAATATTCAAACACGAAAAGATCCTAAAGCATTATCTAGTAGGACATTTATCAGTAGCTAAAACGAGATGAACTTGTCCAAGTAGTTCAACTGTCGGAAGCAGCATTTTGCTTTCTTATCATGTCCATAGTAATATGATATTAATACCTCTCCCACACCCGAGTATATTGCCAACAAGCTACGTCTATGATCACGATAAACGCAGGATTGGGAAGTCATTAGCTGTTATCGTAACGAACTATCGGGCTGCGTGATGTTAAATGCTAGCTAGAAAATAACCAGACTGGCGGTTTTCGACATACAGCCAAGAGATTTGGGGGGACGATAAACTTCTTCACCTCAAAAGGAGCGTACAATCACGCCTTTAGCGCCGTAAATTTTAGCGCAGTAAGCAGTCAAAGCTTCTTCTCTCGATTATCTCGTTGTTAAATCACTGTACCAAATATTGAGGTGAACACGACACAGGAAAAAAATAATTTTCACTCAACGAAGACCACATACACTTACCTAACCCCAGGTTCGGTATGTTTCAAGTCCTGGTGCATAATTTCAGAAGCGGTATGTGGGGTTTTAACAGCGGCCAATATGAACATAGCAGCGGCACAAGAACTCAATTCCCGGTCTGGTTCGAGCAGTAATTGCCACGCGACTGGTGCTGATTCGGCGAATAGTTCCTCGCTCATAGTTGTAGCGCCTTTGATTAGTGTCGCCAAAGGCGTGTGATGAGCATCGCGGACCTATAATTTATGTAGGTTAAGAAGGATGCAAACGATATGGCAGTTGTGAAGTTAGCAGCGATAGTAACTAAGTGCTCTTCCTTTCCCTCCTTCATGAGCGTCGCATTTTGATTCATGTTCAATCTTCAAAGAGTAATTAAAATAATAATATTTAATAGGAGATTTGATACGATTGAAAATTTTTGAAAGAGAATGGGATTTAATGAAAGTCATATAGCACCAATTTTTATATAATTGGGGGTACACTTATAATCCTAGTTATTCCATTATTCCATAAACTTTATTAAGTATTATAACATAATTTCTATTTAATTAAAATGTCACCTTATTCAAAGTACAATAGAGTTGAAGATAGACGTAATATCATTTAATATCGTAGTGCTGTTGCTAGGAGGACTAGTGTGAGTTTAGTAACATTAAGACGAATTATCCGTCACGTATATAAGTCACGTCACAGTCATATTTAAGTAAATGTGATTAAAAAATCATTCGCTTAGGAATTCACAATCTTGAAATTTATGTGAACAAGATGATTAAAATATTGAACGATAATTTACAGATTTAACAATAATGAAATCCATGATTAAAAAAAACAACTACTAAACAAAACCTAGAACAACCGTAAGATATATTTTGATTTTTGTAATATATGCAAATATTAGTTTACCTGTGTCTTCAAGTACTTCAGTATGGGTGGTGGGTCAGGTGGCGGGTAAGGCATGGCCCCGGGTTTGGTGATTAGCGGTACTTCGGCGTGAGGAAGCGAATGTTCCACGCCGGCCGCGCGGTAAGCTAGCCCGCCGGATTCTATGACGGATCGGTCGATTCTACAATATACACCGAGAATTTTAAGTTACCTGAGAAACTTAAAAATCGAGTAAATAAAAATAGTGCGAACAGTTATAAATAGTAAACATACACTCCCATACAAAAATAAATAAATATATATATTTCGGTTACAAAATATCCTTAAACGGCGCATATTTGTAAATAATGACACAAACACTCTTGAACCAAAACCGCGAACAAACTGGAAACAGATTTAACCAGAGCGCCGCGGCTTGAGGCCGAGTAGTGCGGTTCATTCTAATATGAGCCATATGCAGTGAGGCGTAAGGCAGAAAGTGTAAAGACGTCTGCACTTGTTTACAACTCATACGCGATACCTACGTATAAGTAGGTATTACGTATTCAGCGGTGCTAGAAAACGCTCAATTTAACTGGCATATAATATCGAAACCTATCCCGACACATACCAATAACATACCTATTATGGAATTAGTATCCATTTAAAGTATGTTGACTCTAAAAGTAGATTAATTTAAATCAATTTATAACAATTTTTATTGCTAAGGTTTCATAATTACAAATTTAGTGAGTAAACGTGGAGCCATTTTTCGAAAAAAATAATTAAAGATATTTTTTTTGCAGAAATGTAACCTTAATCTTTGTCTGAATTAGCTAGTAATGTTTCTCGGGTAACCAAAATTCATAGTTATACACCGATACGAGTTAAGGATTCAAATTCGATAAAGTTTGCATTCACAATGCACATGTCAGGATTTTACCAAAAGGACAATGTTAAAATTGGCTTAAGAACCAACACCAATTTGGCATTTATGATAATTCTTAGTATATTTTTTGCGATAATTATCAGTATTTAGATTGTGGCGGACACTTCCAGTTAAGTAAGCTAAATTAAAAAGTTAAAAAATAATCTGAGACAATAAATACCATTTTATGTGTATAATCTATGGCAGCGCTGCAAACAAAACACTTTCTTCCTAATGCTGGCACTTCACTTGGCTATTCGTATTTGCTATTTTAAAACATGACATTGTCTGTCCTTTTCATTCCTTATTAAGCATGACAAGGACAAACTGTTGTCAAGTGAAGGCCCGGCATAAAACTCTTTACTCTGTGGTTGTGGTGCATGCAGTTTGCATTCGTAGTAATCTGTGGCATTCGTGCATTCCAAAGATAAGTATAATATACCTCAAAGTGCATTCTCCTTTCTGATTACCTGTTGTGTGTGTTTATTTGCGATTGTTTTTCCTTTAATTAAACTATTTCGGGTATCTAATATGCCATCGATGTTACCAAAGAGCAGAGCCCTTATTACCAAGTGCTAGTGAACCTGTGCCACAACATCCCGAGCGGATCATACTGCCAAATTATTCAAGAACACCTGATACACATTCACGCTGCATATTTACACAATATACATGAGATATACAAATAAATACAATAAACAATATGATACAATTATGTGAAAAATAGTCAATAAATAAGAAGCAAAACTACAGTTTTTATTTTATTCATGATTCCTACCTAACCAAGTTTTTCCTAATAGTTATTCTTTAAAATCGCGCCGAATAAAATGAATTAGTTGTAATATTAATTCACTTCATACTGAGTTCATACTAAATTCATAGCTTGACCTATGTTTCATTGAATATTAAACATAACCTCAAAAAAAAAATTAGTTTTCCTAATAATTTAAGTTCTCAGAAGTGTCCGTCAATAATCTTTGCTTTTACAGTCATTTACTTAAGATTTTGAACCTAGAAAATAATATTTCATGATTGTTGATTCTTAGGCTAACTATGTATGGACGCTGAACAATGTCCTTTCAAAATTATGGATGTAATTTTGTACTTTGAATACCACAACTATGGTTTGGCAAATGGGGAAGTTTAAAATTTTTTAATAGGTTGTAGAGCTGCTGGACATCTTTAAAATAATACTTGATAGAATTCACTAAGCCTCAGGTGACTCAAGAGGTACGTAATGGACATTTTTCAATTTCTACAGTACAAGCTTTATTATTACTTTTGCTGCTATCCAGCGAGATCCGAGTTCGAATAGATAATTTGTTTCTTTAGTACCTATTAAAATTAAAATGATCGGACCTCGCCAATAAAGTACCTACTTTCACATAATATAACACAATACTGTACATATTTTAAAACTAAATCGTACACAAAATACATTTATATTTGCAATGCAACCGATGTTGATGGTAATCATAGTAAAAATACTTGTCTGTAGAATGTTCCGATGGTTTCCTAGCACGCCGGCCGCGTCTAGCTCCTCCCCCGGTATCATCTGAACTAGTGATATGGATTTCAGGACCGAATTTTTCACCATAGATCTAAAAAAAACACAAGAGAATGTTTTGTTTTGCAAAGTATATAAGGTAGATAAATAAAATAAATAAATAAATATTTCCAACACTCAAACCAATAGCCTAGCTCCAAAGTAGGCACTGTAAGGCTTGTGTTTTGGGATACTAGGGTAAGTACATATATTTTTATAGAAATACATATGAAACATCCATGACTGGAGTACAAATACTCGTATATATCACACAAACATCTGCCCCCACCGGGATTCGAACGCGGGACCTCTCGAGTCGGCAACAACATGAAACCCGGGGTATACCACTCGGCCACGGAGGTCGTCAAAATGGTTTATGAGAGGATGTATTTCTCTGATTGAAGGCAGTTCAAGAAGACTCGAGCCATTTTGACTCTAAAAAGACAACTTCCAACTCGCAAATAATAAATAAATAAAAAATGGAAGGAGCGTGGAAAAATTTTTGGGAAAAGAGTAACTTCTATCTTCACTTTTTTTTTCACAAAACTTGCGATTCATGAACACTATGAATAATGTTCACCTTTCGTACGGACTTCATTAATCTGATGCAGGCTCTCATGTTTCGTCGAAAACAATATGGATGGCAGAAGTTCTGATGGCAGCACACGTAGTTGAACGAGTTCAAGAACTTCACCATTATCTGTGATTTAAATACCATACAACAGTGTTAATTTATTTCTCAACTTCGTCAATACATATATGTGAATATATAGATATTTAAATAAGTTATATTTAATGGAGAATATGCTTAGGCATGTTACTCAAATAAGGCAGATTTTTTATATAAACTCTATTTCTTTCAAATTGTCCCTACATCAATATATTTAATAAAATTTGTTTTTGAGCAAGAAAGTAATTATTAAAAATTGGGAAATTTAAATATTTGAAACACGACAGAGGTTGTGACGTAGATTTTCATAACAACACTCATCGGATATGCCAGAGTCAATGAGATCTGTGTGCCAGTGTGTAATGCGCACGTTACCTCTAACTAATGTAACCACAGTAACAGTCGACATGTTTGTTATGTTGCTGAATGAACTATGACGTCACATTAAGTGTTCTTAAATAGCGAGGTGGCTGTTTTTTTTAAAGTTTAGACATATTATACAATTTTCAGATGTTGCAATTATTTATACTATATTATGGGGATGTAAACTAATAAAAAAAAACTAAAAAAATACACACATTCTATGCTACTATAAAGACATAATAGTCGATTAAATATCATTACAAATATCACTCTTAGTTCTATGTGTTAAAATAACTCTCATGCCTACATCCACCTTTTTTTCTTGATAAAGTTAACTAGATATTAGTAATCATTACTGGATAGGATCTACAGTTATTTTGTACCTAAACTATGTTATGCCTACTCTTTTCTAGGTGACTAGGGTTAAGATATTGGACACAAAAATCCTTTATTTGCATTAATTGCTACAGTATAACTATAATATTTTAAAAGAAACGTGGAATAAATTTCATGCAGATTATTTAGTCTTCTTATTCGTGCAAACCTTATATTAAAACAAAAATTGAAGATACGACACTCTTGGGTCAAAAGTGTACCGCTTTAATTAGGTACATGAACACAATTCGCTTTAATCACAATTTGACATCCAAACACGCTGCATGTGCATTCAATATAACAATATTGCGGATTTTCTGTGTTAAAAAGATAAAACAATGCCTTCGATGTTTATAAAAATATCACAAATAGTTTAAGATCAAATAACAAATTCCACGCCAACACTTTTCATTCGCAAAACTATAAAAACATTTTTTTCTTTAAAATCACGGTTTATCATAAATGTTATTTGCTTGTATTCGCTATTTGTTATCAAGAAAAGGACAACAATACAGCTCAGACCTTTGTAGAGAGATAAAAGAAGACGCAATGGGTTGCCAAACGACGCGGACTCGTAACACACGCGGACGCGGTTGAAGCGTACAGTACCCTTAGCACGATCCAATATTGAATTCGAATAGTTTGCGAGTGCGAAATACGGGAACTAAAAATCAGCGCCATAACGGACGTAACGAGAACAAAAAATCAGTATACATTTGACAATGACATTTCGTACTCGCAAACTTTACGAATTCGATATTGGTTTTGTTCTGTCCTTCTCGCTTGATTGAATGTTTATTCATATAAGTGTACGTGTGTAAGAGTTGCTACTAATAGTGTACCGTCTTCACCTTTTGTTTTAATGTAAGGTGCAAACATTGAATAATTTATAGGATATGCATCGATGGCACGAATAAACGATTAAATAATGGTTAAAGGATATTGACCTTCATCCACGGGAATCCCTTGCTGTTATCGGGGGGATCGGTGGAGTTACTGTCTGGACTGTCCGGGGGATGGTCGTGATCGTCGGACAGGACGCCCGGACTCTCTTCGCCGCCACTGTCAACCTCACCTGGCATTATCACAGTGCCCCCTGTGGATAACACCTGGCTGGAATACTGGTATATAGAATCTTGATTTTCTGCTAACCCGCTAGGGATATAAATTGTAAAGCTAAGTACGTATGCATGATTTTAATGTCTTAAACTTAATGCTGGTATATAATAATACGTAATGGTGGTAAATGGCTATCCCATTCACTTACAATCAACAAATAGATCTCCAACCACCTAAAAATCATCAAAAAACGTCCGTGTAGCGTTCGTGTATCCAGGTCGCATTCACTTTACGTATGATCGTGGTCGTACAAATCGAGCACACTGAATACGTTTTTCTCCGTCAAATAGGCAGTGTCACGTTGATAACGTGTTCGTGAAGTCACCTTTGGTTACAGCGCGATCAATAATCTGAATCTTCAAAATAATTATCTTGTAACTCGAATACTGCGGCGGCGTCTTCGGCTGTCGCAAAACCAAATGGGCGTGTGAAATATATTTAAGAATACATGCGATTTACCAAATTTTGCGTTGATTATCACGTACGTTACTTGAATCACCCTGATCATATAAACATTTATGCCCATAAGTCCACTTTTACGCACGAATGTGTTTTAAAATCCCAAGTTCGGATTGTTTTCGGATGGCAAAACTTCTCGTTAGTATACGTACGTCTAACTCGTACCTAGATGTACACTACTATAGAACTTGAAAGGTTGGAATAATTCGTGCATACGAGTAAAATTCGTACGAAAACGCGTCGAAAGTGAGCCTGCCACATACATAATAAACAATTGCTTAAATTAACACGCTATATCGTGGTAATGAGGTTCAATGTTCATTATAATATAATAATATTGTATGAGTCGCGGCACGAAACTCTGGCGCTGTCCGTTATTGCGCAGAAGCGAAAATTACGATGTCATGGGGGGGAAACGAGGTGCGCGGGGGAGCGTGCGTTGCGCCGATTGGCTCTCTAGTGGTACACATGCGCAGCTATCCCCTCCGCATTTCGTTCAGCGCCACAGTTACGTACCAGGGGGTCAATCGTCTAACGGGTTTGCTATGGCTATCGGTATCGCTTACGATTTAATTTTGTTATTTCTGACCGCCGAAGGTTTTCAAATGCCTCGCGTTTTGTTTTTCTTTTGCATTGGTAATAACAATGTTAAATAAAACGAGGGCGAGGCATTTCAAAACAATCGAATTGTATAGCGATAACGATAGCAATCCCATTAGGCGATTGGCCTCCGTGTACGAGACTGAAGAGTTGGTAACAGTGCGAAAGAGACATACACGAACTTCGAACAATACTCTATCCTTTACCCTAAGTGGGAATCTGCTGCCATTTGCATATTTTTTAATCGAATACTTTGTCATTGCGTAGCTTTGTAATAAAAGCGCGACAGAAACATGAAATGGAAACTTTGCACAATGGACGTGTGTGCAGACTTTTGCTTCAGACAATTTTTCGATTGTGATTGAGAGTTTGTTTATCGTACGCCAATGGGATTGTATTTGTATTCAATAAATTTTACAGCAGTATCTCCTTTTCATTTCCTTTATTTACATGGTAAGTTTATACTTATCCGTGATCCTCTTCGAAGCTAAAGCAAGCACAACTTTCTCGAATCTAAATTGAAAAGCGATCACAGAAGGAGAAAAGGTAGAACTACTTTTCAACGGGTCTAAAATGCGTTTTTAATGTTGTATAGAGGTATTAAAAAGCGTATTTTAAGCCCTTTGAAAAATCTTGAACATAAACCATAGATAACGAAGCCTGCAATTTTACATAGTAAAACATCTACTGCAGTTTGTTTATCTATGGTGTTATTTAAGATATTTGCCGCTAAGTATACCTACACAATTGGATGATTATTGCGCTTTATGCAGCCACACGAATTTGTTTGTACATACGTTTACCAATACAGTAAAGCGCAATCCAAATTGCGACCGAAGCGAAATGAATTGAAGTAAGTTTCGTAATTTAACTAGTGGAGTTGACAGACAGTCAGAGACGTATATTTTTAATGTTTGTAAAATTGACGTGCTGTCTAATTCTATTAGGATTACAAAGAGAGCGACAGAAAAAAAAAATAGTCAAATTCAATAATTAGTTGACGTTTCTAAGTGGAGGCCTTAATAATGAAAAAATACGAAACGAATTTCGCTAAGTTTCACTTCGCTCGCAACCCAGACCTGCGCTTTACGAAGCAGAGGACAAGCGTTGTTATGCGAAAAACTTTACGCAAACATTACGAAACTAAATGCATATCACGAATGCGAATCAAACTTATAGCTGAGGTGATTTCGTTACCTGTCCCAGGGTAAATTTCAGAAGTATCGCTTCTGTCTGATAGCGAGGAAACTTTTCTTCTGCTTTGTATTGAATCTGACCTTCGATTCAAAACTGGAACAACATACATCTTTTGACAGACGACCGAAATGTTTAACTTGTGAATATTCAGAAAGTTTCTATATAATTTAGGTATTGATAATCGGAAATCAGAATCGCATCGAATGGTTTGTTTGTACTTAAGCGTCTATTTTTGTGTGATTATTCTTACATTCGTCGACTTCCCTGGTGTCCTTTTGGCGGAGTTTTATGGATCGTCGCTTTATAGAACCGTAAGCGGAGTGTGTTTGTTGAGTGTTGCGACGGTGCATGCACGCTTTACCCCTCGATCCTAAACGACCTTTCTTCTCGTCTACGACTGGTGGAATTGCATCTGCCAACTGGGACAAAAAAAAATTTAATCCTGTTGTTAATTCAATAAACCGATGTCAATTGGTACAGAGGCCCAAGCACAAACTTTGACAGATTCGTAATCGTACCGCATCCTCAAAGTTTCTATGAAAATTAAGCAGCGCCCCTAACTGACGTAAAAACAAACTGGCTATCCGTAATCGTATCGTGATCGTCAATAGGGTATTTGACAAGAAAACGATCTCACGTTATTTACCAATGTTTATAGTAATATAGTCCATAAAATGGGGTTATTTAGAATTTTGTTGTGCGTAGAAAAAACTAAATTAAAAAATCAATTTTTAAGTTGACGCGGAAACGTTTGTTTGGACATTATGGCGTATCACTAGTGTGTGACGTCACACGACTGTCATTAAAACGTCAAACGATACAATGTAATGTCACTCTGACCGGAAGTTTAGTAGCGCGTGACGTCATTTTAGTCTTGGCGTTTTCGGTCACATGACCATGGAGCAAAAAAAATCATTTCTATTTAATGATTTTATAGAAAAGTTATTAATTATTTGTTCTTTCAGAGTAGAAAAATCGCTGTTAATATTTATAAAGACAGATGCCAACAATTGGTACCTTATTTTTCATACTGTCAAATAGCCTATTTATGGAAGGATACAACATTTGACGATACTAATACGGATCTGTCAAAGTTTGTGCCTCTGCTTTTTTTTATCCGTCTGGGTTTGTAAATTTATTGTTTGTTGTTTTACATAAACAACCGAAACTGAACTGTTATTCCGCTGGAATGTAAGCAAATTAGAAATAACAGAATATGTTAGCTAGTATTTTTTTTTGTTTTTCATGTTTCAGTCAATGGATTTTATTGTACTCTTTTTGACAATATTGTGACTACCGTTAAACCTTACAATACAATGTAAGGTCGTAATGTATGATAGTGTCAAAACTTTCGATAATCGGATGTTGGGGTTGTTTTTATCAAACAAATCAAATCACATCACGAAAAGGCAATTAGGATCATGTTACATTCACATGTTTGACCAAAGTTAGCACGATTCGTATTCTATCGCAATAGTGCCGCGCCATAAAGTGTGGATATCATAAGGTATTAACGTTTATAGAACTCGTGACAATATTATAGTTGAAATTATTTCAACAACTTACTGTAAATCTAAAGAAAATATAACTAGAAAAAATTCCACGCGGACCAGGCAGCAGACGGGACTCGAACCCGCACCCTTCGCAATCCGGGCGAATGCACTGACCAATTATGCTACCGCGGCCCTCACGGACCGCGTCGAAATTCTTTCTAGCTATTCTTAAGCTGCAAGGCAGCGCCATCTCATCGCATTATAGGTAAACCCACAATGTCAAATGAATACTTTTACAAGTATTAAACATTTGAAAGAAGAAATAGCAATTATAGTTATAATTTTTATTATTTTTAAAGCATGTAACTGCTTGATGTTTAAATCTAAAGAAAATATAACTAGAAAAAATTCCACGCGGACCAGGCAGCAGACGGGACTCGAACCCGCACCCTTCGCAATCCGGGCGAATGCACTGACCAATTATGCTACCGCGGCCCTCACGGACCGCGTCGAAATTCTTTCTAGCTATTCTTAAGCTGCAAGGCAGCGCCATCTCATCGCATTATAGGTAAACCCACAATGTCAAATGAATACTTTTACAAGTATTAAACATTTGAAAGAAGAAATAGTCCCGTCTGCTGCCTGGTCCGCGTGGAATTTTTTCTAGTTATATTTTCTTTCTTTAGATTTAAACATCAAGCAGTTACATGCTTTAAAAATAATAAAAATTATAACTATAATTGCTATTTCTTCTTTCAAATGTTTAATACTTGTAAAAGTATTCATTTGACATTGTGGGTTTACCTATAATGCGATGAGATGGCGCTGCCTTGCAGCTTAAGAATAGCTAGAAAGAATTTCGACGCGGTCCGTGAGGGCCGCGGTAGCATAATTGGTCAGTGCATTCGCCCGGATTGCGAAGGGTGCGGGTTCGAGTCCCGTCTGCTGCCTGGTCCGCGTGGAATTTTTTCTAGTTATATTTTCTTTAGATTTAAACATCAAGCAGTTACATGCTTTAAAAATAATAAAAATTATAACTATAATTGCTATTTCTTCTTTCAAATGTTTAATACTTGTAAAAGTATTCATTTGACATTGTGGGTTTACCTATAATGCGATGAGATGGCGCTGCCTTGCAGCTTAAGAATAGCTAGAAAGAATTTCGACGCGGTCCGTGAGGGCCGCGGTAGCATAATTGGTCAGTGCATTCGCCCGGATTGCGAAGGGTGCGGGTTCGAGTCCCGTCTGCTGCCTGGTCCGCGTGGAATTTTTTCTAGTTATATTTTCTTTAGATTTAAACATCAAGCAGTTACATGCTTTAAAAATAATAAAAATTATAACTTACTGTAACATTACTGCCTCCGGAAACATTTTCTGGTTCATGCAGGACGAAAGATATCTTCCTTTCAGTTTCAGCGCCAGCAATAGATTGCAGACTCTGTGCTGATGCTTGAGAATGTCCCATACTCGACAAAGCCATGCTCCAACGACGATTCGCTTCCCTGTGCCATATTACAACAACAATTTGTATTTTGGGATTTTTCTAAAATAATTCCTCCTGCTTTAGCTATGGAAGTTTTAACAGCTCTATTCTTCAATCTATTCACGTCACTTTCAGATCGTTGTGCATGCCAATGTAGCAAAGCAATTCATTATTTTTAGACTAAGTCATAAACTAATCTATTGCATTTAATATAACTATTGAAAATCTCGGACTTTAAAAAAAGGGTGTTCGATAAAAAAATATTAAGAATAATTTAATTGTTCGTGTCAATTAGGTTTATGTTCTTTAGAGTGGTTTAGCAGAGTTACGTGGGTATTTTACAACATACCATGCAGTTTATTTAGCCGTTAGATTTATTTTATTACATTTCGTATGTTTGTTTTAATAATACTGTGAATAAGATCTGCGCTTGATTAGCCAAATCGGGGTGTAGCTAGTTTCAGGGGAATAGTTACTTGCAATGAAGAGTTGCTTCACGCTCATATTTTTTTTAGTGCAACAAATATAAAACGATCCGTCGTTATTGCTTTCCATAAGTAAATATTGGTGTAACAAATATTAGATGAAACTTTATGGACCCGAAAATATTGCTATCACAAAATAACTTGTAACTCGTCAATGCAAATAGCTAATTATGCACAGGCCCCTAAAGTGCTAAACTGTTCGATTAAAGTGATAAAAATTACTAAATAATTTCGATCTCTCAAGTGACATTTGCACGTATGTATCAAAAGTGTACATTATCCAACTTTATGTACAATTCTATTTTACGCATGCACGCATAGTGCTGTATGCAAGGAAACATGCATTATCTTTTTGGATCACATACTCGACTGGCATTAATGTGTGTTGACTGCTAAGAGCCCTGTTAAAATAAAAGTTTTATCAAATGTATGCACTCTTTTAACACATCATTTCAAACGAACTGAACATAATGAACTCACTTAGTCTTACACAAAATACGTCGTTTTTCCATCCATCTTCGCATAACATAATAACAAAACATAATCAATTTACACCGTGTATTTATTAGACTACTTACCAAACAAATCTTCAAATACGTAATTCAAGGTGGATTCGTACCTGTATACTCTGTCCCAAGGTCCTCTTTCCTTTAGCGATGATCGGCAGGATTTTGGTAAATTCTGGTATGTTTCGCGTAGGAAGGCAGTGATTTCGTAGAGTAAAACGCAGGCAACTAATCTTAGAGCTCGAGGGCATTCGGCTCCAATCGGTTTGCCAGGCAGACGAATGCTGGCTGCAATAGACATGGGCGAATTTCATTCGTATTTCCAAAAACATTTAACTTCATTTTGCTACTAAATGCATATTTACCTTCGTCAAGGAAATCTTCTTCTTCGTCTTGTTGCAAAAGCTCACGTTGTCCATCCGGATCCGTCACCAAGTTGCCAACATTTTCGAGGTGCTTCTTGTCTTCAATAAGCATTTCCTCTAGTCTGTTGCCGAGGGCCTATAAACGGGATACAGTATATGTTACTACTACTATATCTTTCGGAAATGAAAGCAAATTGAGAATGAATAACTTTCTTACTTCAGCCCATTGATAGAATAGTTTCCCAGCCAGGCGTCTTCTCAATTGTGGACTTGAAGACACTGAAATAGATATTTAATCTTAAAAATAACCTTATGTACTACATCATAAGTGCATAGTATTTTTGTAGTTTCACTCACCAGAATTTTTAGCGATGTTCGATTTCAGCCAATATGGCCATTGACCCTTGTTGCAATTGTGTACTAAGTGGGCGCATTCCAGTAGAATTGAAGCTCTTCCAACGACGACCGTATGCGGCTAGAAGATAAATTTAACTTTTACGGATAGTTTCAATATTCAATTGCCTAGATATTTTTGTGAATCAATTCAAAATAACAAGTGTTGCTAAAGAAACGTTGTATTATTTACTGGAAATGGATTTTACTTAAAAATGGCTGCAATTGGTTTGTATTTGTCGTGGTTAGTGTTATATGATCAAGTACAATTGTTCAAAATAAATAATTAATAAATTTTCAGAACCTGATGAAGGTTGAGCCGCTATATGCGGGAAAAACAGGAGTTACTCCTTATTATTTTTATGTAAAAAAGATCGCAAACATGCATTTGGCTCGTCTGGTTATATGAACGTACCATAGTATATTGCGCTTGCGCTATTAGAATATCAGTTGCGCCGTCGCCTAAAATGACTTATTCCCACCCCGTGAAGGCATTAAAACTACAGAAACTTTTAAGTACAAAACATCAATAGACAAATAATACCAATGAATTAGAAATGACTGGGAAGCATAACTCTCTAACAAAGGCCGCTAAAACATGGTTACAAACTCATATCACTGCACTTCAATACTAATGCGACACGCACACAGACAAAACAAAATAATTTAACAAATCAAATATCTGCCAATGATTCGTCTATCCACTCATTGGATAAAATAATGTTAACGGAAGGTTAAACTAATCCCATGATCGGCGTGTTGATCGCATTTTTGCCGCCCTGCCCACAAGATTGCAGTTTGCGTGGTACCATTTTTTTGCCTAGGTCATATTCCTTATCATGTCTAATTCGTTGAAAAGACTCACCAAATCCAAAAGTGCGGCCATGAAAAGCGCGTCTGGCATCGCTCCAGGTTGCGTCGCGTCTAACAAGAAATTGAATCTCGCCAATCCAGCGTATAATGGTGCTGCTGCCACTAGTCGTCTCCGTTTCAACACTACCACTTCCGATTCCCCACCACCTGAACCGCCTTCCGCTGAGCCACGGCGAGACATATCTGTGATAAAGAAAAAAGATTGATTGGAGTATCGCAAAAGAAAAATTAAACGGAACGCTTATAGGATCACTTTGTAGGCTGATTATTTATTGATACCCTTTTTCTTGGGCATGAGTGGAGGTAGGTGAAATTGATACCAAATGCTACGGGCTAAAATATAAAAATTCTAAAAAGGTCATTATATTTTTATTTTAAGCATTTAACCGATTTATGATTAATCTTACGAAAATACTAGAAAAAATCCACTCGCCTCTTCGCATCTTCCACCCGGAGCGGAAGTTGCGGGTTCGAACCCTATCTGAGACATAGATCGAGTGATTTTTTTTCTAGTAAAAAAATCTTTAGATAAATCTTTTAAGTAACGGTAGTTCATGTATATTTAATGCTGCAAATTTTGACGTTCGGAAGGAAATCAAACTGTGACATGTAGCACAAGTAAAGGAATTATTAAAAAAGAGTCTAATTTTACTCGATCGGCTTTTGATATAGTGGCAATAGGATCTCTAGCATTATACAGTTAAATGTTTTTCTTTCGCAACCAGCTCAACATTGACCAGAATAAAATTTTGTTTAGGATAAATCTTAAATTTGTACTTACAACCGCCACTTGTCTCTTCTATGCTGCCGTCACGTTTTTTCCCCATTTTCCTCAGCCCGAATCTGTTCAATCTATCTTCGACGCGTTTTCTGGCTCTGCAACGATAGGCAAAGTTTTGTTTGTAGAATGCTCTGATTTCTTAAGATAGAATGACGTCACTAGAACGTTATCTATGTAAACAAAATGAATCGTTTTCCTAGAGAGCAGCAATTCTTCTTAAGTTACTTTTGTGTCCGTAATATTACAGACGCTATATGACAGCACCGTTATCCTAGGAAATCAGAGTTTAAGCACTACGCCATCAAGCACCTTGAGAATTTTATATCTTTAGACTTTTTTAATAGGATTTTAATAGGATTTCAACTCGGCCAAGATAATCTGGTTAAAAATGTTCTTTAAGTAGACAAAAAAAATAAAGCTGTAGAATGCTTAAAAATACAATAAATAAATAATAAGTTTTTTTACCATTTGCATATTCTAGTCTTTATTACAGATTCTATATAAGCATCCACGAGTTTTTGTAGACGATCTCCGTGGCCGAGTGGTATGTATGTAAGTACCCTAGGTTTCAAGGTGTCGTTTACTCACAGGTTCCGGGTTCGGAATCCGGTGAGGCAAATGTTAGAGTGATGAATACGAACATTTATACCTTGTTGTAATGGATTTTCATATATAAATTTCTAGATAAATATACTTATATATGTATAAGTATAGGTATTGTATCCGCTACCCTAGTATCCCCTAACACAAGCCACAGCGTTTACTTTGGGGCTAGGCTAATTGGTGTGTGTAAAAAATAGTTACTTTCAACACATATTCTCAAAAAATACATTTAGGAAGGTTGTATACGTTGTTCGAAAATTCTAAATTACGGTAAAATTATAATTTTTATTTTTAAAGCATGTAACTGCTTGATGTATAAATCTAAATAAAAAGAAAAAAATCACGCGGACCAGGCAGCAGACGGGTGCTGCCTGGTCCGCGTGATTTTTTTTCTAGTTATATTTTCTTTTCAGTAAAATTCATTACGCACGCTCCTGTGCATGGCACAATGCGTATTCTATACGGTTTTTTTTTGTAATTTCGGTCGAACTTTCTCGAAAGCGCTTTTACTCTATACCTACGTCTCACTATAATACAAAAGAGAAAAAGAGACAAAAGATGTAGTTGTTAGATGTAGACGAATCGGTATTAACAACTCGTGACTATGGTAAGCCCTCGACTTTTCTCGGTAAATATCAATCCACACGAATATCATATAACGTTTTTCAACACATTTGCGAGAAAACAGTACCTATATTTACAAATCCCCTATTATCAACCATCAAACCCCACTATCACCCACCAATACCCTATTATCACCCATCAATCCCCACTATCATCCACCAATACCTATTATCACCCATCAATCCCATTTATCACCCTCGAATCCCCTTCACCCTCCATTCCTCTTTTTACCCTTGAATTCCCCTTACACGCCAAAATCCCCTTTACATCCCTAAATCCCCTTTTTACCCTCCAATCACTTTTCATACCAATCCTCACTATCAGCCACCAATCTCCTATTATTGAAATTACATTACACGACATTTTAATTTTATGACTTTATATGTAGATATTAATAAATTATGTATATTCATTTTGGTCTGACATTTGGTTTAGATGACATTTTATTATATTTATAATACAATTTCAACATTTAAAAGAGACAATTATATCCACTAACATAGCATTTAAGCTAAAATTTAATATTAACGACTTAATGGACCATTTTGTTGTCTGTAACAAACAATTTGAATTTGATTTATCACCTACCACCTATCCTATTATAATTGAATTTGATGGGTGATAGGTGGTAACCGTTCACCCATCAATCCCCATCATCACCCTACAATCCGCTTATCACTCTCGAATCCTATTTCACCGTCCAATCTTCTTTTCACCTACTAATATCCTGTGCTCATTTAGTTTAACAACTTTCTGATGTAGATACTCCACTCTCACTATAACCCGCAGCGCTGATTAGATTAGTGTGATTCGACCGAAATTTAAAAAAAAACGAGCGAGCCTTACGGTAGTCGCGTATGATGTGTAACATTTGAAACCTCATCTTATATTAGTAAAAAAAAAATGTGTGTGTCAGCTCCAACGCACGACTGGAGTTTACTCCTTAAGTTCGATAGTCTAACCAGACGCAAAAAGAGTTTATTTAACTTAAAAAAGATTGATACTGTATGAAGGGGTAAATAAACAAATTAATGAAAATAATATACATATATAAATATATATGTACGAGACGACCGCCTTACGACCGAAGCGAGAGAAAATGAACTTACAACGATACGAGACCAATGTATAAAAATGTATCTATAATTTCACATGAATCGGTTGTATACGCATTAAAAATATCATTCCCTTGTTGTCTTATTAGAATGAGTCGGATATCGCAACAATAGATAGCTCTGCCCATAGTAAACCATTGTAAAATTGATAGTTCAGAGCGATATTCCGCCCCGTTCTCTCCAATAATCTTATAAGACTTTATCTAAACGATCGCCACGACGCCAAGCGGTGGCGCGGGGAAACTAGTCAGAATACTGATAGTTCCGACCTATAGGAGGGACGGAGACAATAGGTTGTCCTTGTCACACGTCTTATAGGATTTTGCCTGAGTTGACAATTTTCGATAATAGTATGTTTTATGTTTGGATTGATTTATTTCATGTCTTATTAGATAGTAGGTAGTTATAGGAATAATATATCGAAGTTTTGTATGAATCGTGTTAGTAGTTTAAGCGTAATTAAGGAAAATATCGGGAATAGTTTTTTATGAATAGTCAATAGGATATAGGTATAATTGTTATAACAATGATGTCATTTTATGTGTTTTTACTTCTTCTTTAAAATGGTGTATGATAGTTAAACATTAAGCGAGCATAAGTAGGTTTTTTAAGACTTTTTAATTTGCAAACTTTATAGGGCCGTACAGCTGTTGTTTATTAATATTCTTGTAAGAAACTTGTTGTATTAGATAGGTAACACGTAGGGCTACGTAAATAAATAGGTATCGCATCAATAAGTGTAAAAATGTACTGTGTAGGAGAAGAAACATGTTTGTATAGAACCGTTTTCTGAGACATGTTGCGCTCCCCACCCGGCGCGCCCGGAGCGCGCGGGTGGGGCAGCGAAGCCCTGTGGCAGGGCGAAGCCCTATGGAGGGGGAAAGTATAAATATTGCGGAGACCTATTTTTTGCGCGCCACACCTAAAATATCGTGTTTACGGACACATGACTATGTTAAAAATATGCCCAAATGTATGCCCGATGTATGTACAATTAGTTTTAAGCTCGCACTATTGTAAATCTTGAGAAAATGAAAAATAAAGTATAGCGTGGGTGAGGTAATGGATCGCTGGCCAGCTCAGTCCTAGCATATAAAATTCGAGTCGGAACATGCCCCGACATGCATTCAGCGACAGGCGCTCCTACCCTAAGGAACAGGAAGAAACAACCAAGCGGTTCACTCTGGACCTGAAGCCTCCTCTCACCGGCCATCCATTATCAGCGCCCACCGATTTCTTCAATACCGAACACCAGGGGTTTTATTCGCCGAAACTACAGTCCACTACAGTCAAGACTCCTGCGTGTAACTTCCTCCACCCCCTCAGTACGAGTCGGTAACTGTCCGCTACTGCGACAGCCCGGCGTCCCGTACATTTTTTGGTCGCATCGAGCCGGATCTACAGCGCCGAGGAAGAATTGAAGAAAAATTATAGAAGATTGAAGAAAGAAGATCGTCGTGGTCAATTATAGAAGATTGAAGACAGAAAATTGAAGAAAAATTATAGAAGATTGAAGAAAGAAAAATGCCACGAACAAGATCTCAAGCTGACAAAATGGACCAGGCCGAAGAGGAGCGCATCGAGAGAAGCATCGAAGAGCCAGAGCGAACCGCTGCAGGAGAGAATCCTGTCCAACCCCCGTCAAGAGCGCCATCGGAAGGGAGCGACACCGTGACGCGGCCACCGTACCCGCTGCGCCACGACCAACCGCCGAAGTCGCCATCAGCTGCAATGACATCACACCGAACAGAATCGAAGATAGCTGCACGAAGAGCAGCAAAGAAGAAGCGCCTGGCGGCGTTATATGAAGAATTAGAGAAGACTATAAGGGCGAAGATACGAATGGAAGAGCAAGATAGCGAAGATGAGGACCAAGAGGACCCGCAAATAGAAGATAGAAGAGAAACCGATAGCACACATGGCACCGAGAATGAAGAACGCGTCATCACCTGGCTGGACACAGCGACAAAGGACACCACCCCCGACGGCGGCACCACCGAACCGTATAGAAGACCGACCGTCGAGGACACCGTACAGATTGGTGGGTCCGTCGCACCACTTGCCGAAGATCCAGTCCCAGGGGCGCTGAAGCCATGCATTAAGAAGAGTCCGCCGTCCCGCATTGATGAAGCTCAAGAACAAGTCGCCCCTACGTTGCCGCCACCGCCACCGCCGGTCCAGCAAGACAGAATGAACGTCTCCGAGCTGGCCGTCGCAATCAACGCCGCCGTCCGTGCCGCCGTACCGCCTGCACCGGGTCCACGCTACGTCGGAGAGCTGCCACCCTTCAGCGGCGCGCACACAGAATGGCTCACCTTCAGGGCGGCGTACCTAGAATCCGCAACCTACCTATCGTCGGCGGAAAACTCATCAAGATTAAGAAGAGCCCTCAAGGGGAAGGCAAGAGAAGCCGTGGGCAGCATGCTAATAAGCAACACTACGCCGGGCGACATTATGAAGCAATTGGAACACAGATTCGGCCGCCCGGACAACATCGCCGCAACCGAAATAGAAAAGCTGCGCCATTTACCCCGACTCACCGATTCGCCGAGGGACATCGTGATTTTTGCAAACAAAATCAAGAATAGCGTCGTCGCACTACAAGTACTGGGGCAAAACGAGTACCTACGTGCGCCGGACATTATGAAGACAATTATAGAAAAGCTGCCATCGACCATTCGTTTTCGCTGGAACGACTTCGCCAACCAACATAGAAACATAGAAAAGTTGAAGTCGCAACCGGAATTATTATTGTTCGCCGAGTTTATAGAAGTCGAGGCAGAAAACAACGCAAGATACGCCCCACCGGAATACATCGGGAGTGAAGAACACTCTACTTCGCAAAGAAGATTTCGAGCACGCAGCATAGAAGGTCAAGAAAGAAAAAATATCGAAGATAGAAATAGAAAATATTACGTCGAAGACGTCCCGTGCCCTGTCTGCGCGGAACTAAACCATACACCGGTCGACTGCGCAACACTGAAGGCCGCTAACCGAGAACGCCGCTGGGAAATAGCGAAGCAGAGCAACCTGTGCTACAAGTGCCTACAGTACAGAAACAGAACACACAACTGCGCGCCGCGCGCGTGCAACAGAGATGGCTGCGAACGCACTCATCATCCGCTACTTCACTTCAAACCGAAAATCGATCAAGAAGAGGAGTCGCCACCGCATCGAACAGAAAAAATAGAAACCGAACGAGTAGCCAGCACACACAGCAGCCGCAAGCGCGACGCGTACCTCAAGATAGTTCCAGTACGCCTCACCGGACCGCGAGGTCATTTCGATACCTACGCACTGCTCGACGACGGCTCCACCGTAACACTAATAGAAGAGCGAGCCGCCGAGAAGATAGGCGCCGACGGGCCAACCGAAGACTTCCAGATCGAAACCATAGACGCCGAGCTGCCCGAAACACAATCGAAACGAGTCGCCTTCAACATCGAGGGGCAGACGGAGGGCTTCGACATAGAAGCGCGCACTATTCGGCGCATGAAGATTTCATCGCAAACGGTCGAGCCGCATTGCCTACGTGACTGCAAGCACCTCCGAGACGTAGAAAAGCATCTCGTATACGAAGACGCCCGTCCCACCATTTTGATCGGTCAAGACAATTGGGACCTCCTTATCGCCAGTGAAGTCCGAAGAGGAAGCCGAAAACAGCTCGCCGCATCGAAAACCGCGCTCGGATGGGTCCTACACGGCACATACGCGCGCAACACCATCGAAAAAGTCAACCTCGTCAACAATCGCCCGAAGATAGAAAATCGATCGAAGATCGAAAATCGCCCGAAAATAGAAAATCGACCGAAGAACGAAAACCGAAAAATCGATCATCGACCATTATTGAAGACGAATAGAAGAGTGGACGCGCACATAGAAATTCGCACCGAGCACGCGCCGCCACGAAGTCGAAAAGCACCGCCACCGGGTCAGCATAGCGGCGGGAGTACGAAACACACTGCGAAACAGAGAAGAAATCGCCCAGCTCGCTATACCTACAGCGGCGAGCCGCGAGTTCATCGACCTCGGCCGCCCGCGCCACCGGCGGGAGCCCCGAGGTGGCATCGCATCGATCGCAACAGAGAAAATCGCCGGAGGTCGCCGTATAGACAAGAAGCACCGAATCGTTATCGCCAACCGATTCGGGCGAAACGCGACTACACGAGTCATCAACCTTATCAAGATTGGAGGAGCACTACATCGACCTTCGGAGCGGCTGGTGGTGCATACAACATCATCGGTCGCCTCTCCCACGGTGATTGGATGCAGCGACGAGTCAACCGACGCTGCACGGCGGGAGTATGTACGAGACGACCGCCTTACGACCGAAGCGAGAGAAAATGAACTTACAACGATACGAGACCAATGTATAAAAATGTATCTATAATTTCACATGAATCGGTTGTATACGCATTAAAAATATCATTCCCTTGTTGTCTTATTAGAATGAGTCGGATATCGCAACAATAGATAGCTCTGCCCATAGTAAACCATTGTAAAATTGATAGTTCAGAGCGATATTCCGCCCCGTTCTCTCCAATAATCTTATAAGACTTTATCTAAACGATCGCCACGACGCCAAGCGGTGGCGCGGGGAAACTAGTCAGAATACTGATAGTTCCGACCTATAGGAGGGACGGAGACAATAGGTTGTCCTTGTCACACGTCTTATAGGATTTTGCCTGAGTTGACAATTTTCGATAATAGTATGTTTTATGTTTGGATTGATTTATTTCATGTCTTATTAGATAGTAGGTAGTTATAGGAATAATATATCGAAGTTTTGTATGAATCGTGTTAGTAGTTTAAGCGTAATTAAGGAAAATATCGGGAATAGTTTTTTATGAATAGTCAATAGGATATAGGTATAATTGTTATAACAATGATGTCATTTTATGTGTTTTTACTTCTTCTTTAAAATGGTGTATGATAGTTAAACATTAAGCGAGTATAAGTAGGTTTTTTAAGACTTTTTAATTTGCAAACTTTATAGGGCCGTACAGCTGTTGTTTATTAATATTCTTGTAAGAAACTTGTTGTATTAGATAGGTAACACGTAGGGCTACGTAAATAAATAGGTATCGCATCAATAAGTGTAAAAATGTACTGTGTAGGAGAAGAAACATGTTTGTATAGAACCGTTTTCTGAGACATGTTGCGCTCCCCACCCGGCGCGCCCGGAGCGCGCGGGTGGGGCAGCGAAGCCCCGTGGCAGGGCGAAGCCCTATGGAGGGGGAAAGTATAAATATTGCGGAGACCTATTTTTTGCGCGCCACACCTAAAATATCGTGTTTACGGACACATGACTATGTTAAAAATATGCCCAAATGTATGCCCGATGTATGTACAATTAGTTTTAAGCTCGCACTATTGTAAATCTTGAGAAAATGAAAAATAAAGTATAGCGTGGGTGAGGTAATGGATCGCTGGCCAGCTCAGTCCTAGCATATAAAATTCGAGTCGGAACATGCCCCGACATGCATTCAGCGACAGGCGCTCCTACCCTAAGGAACAGGAAGAAACAACCAAGCGGTTCACTCTGGACCTGAAGCCTCCTCTCACCGGCCATCCATTATCAGCGCCCACCGATTTCTTCAATACCGAACACCAGGGGTTTTATTCGCCGAAACTACAGTCCACTACAGTCAAGACTCCTGCGTGTAACTTCCTCCACCCCCTCAGTACGAGTCGGTAACTGTCCGCTACTGCGACAGCCCGGCGTCCCGTACAATATATTTATTCATTTCATATACATTTATTATAACCAATCGACGAAATATTTTACATTAAACTTTTTACAATAGTCAATTTCAGATGTGCATAAATATATCATTAGGAATGTTGATAAATTATGTAATTATTATTATCAGACTATTATAATTTTTTTTAAATATTAATTAAATCAACATTGTCTGCATTATTAATTACAGTGACAAGTGGTTTATGGTAACTAAAATAAGACACATGGACGTTCGTAGATACGTGGTTCACGAATCTTGAAAATACCGCATCAATGGTTGTACCATACCTCGTTGTCCCCATTGCTCTATCAGAAACAATATCTAAATTCAGTTCAGATTTTAAAATTTTTATTAATGTCAATCCGTCATCTTTGTTTGTCAAAGTTGCGCGACATAGGATGCGCACCAAAAACGTAACGAGGTCATTCATGGATAGATTTTACTCCTCACATTTTTCTCATACCGGGCCCCTTATATATGCAAATCGATTCTTAAGGAGTAAACTCCAAAAAGAAATAAAGCCTACTACAAAAGGAATAAGCAATTTGAAAATTATGTTCTAAAATCAAATAGCGCGCGCTTTCGCGACTTTCTGTTGCACACTTCCGTCCTATTTCACGAAATCACTCCCACAAATTCAAACCACAAATTGCAGGAAAGCGAGAGGAAAGATGTCACACATAAAAAAAAACTGTAAAGAATACGAACGGCGCCATGAATGGGAGCCGGCGTAATGAAATTTTACCGCACACTCCGCTGTATGTATAACAATGTAACAAATATAACAAATTAACCTGTTCAAAGTGTAACCCACGCGTCGTTTGACATGCACCGGGCGGCTCGACAGCGGCGGAGGCGCGTGGGGAGGCCTCGCCAGCGATATCATGCTGCCCGATATGGGAAGAGATTCGCCGGACCCCCCACCGTTACGGATGAGAGATTGCGATTGAGGTTTTTGTCGAAACCAGTTCACTATGAAACAAAGGAACGAGTAAGGTTTTTGATAAAACTGGTTTTCTATGAAAACAGTCGCTACGAATCAGAAAATACAACTGAGGGTTTTGGCAAAACCAAAGTTCATTATCATCATCACCCTATTAATATCTCCACTGCTAGGCCACAGGCGTTTCCTATGGATGGAATAGGGAGATTGGGCTGTCCCAATCACGCGGGCTGAGTGCGGACTGGTGGGTGCTTACGACTGCAGATGCAGCTGGGACCAACGGCTTAAGGTGCCTTCCGAACGAGATAGTAAACCCATCATGGTTGGTCACCCATCCAATGACCGACTACTGCGAAAGTTGCTTTACTTCAACGATCGCAGCCGAACGCACCAATCACTTGCACCATCGAGCTCGTCACACAGTTCACTAACACATTAGGTGAATATTTTTTGCTTATATATGAGGCGCAGCTTAGTTAGTTACCCAACCTCACTTAATGTTTAGTGTAAGTCACAACCATGAGCGGTCCTAAGTTTTCTAATACTTTGTAGTCAATGGCCCGGTTCTTACGGAAAATAATTTTAGAAAGTTGCGTAGAAAATTGGGAAACTCTTGAAAACATTAGATCACTGAATGAAAAACTCGGTTGTGTGGGATATGGGAACCTATTAACTTATAACATTATCCGATTAGTGGCACTGCCATCAGGTTTTACGGTTTTCTTTATTTTTATCTGACAAGACGTCTGTCGAGACCTATGCAAAGCAAAACTTTTCGTTTTAAAAGCATAACAAGACTTACCGATGCGACTGACGTGGAACTTGGATGGGATTGATTTAGAGTGCGAAATCTTATGGTTCGAGGTAATATCGGAGGAAGATGCGGACGGAATTGTCCTCTCTGATTGGCGCGGCGCTAGTTGATAGCGTGGCGTACGAACCGATAGTTGCAATCTCTGACTCTTATCAATGACAATATTTTATGAAGGAGAAGTATTAAACGCTAATACGACTTACCGATGCCGCTGATGTGAAACTTGGACGGGATTGATTTAGAGTGCGATATCTTATGGTGCGGGGTTATATCGGCGGAAGATGCGGACGGAATTGTCCTCTCTGATTGGCGAGGCGTTAGTTGATAGCGTCGCGTACGAACCGAAAGTGGGGACTGACTGGCAGATTCCTCTCCACCCTCAGTTTCTAGCAGGCTCTGTAAAAGTGCGTCTAGATTATATAACATGCATTATGGCTTTTGTTATATAACACTAACAACTTAAAAAATGTTTCGTCATAACCGATAATCGAGCATAAATAATGGCTTTCCAAAAGCACAAACCATTCAGGTAAGCTAAATTCTTTTCCGAATATGGAATGAAAGAGTTCGGGGAAGGAGTAAAAGTTGGAAAATTAGGGGTTGTTTTGTTAATAATCTGAAGAGAATATAGGTAATAAGTACAAGAACGGTATAGTTTCAACTTTTACACTCACATGAGCGCCGGTGGAAGATGTGCTCCTCTTTTTGAAGGTGAATTTCTTGTGGCTGCGGTCATCGGCAGCACATCCCGAATCTGCCCCTGTGTCGGAACCCCGTTCATCGTCAGCCGTACGCGGTACGTGCCTGTGTTATATATAATACCATTCAAATCATTAATATCTATTTTATTATTTAACAGCTGTACTCAGAATCGTCAGATTACACAAGGTAATGCTTCTTCAAGTCACATGTTTTCTCGTTCTATTGAACTAAAGTTTCAACTTTATTTAAACTTAAAAGTATATTGACATCTCTGAGCGCAGCTTAAAGTTTATACGACGCTCATGCATTTTGCTAGCAAAACTGAGCGAAACGTTCGTTCGCAGTGTGAGCGGGACGAATCGAAACTCGTTCCGTTCTCGGCGTTACCCGGGTTCTATAGTTTAACTTTTGATACAAAATAAAGTTAATGGTCTTTACATAACAGTTTTTCTATTGGAAACTAAATACTTTCTCTATATTTTTTTAAGTATTTGCAATCACTGCACAATATTTTGCTAATTGTATGAATTCACAGAAATAATAAAAACTACATAATAAATATTTGAAAAAATCTCAAATCCTTCTCTAAATAAAGATATTTGCGTTGCATGACTAGCACACTTCAACTACAAAACAATACTACAATTACACACAAGTGTATTACATTTTTTCCGGCGACTGTCCGAACGTACTGCCGATTCCAGAAGTCCGTTGGACGTATATCTTGTCGTGCACATCTTTGACACTATTTATAGACAAATAATATTGATTAAATCGGGGCTCAGTACCTTTAGTGTCTCTAAGTTGTCTTACCACTAAGTCTTTCAAAATACGCACCTTATGACTCGAGTTGTTTGCATATTAGATTCTTTTTGCTGGCTGTCTGGTCTTTCGGCGGTATCTAGGAGACCGCTGAAGGCAACCACTCGGAATATACCTCCGTGAGCTTCTCTGACGTAGCACAATAAGAGGCGAACCTCCATGTATAGTTTCTGAGAAAAAATAGTTCCATTTATGAAAGAAGAAGTAAGAAAGAAAAGTTTATTGATTTTAAACACATATTTACAAAAACAGAACATAGCAAGACAGGCCAACTAGGTCCCTGCCTCAGCTTAATATTACAGCAACACCGGGGCTGCTGCAGCGCTGATAATTCTGGCAGGCATAATATACGCAAAGGTTTTTAAACACTATAGTAGGTAGGAATTATATTATAAAATACATTTGTTGTTAATTTTAATTGATATTGTGACTCTTTCATATTTTCTACTGACATTAGCTGACAACCTTCTCTACCCATTTTTCTAAATTTCAAGCTTTTTAATATGTTCTTCAAGAAACGAAACTAACTTTTACTTTATCTATATTATGTAAATTTGACAGGTAAAAGTATTGGACGTTTCAAATGAGCTTTCTGTAAGTCAATTTGAATTATGTTTAATTTCATTTCATATCATCAAATGGCAAAGCATACTACTACTACTTCAAACATAAAATTTACTTACAGTGTTATCTAACATTTTCAGTTCCTTATGCATGAGAGCAAATCGAGTGACGAGCACTCTAAAAGTAGCCTCTATAAAGAACGTCTCTATGATTCTGTTTGCATTGGCACCTTGGTTAGCACCAAAGTTTGTGGCGTAACCGTTTTGCAGGTGGCTTATGTCTGGATATTTGTTACTGCGTTTCTGTTGACCTGTAATAAGTGGAGGAAATAAATAATAAAAGATAAGAAATCTTGCATTGAAATTGCTTCAATTTGTATGCAAACCGAGCATGTCACATTTTCAAAATAAATTAAGTGATAGAAAAGTATGGGCTCCGGTCACCCATTTCACTTCTATCGTGTTGGCAGCTTGTTATGGCATATAAGACATTTTTCGATGACCTTAGATCTTCCTTTTGAGATGTTTTCAGGATGAGTAAATATACTTTCGACTCTCTTTGACAATATCTATTGAAAATAAAAATATATTTACTGGAACTAATAACATTTCCATCTATGCCTGTTGTTACTATGCTTAACTTATACACTTCTTTCTTATATTAGGTATCTGCTGGTATACTACATCTTCTTTTCCGTTTAGCTTACCTATACCGCGAAGTTTGTCTGGAAGAGATCTCTTTTAGCGATAAGACCGCATTTGCCCATATTATTGTTAAATGTATTCTTTGTACCTATTTCCGTTTGTATGTGATCCATAAAGTGTTTATTATTATTATTCAGTTTAAAATACTCACTCATAGGAGAAACCAAAGAAGCTGGTTCAACGCAGTAGCCAACAGTGGCATGGAGGTTATCAAGCACTTCTCTTATTGGTGCGTATTTAGTCATTTCCTTTAGTCGCAACGTGAACTTAGGTATCGAAGCAGACCTTAGTTCTTTCAGGGAATTCCTAGCTTGCACTCGAAGGCATTCTGCTTGGGGTCCTCTCAAAGCTGTCATACAACCGTGAGAACAGCCTAGTTGACGGAGAACTCTGAAATTATAGTTGATATGTGAATATATAGAAGTTTAATTACAGACACGAACTGTATCCAACTCGTCAAGCAAGAATCGACCATAATACATTTGTATTTAAAGGTTTAATTTGTACTAATTTTTCGTCAACTTTTTATTTTGTAATTCATTCTTTTGAGAAATTCTTCATGTAGTTGTGCTGATAATATACTAAATAGTACACTGAAATTTACCTACTGATACACATTTTTATTGAAATGTCTCTAATTTACCTCAGTGTTATATGAAGGATCATGAAATACGGACAATCTAAGTTTTCCTCGTCCTTTGTTTTATCTTTAGTACTGTCTCCGCCTTCTATATTAGTCGAATCTTGGCTTTGAGCACATGGAATACCCGAATCCCTTTCCTATGAAAGATAAGTTATTTTAGAAACAGCATGTCAGTCTATTAAACAATTTTTAAGATTCTGCAATCTATTTTAAGCGTAAAACAGTTCGGTTCAGTTCTGCATAGTGCACATATACTTTTTTTTATCATTTGACGCAAATTACCTTATTCTCTTTGTCCTTAAAATCGATCAGGGGATCAACTGATGTACCAATCTGAGGATCCTCAGGTAGGTTGTTTTGCCAGTTTTTGTGCACTCCAATTTCCATAAGGGTATCAACCAAGTTGAGAGTTACCTCCATAACACGAAGAGTTATATAGAAACTGTCCATGGTTGATACTGAATATACAGCCTATGGGAAATAAATTATTATTTGTAACACTGCATCTACCACCGTATAGTATAATGCGATTCAAACTTAACGTGAAGTTAGCAGCGAGCGCAACAAAGTGCAGGTTTCAGTTCAGAACCATACCGGGCGACATTTTCATCACCCCGTATTTCCTTTATGTTTCTATATTTGTTTAGGGGCTTTTATTCTTATCAGAATATGGTAGCCCAAACGTAACATAACTTAAATTCTATTATAATATTGCGCGTGTGGGACTACTACTTGCGCTTAAACTGCCATTAAGTTTTAACTTCAAAACTGCCATTAAGTTTTAATCGCACTATTCGTAAAAGTAAGCTTTTTAGTAGAATTTAAAAAAAAATGTGTATGTTATGTTATTACTAGGGATCGCATAACTGATTGCATATTCACCTAAAGTTACTTTTTGGCTAATACATTGTAGAAGCGGCTTACTGGGATACTTTTCTTAAGAATAAAATCCCGGGAAACTGGGATCGCATAACTAATTGGATGTATATTTACTTAAAGTTCAACAATTTTCATTAAGGACATCTTACGCAATATTTTTAAGTTATACACACAGGGCAATTGTCATTTGTGTCAAACTGAGTTTATAAGGTCTCACGGAGTATACAATTAAATTTTGTTTTCCCCGGAATTGCGGGATATTTTCGATAAAAAAGTGCTTTCCATAATAGCCAACATCTCAACTTTAGTTAAATATGCATCCTATTATCCGATCTCCCTCCAGTTATTACCTTTAAAACGACTTGGAAGTCAATTTCTCCATCTTTGGTAATGTAATGAACAGACCCAGGCACCTCCTGTATCTCTTCCACGACGTATGTTATATTAGAATCTGTTTGCGATCGAGTGAGGCTGGGCTTACGCTCAGGCGTTGGTATGTGTTGGGAGCCTTGCATACTCACTGAATCGATTTGGGACTCCATGGAACCCTGAAGTTTTATAATGGCGATTAATATAACGTCACTGGTATAATGATTCTTATGAATCAGATTTGATTTTTTCATAAACCGAATAAGTGGAGTTCCTTCTTTATATTACCATCGTTTACAAAAGACAAAAAATGGAAAAATGCGTCATACGAGGGAGATTTTCATTGTTCAAACTACACAGCTCTACCGGCCAATGACAGGATAGCTTGGCATCTATGTTAATTTTTTTCCTTTAGCGCCGAAACCACAGAAGATGTAAATAACGTCGTGTTCGTAAAGTTTAATTTCATTGGATGGCATGGGTGAAAATGAGTTTAAAATATTTTTATTTAATTAAAGAACTACCTGTTTTTGGAGAGCAATGTTTTAGTATAAATCCTACTAATGTTATTAATGTGAAACTTTGTATGTTTGTTACTCAATCACGCGAAAACTACTGAACGGATTTGTATGAAATTAAGTACGCATATAGTTACTGACCCGGATTGAGACATAGGATAATTTTATCCCGGAAAAATGACAATGACAGACACCTGTGAGATTCTCAAAAGCCTAAAGTTAACGCAGAGGAAGTCGCGGTCGGCCGCTAGTGTATGATGAATTTAATAATAATAATATTTCCAACACTCACACCAATTAGCCAAGCCCCAAAGTAAGCAATAAGGCTTGTATTATGGGATGCTAGGGTAACGGATAGAATACATGTACTTTACATATATAAGTATATTTATATAAAAATACATATGAAACATCCATGACTGGAGTACAAATGCTCGATTCCATCACACAAACATCTGCCCCCACCGGGATTCGAACCCGGGATAATAAGAAAAAAGATAAATAATATAAAGAAAAAATAAATAAGATTGAAATAGCTATATAACAACCTGTCGCGTCTTCGACATGTAGTCAGGTGACGGAGTGGGAGTATGCTCTGTGACTGTGATAATAGGGTTGTTTTTCTTTTGAACGTAAGAGGGCATAGTGTGCGAAGGTCCATGCGCTCGCTCCGTCCTCACTTCCCCAATGTATCTGTAATAAGGATAAGAAAATAATTTTATTGATAAATAACTTAAAAACACTTTTAAACTCTTGGGCAGTCATGATGAAAGAAACCTAACCATGTCTGTAATTGTCGTGGGATATTGTCACAGATATAAGTTACGAAAGTGCAACGAAGTATATTATTTTAACAGCTAGTAGTACTAGAAACTAATTTTTTACAAACAAACGAGCTGGCAGTCCACCTAATGGTTGGTATTCACTGCCGCCCATATGGACACTTGCAGCATCAAGGGTTCTACACAATTTGAAATATTTTAACTGAAAACTATTTATATTGAATGATTTGAATATAATTTTCAGGTAAACGCAAAATAATTATAATATTTTTTATACATTTTGTTTAGTTATTGACCACCATTTAAAAATTGCAGACATGCAATGATATAATTTGAATTAGCTTGCTATAATAGCAGGTTTTATTTATAACACTCCTCACGGATATAAACAGGGATTAGCTGCAACTATTAATTCATTAAATTTCAAATATGTTATAATTGTACATAATATAAAAATGTTAGAATTAAGTAAAAAAAGAGTTGTTGTAGTGATAGTTGAAGATATATGAAACGTAATAATGTTATCTATCAGTGAAGAATGTTATATTTTTATTTAGTTTTAAGATCTACTTACATCATGCTAAATTTTCAGTGACATTGAGCCACTTTTGTTTGGCACACTTCGTTTTCAACCACAACTAGGCAGCACTATGGTACACAAGGTATCTGCTTAAGCATTGCATCGAGTAGGTACATTAAAGGCCTATGTATTGGCTTCATTTTATGATTATATACCTACTTACATTCTAACTGACGTCAAAATACGTGTGTACAGGGTGATGTGCGTTTGTTTACGTGCATACAACACAATCTCTTTGATTTATTGTTACCGTGTTGAATAAGCATGTGTATTGTGCTTGATGATGTGTCATCAAAGTAATTGTTTACATGTTTCTTTAAATAAAGCTTTGTCTGCTTTACGATGCGTTTTTAAAATTCGCTAGTGATGAAAAAAATAATTAAAACTAGCCGGAAATAAACACGATGCTTGCATTACCGATTTACGAGTCTGTGGAGCAGCGATATATGCATCTAATGTACTAAGCGTCTAATTTCGTCGGAATATTATTGCGCACTTACCCATTAGAAGCTAGCTCATCAATCAAACAGCTAGCGATCGTTTTGTTCGTCCATTACAAAGTGTACGGGTTTAAGCGTTTTAAAGACGGGAGAAAAAATAAAATTACATTTCTTAAAAATGAGAATTGTCACCCATTGTGTAGAGAAATCAACCATGCTGTGCAATATCATCAATAAAATGTTGTGTAAAAGAAAAATAAGTGTAGTCACAAAATCACCTGATGTTCAATATCGCATTATCATGGAAAAATCATCTAAATGCTCTATGAAATCTGAAAAACTAGGTTGAAACGCTTAAACTAGTTTCTAAGATCGGCTAGAAAATATAAATGAGTTACTCTTGATAAATTCTAAAGAAATTATATTATGTAATTCAAAAAAACAGCTAGATAATAAGTTATGGAAGTAAAATTAGAAAAACTATGATAAATTTAGAAAAGAAGTATTTTTTTTAGATTGAATTCGACCAGTACTCACCTTAAGCTTGGCATACTCTTTCCTTTGATAAGATTGCACTGAAACAAATCGCCTGTTAGTCTAGGGGCAAATGTAGGAAAGTTGGTTCCCAATGCAGAATTTGGCCTATCATCTGTATGGTCTAGACTTCTATGGTATTCCTAAAACAATTAGTTTCAGATAGAACATGCTCAAATGTTTGAAGTATAAGAAGAAATATAGATAAGAAAAAAATATCTACAGATATCATTCTTACTGCAGTATGAAAGGAAAACTTGTGGTCTTCTTGACCGATCTTTTCTAAAGCTTTGTCCGATTTTGATAAAAGCTTGGTCTCTACGAACGCTTTCAAATCGGCCATTTTCATTTTACGTTTAATTTTTTCGCTTGATCGTCTCATCATTACAGATTCTTCTTCGATTTTCGGACTAACTGGAAATGGTATCTCTGCCAGTGGAGACATATCTTTTAGTTCAGGAACTTCCATAAAATTCTTTAGCGAATCACGTTCTTTAATTTCTGGACTCTGATAAACAGACACTTCTATCTTGGGAATGGGTAGAGAGTTGCTTCTCTTTCTTGGCTGAGTTTGTTTGGAAATATCATCACATATGTCACGTAACCTTTAAAATATTAATAAAATTATGTGGTAAAATATAAAACAGAAAATAAAATGTTTATAAAACATAAATTAAAATAACCCACAATAAAATTACCTGTTATATAAGTAATGCAAAGCCCAGTATACACCTTCTTCTTGCCATTGTGAAGTAAAAAGACACCGCAACGTAGCGACATCCAGAAAAGTAGCAGAGGATACCTGGAACATAAAACAACTTTTAATAAATGTGACGCAATTTCTTTTTTAATTTAACTGCTGCTGATTAAATAAGTTGAGAGAATTCCAGTAGAATTTATAAATATTTGAATTACAAGCAAAAACAAATAAGAACTAAACATGTTTGTAAAATCAGCTCGAAGGACCATGTTTAGCTAAGTGTTGTTACATATTTAATCAGCTGTAACTGCTGAGCAGTATTTAAAATAGATAGTTTGGGATTAGTTCAGGGGTAGTTAGTCGGTAGGTACCTTATTTTTACATGTTTATACATACATGAACTTGTTTAGATGAAGGAGGTTTCTCTGTGGATGTCGAAGTACTTTTTTGAGGTTGCCCACCGCCGCCACTGTCTGATAAAGACTCTTTATCTGAAGAGCTGAAAATAATATGTTTTTATATTTGCGTACTACATGCCTTTAACAAACGTCATGTCATTTGATAAGTCTCAGTTCAGCAAAATGATTCTGTAACATGCAATCTCGCTATCGAGTTTCGTTAATTCAAAATTTTTATTTTGGTAAATGTCCATTTGTAGTTACTGCGACATTTTGCCGTGTCAAACTATCCAACTATCCAAGCTAGACATATGAGACTTAATATTACAGAATTTCACTACAGATGGCACAAATTAAACGCAAAAATCTCTATACTACATATAGACTTTGGGAATTCAATGGTGTAAGCACATAGATATGGAGAATGAACTAAGCGACATTCGCAAGGAATTGACAATACTTTAGAAATGATTTTATTTATTTTTTAAGCATTTAACTGCTAGATGTTTAAATCTAAAGAAAAGTTTACTAGAAAAAAATCCACGCGGACCAGGCAGCGGATGGGACTCGAACTACTACGAATATTTTAGAAAGAGAGAAATCAATGGAAATCAAATATTGGCCGCGCGATCGCTTCATCTCTTTATCTGTCCAGTTTTACCTTACAATTGGACAGAGATCATTCTTTATGTCTTAGCAAGTGCATCAGTAAACATCATCCTATTAATGTCCACACTGCTGGGGCACAGGCCTTCCCTATGGATGGAATAGGGAGGTTAGGCGCCGTGACCACCACGCGGATCCAGTGCGGATTTGTGGGCGCTAACGACTGCAGAGGCAGCCGGGACCAACGGCTTAACGTGCCTTTCGAAGCAAGGAGGAACTCGAGATAGTAGATAGATAGTTTTGGTCAACCATCCAATGACCGACCACTGCGAAAGTTACTTAACATCCACGATCGCAGGCCAAACGCGCTAACAGCTTGCGCTATCGAGCTCCTCCGTCTTGTCAGTGAACATCTGAACGTAAGCAAACTCAAATCAATGTTATTATAAAATAGTTTATAGTCAGCAATGTATAGAATGAAGCAAGACAATAAACACAAACAAACCTCATTTTTGTAACTGGTGGCAAGGGTTTGATACCCGGTAGAGGTTGTTTAGTAGCATCTGACTTTCGAAGCTGAAATATGCTGGGATCTGCGGAATAAACTGTATACGTTTCTTTGATTGCCTCACCAAAGTTTTGCTCTGATGGTAAGCGGTAAATAAACTGAAAGAAAGACAAATCAAATTAACTTATTTATATATTTACAAATGCTAATCAAACTATGTTACATTATCCCTTGCTCAACACAAGATTATAAATTAATGAACACATAACCTTTTCTTTATTCATCAATTTATAATGTTGTGACAAGTCATCCCACATATAAAATCTTTTGAAAATATTTCTGTTTAAGGAAATCTAGAAGGGTATAATGATTGTCTTACAACATGTTCTTCCTCAGTGCTAGAGCTCTCTTCTGGTATAGTTTCTGGAAAGATTGTGTCCTTAGGGGAAGAAAGCCATGGTTCTTCTTCTGTGCTGGCCTGTTTGGATGGAGCTTCTGATTGTGAAACAGAGACATTCTGGCTTGGTGGACTGCCGTTAACAGGTGCATCTTCTTTTGAGAATTTACCTTGTAAAGCATTATGACAGTATCAATAAATATTTTAGTTTTAACAAAAAAATGGTCTGTGACATTTTTTCAAATCCTAAAAATCACAAGAATGTGTATTGATATATTATTATGATACAGCATACTATGAGAATATGTCAAACGGCCATTTAAATTTTAAATTGAAGAATTAATAAATGAAACACATTTTAGGTAATATATCTAATATCACGATTTTAGACACCCTGGTAGACTTGCTTTAAGCATTTGTAAATAAAATATAGTTAATTGAAGGTAATATAACATTATATTTATTGACCTCAAAGTAGGTACGATACTTACGACCTAAAAATATATCGCCTTGTTGTGTCCTCTTTGAGAATTTGCCACCTAAAGGTTTAGGCTTTGGTTTCACAAGAGTAGTAAAGCATGCTGCATCAGGATGACGGAACTCCCACATGGCTTGCCATAGTTTAAGTCCATTTTCTAAACGGTAGTTGTTGGTAAAGTCTGACTCTTTTAGATGTTGAGATATTGGTGCAAATAGAAATACGAAGAGCTGAAAAATATTACATGATACTTTTGACTTATGTACCTAATTGAAGCTAGAGGAAATTTTCAGAAAATTAGATTGGGAATGAAGGGACTATATATTAATGGATGTAGGCTGTCACACCTGCGATTTGCGGACGACTTGATACTGTTTGCGGAGGACCCAGTCACTCTACAGGAAATGCTCTTACAACTTGCAACAGAAAGTCAAAAAGCAGGTCTGACTATGAACACAAATAAAACAAAGATCATGACCAATAGACATCAACAAAAAATCTGTGTCGCTGAAGGAAATATTGAAGAATAAGAACACTCATGCCAATCAAACGTAAAGTATTCAACATGTGCATCCTACCAATACTTACCTACGGGTGTCAAACTTGGGGCCTGACAAAGGCGCACAGTCAAAAACTCAAGGTATGTCAGCAGGGGATAGAGAGAAGCATGCTGCACATCCGTTTGAAAGACAAGTGGAGACTGAGCAGAATTAGAAAAATCACAGGTGTGGCAGATGTTTCCAAGAAAATAAGGCGACTTAAATGGCGTTGGATTGGACATGTGATCAGATCCCCCAAAGAAAAATGGACCAAAGAGGTCGTATCTTGGTACCCCAGAGATGGGAGGAGGACAAGAGGGCGGCCTCAGAGAAGATGGGAGGATGACCTACCACAAGGATGGCGCAGATTAGCAAGAGATTGGATAAAATGGAAAATTCTAGAGGAGGCCTATGTCCGAGGAGGACAACCTGATTAAAATAGTGCTGGTGTTACCAATTTTCTTTTATTAGTGTAAGCATTGTAAAATTAAATCAAATTGTAGCAATAGGAAATTAGTAATACGGCTAGTTAGTAAGTAGTATAACTATATCAGAATAAAGGCTATTTTTATTTTATTTTATTTATTTATGTACATAATAACAAAGAATGAAATAATATTATTCCATTGTGTTCCATATACTTAATACATTTTGCACAATTGCCCAAGACAGCTATATTAATTGTGAACTATATTTTTAATTATCTTTTAACAAAGTAGAATTTAAAATAATCATTAAAAAATACTTACTGTGATCGATGGAATAGAAAAGAGATAGTGGAAAGGATTAGAGTAAAATATTCCATTTTCGTAATCATTTTCAGCACATTCGTCTGAAGCATCAAGGAGGAGCCAGTGAAGTGTATACAGGAGTGTTGTTTCCACATTGCCTAGTGATTGCATGTTGTCTTTTACTCTGCAATTATGAAAAAAATATTGAACAGAAGCATATTTTAAAATTATTTAACGTAAGTAAATACTTTTGTATTGTTTGACTTAATAAATAAAAAAAATAACTTTTGTTATAAACTCCTGTAGATATTATAACAATAGGTTGATTGGCATCATTACTATTTCACAAAAAACTTATAGAAAGTAAGAAATTTCATATTTAATAAAAAATATGTAAACTTTTGCTGTAGTTGAACTTATTATTTAGTTTTTCTCAATTATTAATAAATAGGTTTAATTAATAATAATTAATTTATAAATGTAAACTGTAAGGTCTATATCCCTCCTATCAAATCCATCCTTAACTATCTTAAAATTATGAAAGGCTCATTAATAAGAGAAGACTAGTGTAGTGGGAAAGCATGTTTTTGCTTTCCATATTGCAATTCACCTCCGAATATCAGTGATGTTTAGACTAAGAAACTAGGATCACACTGCAGTGGTCAATTTTAAATATGTGCATAAAATCATTAAAACATTGCTAGTTGCTTGTCCTTCATATAGTAAAAAAATGTTGGATATAAGTTTATTTAAAGATTGTATAGTTACCTGTTGTGTAGTAAAGCTGCTAAAGAGTGCATCACATGAGGAAATGCAGCTTGTATTAAACGCCATCGTGGGATCGTTTCTATCGCCTCTGATTCAGTTGGGCTAATGGATAAACCCAAGCGAAGATTTTGCACCAAAGCTTTTTCAAATGACTGTTAAAAAGATAGTGATTTCGTCAGTTTTGGTTTGCTTTTGTAAGTTATTCAAATATTAAAATATATATCAAGTATTTCTTACCTTTGCTGCTTTTTTTATTTCCTGTGTAGAGCATTAAAACAAAAATATTTATCAATCACAGGCACAGCACAACTGAGATAGTATTGTTTACAAACAAAAAAATCTTAAAAAAAAAGAAGTTTTCACGTTTTAGGGAAGGCAAAGGGAACAATGCCCATACAGCCTAGTCTTTAATTAAATTAATCTTCTATTTTTTTACATTAGAATTAGAATGTCGGTGTGACGCATTCTAATGTTTCTTGGAGTGTTTGGCACGAAATGTATCGAGTTGGCTTTTTGGATAAGCTTCTGTGAGGTAGTCAACACTACAATAAAATTCTCACGTCCACTTGACCGGAATAGCGTATATTTTAACGATTCCACTAATTCTTCAGTTACGCAGACGGTTGTAACACAAAACCACACCAATTTTATTCCACAATATCCACTATGAACGAATTTAAGAATAATTAAAATAAGACGCCAACCGCACTCGATTAAATCCCGCCAAAAACTCCTCTTTTTTTTATTATTTAGAAATTTAACGGCTTTGGACAAGTCCATACAGCCTAAAATTTGACATCAAGCATGTCAAAATTAACGATTGTTTCTTTTATTGGTTATTGCTTAGATAATATTCAGCCTACATTATGGTCAAAATAACTTGAGATAACATAACTTGTGATAAATTAATATTACAGTAAAACTTATTAATTTTACTATCGACCAAAATATGATCTACATGTAAATGAACTTAATAAACCTTGTAAACCAGCAAAAAAGCAAACTGATACTTAGTTTTTCTTATAGATTTCTTCCAATAAGAAAGCAAGGGATACTATTCAATCAAGCTTTTTATTACCATGGTATTTTTTTTATAAACTTCTGTGAGGTAGGCAAGTAGCTGAATAAATACCTCACAAGTGAAAAGTTCATAGATCTATTTGGTTGATCTTAGAGTTATACATTAGGTAGTGCCTAAGTTGCCTACACCAAATACTATAGAACCGGAGAAAACTCGGTAGAGTTTTTATAGTATTTGCCTACACTAACCATCCAGTTGACTCACAAGATTTAGGTGCATACTTTGAAAAGATAGAATTAATCAGTAATTCACGTACGCTATCTATCTTGAATGTGTAAATTACAAAGCCTATCATTATCTTATAATGAAATTGCAAGTAAAAATACAATTTTCAAATTTATTAGAGTTCGCGATAACTTAAACTTTTTTCCAAAAACATTTTTGTATACTAATTAGAAGTAGTCAAGTACTTAAAATGCAGCAGATCAGATATTTATTTAAAAATGTAAGATGATTTAAAACATCTATATACTAGGTAATATAAAAGGCTATAGATGTAAAAGTTATCAAACGTTATTAACTTTCTAATAACACAATAGTGTTAGATAGGAATTGTTGCCAGATCAGTTTATTAATCTGGAATGCGGGAATAAAAAAAATATTTATGGTTGATTTTTTGCTTGTATCCAAAACGTAAAAGCAAATAGGCACACAAAACTACAGTAATTGTAATTAATTTTCATGCTTTTTTATGGTGTGAAATCTGCGTAGTGAAAACTAATAAATAAAAACAAATCGTGCGTGCCTATTATTTTGTGAGTACTTACATGATGGCCTGGAGCTCTCTGACAGAACTGCGATCAACAAATATTTTATTTATCCCATGTGAAAATGTTAAAAATGTTATTCCCGTACCGGGAATCGAACCCGAGCCTCCTGGGTGAAAGCCAGGTATCCTAGCCACTAGACCATACGGGAGATGTGTTATAAGTTGAAAGTAGAGTTTATTTCTGACTACTTAAATTAAAATGTATTGAATTTGTAACAATAGATTAAATATTATTTATATAACAACAAAGACATTGGTGTCGGTTCTGGCATGATTCTCTATACTTAAAACTAAATTTAACATCAGTCTCTCCTTTTTGTACTGTATAGCGAATGAAAAGGATACACTGTCGTCAAATTAAAGTTTAGGTTTAGAGAATCACGCTGGAATCGACACCAAAAGGTATGCACTAAAATAAATGTAGTTTACTGTAAAATTGTGGTGGTGATATAATAAGTTGAGAGTTGGCTGTTGCCGAAATATTAGATAATAAAGAGCGTTATAGCAACAACATTTATTTTAAAATAGGGGGCCATTCGCCTAACGGAAATGCTTTGGAAAACGCTAACGCTTTCGATTTTATTTTGTTATTTCTGACCGCCGAAGGTTTTCAAATACCTCACGCTCATTTTTTTTTAAATTGTTATTACCAAAGCAAAAGAAAAAAAAAGAGTGCGAGGCATTTGAAAACCTCAGGCGGCTAGAAATAACAAAATAAAATCGTAAGCGTTAGCGTTTTCCAAAGCATTTCCGTAAGGCCCCCTGGTACTATTATTTCCTACTTTTCATCGGAAAAGTAAAATTTTTATTCAGAACAACTTAATGCGACGTTGGTAAACAGACAATTTGTTCTCAGGGTTGTTTCTTATTCATTCCTTCAGCAAGTGATTTTTATTATTGTATAATTTTAGGTACCGCATTGTACTCTATAAGTATGTTACCTATTAGATGTTAGAGTGAGTTTTTTATGACTTCATTATCTTTCAGATTTTGCATGCAATTAAATTATTTTTATTTTCACCATCCGTCCATTTCATACATATTAAACGTTCTTAAACTATTCAAGAAGAAACAACCACTGTTTCCTGTCTTCAATTACGATTGATTGAGCATGAATTCTGATTTTACTGAGGAACCATATTGGGCAGATAGCTGCATAGTTTTTTTATGGGGATTTTTAGAATGGTTATTTTTATTGCCGCTACAAAAAAAATAATGGCGTCCTAAGGAGGGGTCCTATAAAAACAGGTTATGTTTTACTGCAGCTGTCTACCCATTACGGTTCCTTATAGTACCTACTTTCACACAACCTAGACTACAACGGTAAGTAACGGAACAATTCCTCAACAAATCCAACTCACACTTTTTAGTCCTTCCTTAATTTTTCCGAGGACTTCTTAGTACCCTAACGTGCGACACCAAATCAAGAATAACTACGTATAAAATTGTACGTCGTCCAGATAATATATAGATATGCCTGCTTTTAATTTAGTTATAAGTAGGTAGGTACATATAAAAGTAAAATCCCTCAAAAGAAAGCACTTTTGTTATTCCTGAATTTTAAATTTTTATGATTTTTCTATCATGATCCAATTAAAATCCAAGATTGTGGTAAGCAGGTAAGCTTACTCGTAGATTATATGATATCAAATACTTGTGTTTTTTAAACTTGATGACGTAATGAAACACCTGTTTATATATATAATATCATTGACCTGTATACATTGTTATGGTAATTTAGATAGATAGGAATTAGACGTCACCTCATTGAAAAAATGATTTTGAAATCATGTTAAATCTATGTAAAAAGAGAGAAAGTCTGCCTTACCTTAGTTAATAATAGTAGTAATTTAAATAAGCTTTAATAATAATAAAAAACAATAGTTAGTAGTTAATTGGACTAACTTCTAAACTACAGATTACATATTTTTTATGTTCAACCTTGGCGAAGTTTCCAGAGGGTGCAAACGTCCACTTGAACTAATATTCATTGAGTGCAAAAATATATTTTAGCATTCGAAGTTTAGGCTAGGTTTGGGGTTTCTAGTATGGGAATTGTACACTCTTGTTCCCCTGTAGCTACGCCCCTGACATTCATAGCCAAAGATAATTATGACCAAAAAACCCCTTCTTCGTCAAAAGTCAACCGAACTTTGTCATCAATAGAGAGTAATTTTAATATAGTATTTAGCATTATTTATTGAACATACATCGTGTTCAAACCTTATTTGCAAAAACTGACCATGCAATCATCATCGTGGACCCTCCCGAGCCTCGGACGCACAAAGGGTGCCGTCAGACGCCACAGGAAGATTTGCACCGGAATCGGAACTACATCTTCAATGATGCCATCGTCTTCAGCAAGCTCCTTTGTTTTCATCTTACGAGGCTGTAGTATGTCTAGACACAATACATGATAACTTTTAATTTTTTTATACTTGTTATCTGAGGCGGATACACGAATTTTGACAGCTATAATCGTATCGCATTGTCAAAGTTTCTTTAAAAACTAAGTGGCTTCTGGAAGTAAGAACAACCTGGTTCCTTTTATACAAAATTTGACGATGACGATAAGATTACTGTATATCTGTCAAAGTACGTGTTTGGGCCTCTGGTTCTGGTATTAGAAAGAGGAAAGATGGGTGTTTATTTAAGTTTGTAACGAATAAACTAATAAAAACTACAAGATAGTCTTTAAAAATTCTGTCACCAATAGAAAACTATATTTTCCCCGAGTAACATAGACTGTAAATAAAACTAGTTTTAACGGGTTAATGCACGAAACTTTATTTATTTATTGACGTTGCGCCGCCTTTTCAGGCTCCTTCATCAGAATGATTTTTTATTTACGATGATGAATATATATGATTAATAATAAAAAATCATTGTGACGAAGCAGCCTGAAAAGGCTGCGAAACGTCAATAAATAAATAAAGTTTCGTGCATTAACCCGTTAGAACTAGTTTTATTTAATGAGTGATGTGCGTGAAAACCTAAGAAATAAACATAGGCTGTACTTTAACACCGTAAAATAAATTTCACCCTTGAAAGATGATGTGCACTGATGGTAAATTTTAAACCCTACTGTTGTTTGCAATGGAAGGTTGCTAACTCCGATTACCATACTTCTTCTAATGACTGTCCAAATGTTTGAATATCGTTTGTCAAAAAGTAAACATTGAAAATTGCCAATTGCTTAGGTAATCTCAGCAAGTGCCAGATAGACTAGCATTGGATATAGCTGATTACGAAGACAATATTCTGCATTTCAAACTTACCAGGTACCTATAAAAATTATGTGCTTATTTATTTATTTTTAGGAATTGAAAGACGGCTTTGTCTATTAAACATAATCATGACTACGATTTATAGTCACCATGTTATTGTTGTTGCAAAGAAGTCAAAGAAAGTGATGTCAAAGTCGATGATCAAACTTAAAATTTAATTAACCTGACTAAGTGCTGACGTGTCGTAAGAACCAAAGCTTATCTAATAGAGCCTTTATGAGTTTTACCATCAGTATTAACACATATAAAACATTGTATTTACTGTAAACACTACTTCGTTACGCCACATACACTATCTACTGTACATACCAAGTAGTACAGCGAAGATAGGTCACATAGTCGGTTAAAAGCAGGGGTTGGGAACCGGCACTCTAGAATGACGCAACACACGCATTTGCCGAGGGAAAGCTCAGCCGAGAGTGAGGTTGTGCGCAGTTGTTCCGAGACGAGAGTGTAGGGGTGTCATCTGTAGCTGGATAGGATTATTTATTTAAAACATTTTACGAACACTTCACGTAGTCGAAGGCAGGTAATAAGAATGTGAATAAAGGAGTAATTAATAAACACCCAAATTAACGGGCTAGACTGATACAAGCTAAACATTATAAAGATTGTTATTTAATAAAAAAAAATTAAAACCCATCTTACTACCTATGCGTAATTGATTAGTAACTTTTTCATTCCTTCGAGCAGTTAAGATGTGAACATTGTGGATAACTGCCTAAACTGGAGCAGACCAATAATATACTACTTTCTGTTATTGTTGATTTCCGAAGATCCGCGGGCTAAAAAAAGATAAACATAGGGTACAGGTTTGCAATGCGCATGTAATTTTCCGTTTTACATGCCTGTTTGAATGGATGACTTTAAATAACTAAAGTATATCTAAAGAAAGATTTAAGATGATGTTGTGTAGTACTCATGTCTATGTGAGAATAACAGTTTATTTATTACCGTCACCTATTTATACTACAGATTAAATTTGACTTTTTTTAAATATTTGTTTCACACAACCAGTGTTATTAAGAACGTGGGCCAGAGGTACATCCCTGGGGTACTCTCATTGATCTGTGCGCGCAGCCTCCGTCACGTTGTTATGGAAACTACCAATGAATGCCTGAAGAATTATCCAGAATTTAGGTCATATTTATTTATTTACCTACTTAGCTTTGTCTAATGAGGAATTATTGAATCACTCTTTTATTGTAGTCTGAGACATTAAGAAATCCAAGCAAATTTTGTCATTTCTGTCCATCCACAGCTCTAGCAAAGAGTCTCTACTTTAAGCTGAAAAACTGTAATTTGGCAAATATTACATTAAATCATTCCGAAAACGTGGTAAAATTAAATATTGATAATTTTTTTCAGGGGACCTTCGGATTCTTCTAGTCTTAATTTTTATTAGAGTTAATTTTTTTTCTTTATAGATAGATCCGAAAAATGACTTCACCCCACCTGACTTTAAGTGATAGTGAAGTCCAGACTTGAAGATAGCTGGTATAGCAGTTCTACCTGCCACACCAGCCATCCTCACCTTGCCGACCTGCATGTTGCTTCTTCACGCCTCTTTTAAAGGATCCCAGGTTGTAAGAAAGAGGGAACACGTGAGCAGGCAGAGCATTCCATTTACGGATAGTGCGACAAAGAAATGAGTCACCAAATTTCTTTGTACGCGTTGGAATTGTGGCCACAGTTAGACGGTGACACCGAAGACCAGCGCGCGTGGTCCTCTGAAGGAAAGGGGAAGGGGGGGAATAAGAGAGAATAACTCTTCAGAACACTCGCCGTGGTACAGACGATAGAACGCGCTTAGTGATGCAACGTCACGGCGTTATTGAAGAGGCTCGAGGTGTTTAGTCACCTCCTCATCGCCTAGGATGCGGATCGCACGCCGCTGTAACCTATCCAAAGCATCGAGCAAGTGAAAATAAAAAATGAAAAAATTCATGGTAGTAATTTAAAAAACAAATATAAAAGGAAAACAAACACTTATTAACGTAAGGAAACTCTTATAGTACACCGCACTTGGTAGAGTACTTGAAATTACTAGAGTAGGTAAAATAAGTTATTTGAATCTACCGTTTATATATTACCTGTATTCGTAATAAAAATTAATTGAATTTGAATTTACTAAATTCTTGTAAAGGAACATCTATAGTCGGAGAAGTGATATTTTTCACAGCAATAAATATATCTACTTATATTTATGTTACTACAAACTTTAAAATAAATAAATATCTCAATAGATTGTTCATGGTGAAGCGATGTAGCTTAACATTTGAAAGAAGAAATAGCAATTATAATTTAAATTAATTTATTTTTAAGCATTTAACTGCTAGATGTTTAAATCTAAAGAAAAGTTTACTAGAAAAAAATCCACGCGGACCAGGCAGCGGACGGGACTCGAACCCGCATCCTTCGCAATCCGGGCGAATGCACTGACCATTATGCTACCACGGATTGTGGGTTGCCTACAATGCGAAGAGATGGCGCTGCCTTGCAGCTTAAGGCTAGGAAAATTTCGACGCGGCTAATAGGGCCGTGGTAGCATAATGGTCAGTGCATTCGCCCGGATTGCGATGGATGCGGGTTTGAGTCCCGTCCGCTGTCTGGTCCGCGTGGATTTTTTTTCTAGTAAACTTTTCTTTATATTTGAAAGATTTGAATATGGGAATCTTTTGTATCTTATCGAAAATTCCAGCAGATAGAATTCAGACACAAAAGCGAATAATCGATAATACGGATTTTATATAATTCGCTACCAATTCGAAAATATAAAATAACAATTATTTGGTAATTATTATTTCGCAACAGTAGCAGAGCTACGCTCCCAGGCCTATCCCTTCAGGATAAAGCAGCACAGTACCTACATAATTGTCAACTATATTAAAATAAAATGAGTTTCCCAATTTTTTGTAAGGGCCTCGCGTAATTTAAAGTATGTATGTAAGTCAATGTATTGAGATATTTTATGTTATATTTATGTGGTTCGATGATTTAACAAAGTGAAGTTCTGATTTTACAGTCTATCGAATTTAGTTTATTGGGAAATTTCTGTTTATTTTACTGGCCAAAATGGGCCAAAAGTATTAAATTACCAAGATTGACGTTTTATCAAAGTACACTTAGTGAAGGTAATTTATAAATAGAAGTTGTTAGCGAGGGAGCGGTCGCAGTAAACCTGTTACCACTTCGAAGATTGTTTCCATTGTTGTTTATGCTCAATACTTTGTCTCGTAGTTAGTATCATTTTGTTTCAAGCTTTCACTGGCAATTTATCACAACCCCAAGAACTTAAGAAGAGCTAGGAAATTTTCTGATCTCCGTTTTTTCATGTATTTGCTGTTGCGGTCAATAGATAGGTCAACTTATCTTAGATACATTATTTTTCATCACTTGGCCGAATGTATTTTTCCAGGGATATTATTTAGAATTTATTTATTTGCATTGCAATCTGCCCATTCCTTTGAAATGGCAGAATTGGCCCATTCTGCCATTTACAAAAGCATGCAAATATTTAACAATGCATTAATTACAATAATATTATTAATTTACATTAAGCCATCAATTTTACATATCTTCTATATATATAAAAATCAATTGCTGTTCGTTAGTCTCGCTAAGTTCGAGATCAGCTGAACGGATTTATCTTATCTAAGTCTTGAAATGTTCGTGGAGGTCTACGGAAGGTTTAAAAGGTGAGAAAACATGGAAAAATTGCAAGGAAGATAGTCAAACGTCAATTTAATTTTTCCTTATAAACTGTTCTATCTTCTTGCCTGTCAAACATTTGACGTTCGCCCCTTTTGGTACGGTACACACGGGTACGTCATTTCTTCCAAATTATTTTAACCCGAACAAAGTACGCGGGGTCAACTAGTCAATAATAAATTTCTAAAATACAACTAAAAGCAAATTACAATAAATTATCGTCAGCAAAATTACAAATGTCAGCTTAGTCTTAATTAATGTCATTCGAAATTATTTAAATAGCTAACAAAATAAAATGTCAATCAAATTACAATAGAATAAAATCTCAATTAAGTGCAGAATACAAAAATAATAATAATAAGTAGTTGAATATCATAAAACTACTGTCACTAGCTAGCTACAATCATTACATAAATATTCTTTTATACTCTAAAACAGAGGTTCCCATACTTTTTTGTGTCATAGACCCTTTGCATGTTTTTAGGGTTTGGGTAGACTCCTACTTACCTGATATTGATTTTTTGTAAATTTCTATCTGGAGGGAAGTTAGTGTAACAAGATGATACTGGTTTATCATGATGTGCAGGTTTAAACAATTTCAAAATGTATTGCGACCACAAAACGAATGCCTACATGTTACAAAATTTTATAAACATATATATAATATTTTTTATTATTTCATAGGTACTTTTATAAATAATGTATATGTCTTTTTAATAGAAGATAGCATAATACAAGTAAATAAGTACTATCAGTGTATGTTGAGAACCATTATTGTGGACCCCCATTTTCATTTCATGAACCCCAAATTTTTTTTTCGCTGACGTAGACCCCTCGCAGGTCGTCATAGACCCCTAGGACTCGATATAGACCACTTTGGGAATCACTGCTCTAAAACATCTTATTGTATAGCCAACTGTACAAGGCAGTCTTAAATTTCTTAAAATGCATTTGTTAGTATAAGGCGTAAGTTAGTAACTGATTGTAAATTTCGATACACATCCAATTTATTTTTGAACCGCATTTTTTTAGTACTGCAGAAACCATTTATAACGATTTCGTGTATTTCGTGGATATATATATATATATATATATCTTCAGCTTGCCTGAAATAGTCCATAATTTACTTTACAAAAATGTATAGGCAAGTCAATGGTAATATTTTAAATGTTTAAACAATGATCTGCACGGTTCATCAGGCGCAGTTCCAAATTTTTTTGGGTAATAATAAAGTAATAAAGCCTTTTTTGCTTCTATACTATAAATAGTTGGTATATTCCTTTTAATATTATTTGAAAATTTAAAGAGAATATAATTATAATATTCATCAAAGTGATTAATAGAAAAATTCAAAAATGACGAACAGGGAAGGTGTGTATTTGCAATTTTGGATGTAGAATTATTATTTCTGTTTTTTTACATGTTCTTATAACTTTATTATAAAGGAGCCTTAACCTTATTTTGTTATTAATCTATTTGATATCTTCAGACGAGAGTGATTCAGGTGAGACGCGTTTAGCTGCTTTGTTGGCTGTTCATCTCGTTAGCCAAGTGCTCGATGAAGCTTACGTGATCACCAACGCTGCTACTGAATCAGGTAAAATAAATATTTTTTTGAGTTCTATAGAAAACGCCAGATTCAGATGAAGATGAGATCGACAAAGCTCTTAAGTGTTTTAATCGATAGACCATTCAGTAGGATAAATAGTATTTAGAAAGCTTATGTCTGGGAACTTCATTGTTTTAAAATGTATAAATCTATCAATGTGGATTAACAAATACCTCTAAAATCTCTATACAAATCAAGAAAATTATAGCTTTGATCATAACAGAAGTTATTAATGCCTCTTATTTCCTTACATTAAATACAGGTCAACCATGGCGCTATTTGGAAATGCTAAAAAACATAAGAAGTGGTCAAATTGCTAATATGGAGGAAGAAAATGTATACTATTGTACTTCTAAGGAATATATCGAAACTAAAGATAACGAAATCTCAGGAGTAACAAACGTAGTTGCCACATCTACCCCACAAAAATTACCAGGTTGAAAAATTATTAAGTTTCATAAAAGGATATTGATCTTTGTTTTTTTATTCGTGTATCAGCTACAAAAAATAAAATTCATCTGTGATTTTATCAATATTTTTACTTTTTAGAAGCCTTTGGAAACATAATGAATAACACAAGTTTTATTGGCCAGGGGGATGAGGAATTTTCTTCATCAGAGACGGTACTTAAGCATTATAGTTATAGAAATTGCGTGTATGTATTATCGATCGTATACCAAATATTCATTATATTTTTAGCAAAATGATATGAACTCTTCAACAGCTATGTTTATAAACAATTTATTTGATATGAGTGAAGTCGAACAAGTGATTATTTGTGACGACTCTGTAATTGCAGAGAGCAATCAGGATTCGAATTATAACGATTTACTTACTGAAGCTATGGCAAAAATAATGGAGTCATATATAAACAATGCTCTCAGTATTGTTTTTGATCAAGATAAAGTTGTAAGTGACTGCACTGAATCTTCTAATGTAAAGATATCTCCTTGTAATGAACAATTAGGATACTCAATTCTAACAGATACAATAAGCACAGAAGTTGAAAATATTGTTGAGGATATTGCATTTTACTTGGATAAAGATATTATTGAGACTGATCAAAACGTTGCTGGATCTTCAGTAACAGTTACTGAAATCACTCAGGTAATTTGAGACTTATTCTTTTAAGCTACATTACATACATACCTACAGATCATTTTGATAAATTATTAGTCTGATTATTATAGAGCTTTTTTTTTCTCGTATTCCTCTAGAACGAAAACTCCGAGAAAGACCTCAATAAAAGTGATGTTGCTCGCTATGAAAATGCTTTCTTGACACTTAACCGTAAGTTGATGGTTTTTTAAATAGGTGATTATGGATTTTTACTTATCTATTGACTTTGAATTCAACATCTTTAGGTGATTATGATCAATATTCCGAAGAAGATGGAGAACCTGTACTTCAAGATCCTAAAGGATTGATAATGCAAGATATTGAACTAGAAGTAACACAAGCGCCAGATGATAATAATACTGAAACACATGAGATAAAAGAGATAGAAGAGGTACCTTCGTAATATATAAATTACATACCTTGAAGTGCACCTTTTTTCACGTTTTTCTCTGTCGTTTATCTGAATTGAATTGAGAGATAATTTATATTATGAGATCATAAAAGTATTAGTCACTTCAAGATTATTTTGTTTCACAAATCGCAAAAATGTTACCGCTTGTCAATCAATTTAGTTAAAGTTACTACTCTCCGATGTAAAAGGATGCAAATACAACAAAAAATTTCGTAACTCCATTTTAGTATGCGTCGTTTTGTTGCAATTCCCAATTCATATGAGTATCCTTTTGTTCTAGCAGCTGAAAACTAAGGAGTTGAAATCTGTATCAGCTATATCAGCAGCGGCTAGTTCTCATAAAAGCAGTTTGGTAAAGCGTTGCAGGACTCAAGGTGCGAGGTTGTTGGCATGCCTTCGAGGCTGGTGGCGGCGCAAGACACCAGGAAAGCGCAAGGTCAGATTTTTGGTTTATCAATAGCTTTTATATGTTAAGGCTTTCCATTGGGAAGCAATGACAATCCGTTCTTATGGACATAATTATATAGGGAGATAAGGTCATAACTAGAGATTGGATAATCGAATGCATATTTACCTAAAATTGTGAAGTTGGCTACAATGGAAAGCACTATTTTTCTCAAAAAAAAATACCGCGAAACCAGTAACATCAAATCTATATATATATATAAATATAAAGTCAGTCACTTTTGAGTTATATATATATACTAGCTGACCCAGCGAACTTCGTACCGCCATAAAAAAAATAATTAAAAAAACATTATCCAGCGGACAAAATTGTGAATCTAAACCATTCTCAGATCCCCTTGAACACACACAAAAAATTTCATCAAAATCGGTCCAGTCGTTTAAGAGAAGTTCAGTGACATACACACTCACAGAAGAATTATATATATAAAGATATATATATATATAACTCAAAAGTGACTGACTGACATAGTGATCTATCAACGCACAGCCCAAACCACTGGACGGATCGGGCTGAAATTTGGCATGCAGGTAGATGTTATAACGTAGGCATCCGCTAAGGATTTTGATGAATTCTACCCCCAAGAGGATAAAATAGGGAATGAAAGTTTGTATGAAACTTTGTCAATTTTGAACCGATCGTTCTGAGACTTTGCATGCAGGTATAAGTAGAATGTCATTGTGTATAATACAAGCCTGAGAACAAAAACTGTAGTCTACACTTCAGCTCTACACCGAAGCGAAGCGAGGGCGAGCCGCTAGTTTAAGTGTATATTCCGTGAGATCTAGTAAACTCAGTTACTCGTAAACACCGTAACACACATAATAATAGTTGCCACGTGTGTATAACACAAAAATATTGTGTAAGAAGTCCTTAATGAATAAATAAATTTATTTTCATTTATGTTTTCTTATTAACCATCATTTCTCTTACACCTTACATACACACATACTCGAATGGATAAATAAACTAAGACTTAAAGTAAACATCCGATTTGTAATTCAATCCCGGAATCCCGAGATTTTATTGTTAATAAAAGTATCCTAAGAATCCGCTTCCTGAATTTGTTAGCCAAAAATAACTAGGTAAATATGCATCCGAATATCTCAAGTCATTTAGTGTGCATTTGTGGGTGAAAAACACTGTAAATGCAGCTGGGACCAAGGGCTTGACGTTGATCCTTCCGAAACCCGAATCATGGCGTATCAATCTTTGGTCACATAATTTATAATTATTATTTCTTAGATATTATAAAAAATTGTAATACGTGACTAAATTTATTAATAACAGTTGGTAGTAGTTGTGGTTGTTTTGTCAGTAGTTCTGGACCCAAAATTATGTCGCTACTCATTCATATTGGATTTAATATTACGGCAAATTACACAAGGACGCTAAAATTTCAAATTTACGCTAATATCATTATACTGCAGGAAGCTCGGGTGCCAGGGTCAATGCGTGGAATATGTCCGTTGTCACCAGATGCCAGGCGACGCGCTACGAGCCTTCTGGATCAAAGTCGTCTAGGTTCCTATGTCGAATCTGTCCCACATGTGGTTTGGAAGTTCAATACTGTTAGCGAGGCTTTAGTGAATTCGTCCCGCTGGAAGAATTACACATTCGACGCTAATAACGATGAATGCGCCAAATATTTATAAATTACAAATTGTTATTTTGTGCCAATTTTGTGTAAAATTAGAAACTTTTCAATGTTTCAAGTAACTGTACTTTATATAGTTATTAAAACATAAACAAAAAAAACTTTCTATCATTTTATAACACTGATAAAATAAAAACATCTGCAGGTCCATTTTAATTAAGATAGCATGTCGTTAATTGCCAATTAGAATATCGATAGACACCTTGGTCCCAAGAGCAGGGCTTCACACCTATATCACACAGATCGATCAAAATAGTTTTCGTAAATGTAGATATACCATTGCAATCGGAGTCAGCAAAAGGGTACGGATGGGAGAGAAAACTCATCATCCCACTCACTCCTATGCCATCTATACGTGAATGAAGTTGCTGCGAGAGGGACTTGTATCGCCGAAAATAGAATGGTCGCGGATTCCTGGGCTAAATCTCAAATATCCAGACGGGTGCGCCATCTAAGCCAGTTAAAACAGTCCCGCGAAAAGTTACCGAGCCCCACTTCTTGTCTGAACGTCTGCCAGTGAAGACCGGGAGGGAACCAACTACCACCACACAAAATGGTGAGTCATCACAGCAGTGAAATCGTGAAAAGGTGTAAAGTGAAACATGGACTGTTAGCCACAAGTGTATAGGAAGGGTGAAGCGTGTACTCGTGAAAGTTTTCCGCAGACCGGAACATCGCGAGCGACTCACAGATCATAATCTAATAGTGTTGTGCATAAATAGTGAATAAACATGGTATCGTATACTTTCGTTGCTCACACACAAGCACCCCCAGAGGCGGGATGCATCGACAATACACCAATAATACCACAAATTACATGATAAGCTGTACAACATCAAAGTAACGAAATGTTTTTGGTAATTTTCAGAGCGACCTCAGCAAGAACGACGTTGAAAGTGAGTAGTATAACTTTTACTATTAATAAAACATTAACAGTTATTAACAGTGACTAAATAATATGATAGTTAATAAAACAAGTGGATTGAAAGAACATTGCTTTGTTTCCAGTGGAGAGAATTTATATAACTACGGAGAGTTCGGTAAATAATTGACGTCATTAGCACGAATTTAGTGCAATAGTACTTTGTAACATTACATAAATGAAATGGAAGTGATCATCTATGTTTAGCACGTTCCTCATAAAAGGCGCGCGTTGCTATGAGATACCGATGGCGCCAGTGGCAGGGCCACGCTGCGCGTGCGCTCCGTCCAAAATTAAACTATCGCGTCACGAGATCCGTTTCGCCGCCCGCCCAAACAGAGAAACTCCACTCGGATTTCACTGCAACCGATCGACCATTTTTTAACCGGAGATTTGGCGCGCGCTTACACCTCTGCTATATACCTATTTTGTACCAACCAATAGAGTTAACTTGAAGGTGTTGCTGATTTGTTGATATTATAAATCAACTGTCATTATCAAGGTCGTCTTACGCGGTTTTAATCAGCTGATCTACTAACTAGTACTTAATAATGCTTTGATGAACATCCTAATAGTCATGTCGAATAGAATTAATAAAAATCTTTATTAAATGAAATGAAATATTATTCAAATGATATACTAAATGGGAAATGAACAAATAATTGAATTAAAAATATAAAATAAGAGAAACAGAGAGATTGTCCGCAGATAATTTCGAAATTAGGGCAGAGTTACAATCGGTATAAAATTAGATTGTGACTCACGAGTTCGCAGTGAATACATCGAAACTGGCGGAGTATTATTCTGGGCGAAGAATGCACGCCCACGATCAGCCTACGCGCTACCTGGACTCACCAACTAATAGATATTTTGGGAATATTTCTAGAAATCATTGACTTTAACCAATATATGCATAAAGTTCCTAACATACCATTGATTTATACTGGCCCATTTATATGTATGGATGCCCTCAGTTGTCAATAATGTATTGTGGTCTTATGTCTATTAATTTCTTTAACTTATTAAAATCATTGAAATATAATAAAAAATGGTATTGCCTCTTTTTACGTATTGGGGCTACCATATTAAACAATGAAATATTATAATACGAAAATAGTATTTCTGTTTCATGCATTTTTCAACCATAGTGAAAAGGGGATTTAGAAAATTTTTCTTGTTTTCTATTTTTTCTTAGTTAATAATCAAACAAATTGTAAAGAATATACCGAGAATTTAAAAATGAATGTCATCTATTCCCAAATCTGTCAATACTTAACTGAAATCAATAATTTACTTAATTTTAATACGAAACAATCGGACGGAATAACTTTTCCCGACTACGTACAGTAAATACAACAGGAAGGTTGATTTTAGCTGTTTCTATGTTCCACTGTAGCTGTTAAGCTACTGAACGGATATTGATGAATGAAGAGTCAATCAATTCGGTAAACGGTCCAAATAGGTTAAAATGAATATGGCGGATTATATAGAAAATAGGGATGTTAATTTTTTTGTAGTCTTATAGAGAGGGACTGTACATGAAAATATTAAAAAATCTGGCGTTTAAATATATAATATAACATCTATAAGAACCTACTTTGTACTTTAACATAACATAATTTTAAAACATATGAAAAAGTACAATTTAACTTGTTGGGTTAACTTTGATAACTTAACCCAAATTGGTTTTCAAACATTTCGTTGAAAGAACGAGAAAGGAACAAGCAACAGCGATGATAAAGAAGTAAATAATGGGCACTCAAAAAGAAATCTCTTATTTAAGTTTGTAACTCTCAGAACTACACAATGTCCGTTTTCAAGTTTTCATTATGAATCCCTATTTTAAAATTAATTATAATTAAAGATTAAAGTTAAGCCTTAGCTTAGATAGTAAGGTGGCTACGGTTAACAGTATGCAAAAATGAAGACACATGAAAATGAAAAGAAAATATGACTTAGTTAAATGAATGAAGGACACAAGGTACTTTTATAATTCAGTCTTTTAGAGTGACATTAACTTAGATTAAATAAAATAAAAAAGTAAGCGTGCAGGTACTTGCATTAAAAATAATTATTAGGTATATATATATATATATATATATATATATATATATATATATATATATATATATATATATATATATATATATATAAGAAGTAGTAGGTCATGGGATGCATATTAAAACAAAGCCACAGACAAAGCGCGTTCACCCGCTTCATCTATCCCTAATCTCTACCGATACATATTCCTACTGGTAGGGATAAAAATCTATGTATTCCATACAAGAGATATGAGTATATGGGTAGATGGAACAGGCATTTTAGAATGACGTCTTATCAAGTTCTGTTCTTTTTTTTGTCTTCGAAGGCAGAAGATCGGATGGGCCACCTCATGTAAAGTTGTCACCGCCGTCCATGGACATTAGCAGTGCCTCAAATATTAGCTTTTCGTAGAACACTCTATTTAAGCTTCGCTTGAAAATGACCATGTTATTGTTCTGAGCGAACACCGTAGAGGGTATCATTGCATAATTTTATTGTCCGTGGAATTGTGTTTTTTTTTATTTGGTCCAATGTTGTTATAAAGAACCTGAACATGAGTCTACAACATTTTCTTTTTCTGATCAAGGGGCATCCTTCGCCTTCTCAATTTACGATTTCGATGGCTCCGGCAAAATCGACGCCTACAACGTTGGCGACGTCCTGAGGGCGCTCAACTCAAACCCCACATTGGCCACCATTGAGAAGCTCGGAGGAACCAAGAAGAAGGGCGAGAAGACCCTAACGGTAAGAAAAACTATACCTATACTTAACGAGACCTTGCGGTTTCACCCGCATTAATTTGAGAAAAAAGATTATAGTTGTCACCCTTACAAGATCGATATATGCTGTCGCGGCCGTTTTATATAATTTTATGTGTCCCACAGACAGACGGCCTGCGGCTACGGCCGGCCAGTTGTATTCGCTTGCAATGTAAGCAAGTGTTCAAACACAACCGACTAATAAGGGCTGGCCGCGGCAGCAGGCCGCCTATGTATGTAAGACCCATTAAAGGGAAACAATTTAGTCATACATGAGTTTTATGAAACTTTTACCGTTTACGGAGCGCAAGCAAATGAAATATGTTTTCCCGTTTGGGCGACATTTTTTATTAGTGCTCCGCTCCTATTAGTCGTAGCGTTATATTATAACACTATCACAAACTGTAAATATGTCAATAGATTTAAAATTAAAAAAAAAATCTACATTCTATTTATAGGTAGACCGCTTAACTGAGACCTCGCCTGCGGGGTAATGGGTTTGAGGGAGGGCTTGAACGGGGACCGTGAGAGGTGCGGGCTAAGGGCGCTTGCAATTTTGATAATAATGTGCCTGCCGCCCGCACCCGGTCCCCGTTTTCGTCCTCCCCCACACCCTTTGCCCCGCAGGCGAGGACTCAGTTAAGCGATCTACCTATAGTACGGTTCTTGCTATACCCAGATAAATGAGCGGACGAAAGGACAGTTAAGGTTTGGTGTCAATAACATTATTAAAAAACAGAGTAAGCAAATATGATACTTCATATTTTAATGTTCCGTTGTTATCCCTTGGTTAAGGAATCCTTAATTAAAAATAAATAAAAAAAAATATGATAAGCATAGTGCTGTGTAACTCAATAAGTGCAAAAAATAAAACCAATAATACATAATACTACATATTATAGTATAATTAATGATGTAGTTCATCACTTTAAGATTCAAATGTAAGTTGTCTGCGCTTTTCCCCTAATAATTTTCATTTGTCTCCCATTTTTTGACATTATCCAATATGAATATTGCCCAAATAAGACTACAGACTTATTTCACTGTTAAGAATACTAATTCTTATTTAAGAGGTTTTAAAGATAACTTAGGATTAATAAGTGGTATTTATCAAGCCATATCAGTATCATGAACTCTTGTTTCGATGATACAAGCACACAGATTCACTATAGTGATTTGTAAATATAACAATTAAAGTTGCGGGTGATTGTTTTTGACGGGTAACATGTTTCCTCTCGTCTCTTGCAATTTGTGGGTGTGATTTCGTGAAATAGGCAGTGTGAAACCGGAAGTCGGAGCTGCGATAGCGGGCGCGCTCTTTGATATGGTATCAGGTTATAATGTTAAAATTGCTTATTTCTTTTGAAGTTGGTTTTATTCTTTTAATTTTTTTTTACTGAGGCGGGATGTTAAGTATTACGTATACGACTACTGTTATTTTACAACGACCACACTGTCGCGCTATCGCGAATATTTTACCATTTTCACAACAATCAATAGTCAAAGGACAAGCAAAAGTCTCATTTTGGAACAGGGTCAAAAATGTGCCTATTGCTTGGTTAAATGCGCAGTGTAAACTGCAAATGTTCACGATATTGCAATAGTGTGGCCGGAGCATAAGGCTCACTTGTTTTTTTATAATTATTTTACAAAAATAAATAGTCTTTCTTTTTCGTGCATTAATTTATAAAAAAATATTATTGCCTACATATCCGGTTTAATAGCAGCTGTAGCAGCTGCTAGCATGTATGTAGCAGCTTTTTTCAACTTTTTTTTTACGAGTTACTTAACAAAAGATGTAAAGGGAAATATAATGATATTATTTATTTCCAGCCTAACTAAGTACTCGTAGGTAGTAATAACTACGTCGAATAATTTAAGTTGCCAAGAACTGTCATCTATAATACGTACTGGATATTATCATTACTTTCATTATTAAAGACGACTGATACTTGATATTTCTTAGGAAGTAATCAAGTCGAGCGGTAATCAAGGATATTGTTTCCATTAAGAAAATTAGAGTTTGCTATATTGTATCATTTTATGACGTGAAACATAATTTTGTGCGTGTTCAGTGCTTTCTCTTGATAACGTAATCAGATTATCTTATAAGGTGAAGAAAGCGATTCAAAAGTTTTTTTAAGCACTTAGCTGCAGTGCATCCGCCCGTATAGTGGATATTCTACTTAAAGATGGTAAATATAATTATAAAGAATCCATTATCGATTTCAGATCGAAGAGTTCCTTCCCATCTACAGCCAAGCAAAGAAAGATAAGGACCAGGGTTGCTACGAAGATTTCTTGGAATGTCTGAAATTGTACGACAAGAACGAGAACGGCCTTATGCTTGGCGCTGAGCTTACACACACCCTCCTGGCTTTGGGTACGTATCCAGTTCCTTAGTCTCAGCATCCTTATCAGCCTATTAATGTCCCCACTGCTGGGGCATAGGCCTTCTCTATGGATGGAATAGGCAGATTGGGCCATGACCCACCACGCGGACCCAGTGCGCATTGGTGGGTGCTAACAATTGCAGACGCAGCTGGGACCAACAGCTTAACGTGCCTTCCGAAGAACGGAGGAGTTTGAGATATTAAATTTTTGGTCACCCATCCAATGACCGACCACTGCGAAAGCTTTACTTCAACGATCGCAGCCTAACGCGCTAACCACTGGCGCCATCGAGCTCCTCTTTTGTCTATCTATTTCTTTTTATTTATTTCTTAACCCATTACAATTAACACACATATTTTAAGTTAACATTAATTGGAAATAGCACACAGCCCAAATCGTGAGGGACAATGTAATTCTGTAACACTGATAGAACAGGATAAAACAATTTTCCTAGGAGTTATGGTGACGGTCCTCCTCCTCGCGTCGTTTTTCTCATTTCCTCATACTGTCGTGGTTTCTCCGCGGGAATATTTGGTCGTTGACGATACTAGCCCATCTGTTCCGATCCTTATAACGATAATTAAGAAATATCTAATAGTAAATAATGAAACTGGACTGGGTGAAATCAATCATATGAGAATTTATGTAAAGTTAATAGTTTTATTTCACATTACATGTATTACGTACGACAACTAATTAGAAAAAAATCTACCATGTTAATCATAGCACAGAAATAAAGGTTCAGTGAGGTCAATGAACAAATATTACGTTTGGTTGCTAAAGTATTCGCTGATTTCACTGTCATTGCTAATTTTCAAGAGTATGCAGACATTTATTATATAAACGTCTGCCATGAAACTTGATTTATTGCATTTTATACTTTGCTTGCATTGAAATAAACTTTGGGAATTATGCAAATAGTTCTTTAGTTAAATTATTGTAGAATATTCAAAACAATACTTAAAGTTACAAGTCATTAATAACAAACTACAAGCTGTTGTTCGTTTTATTCAGATTTCGGAATAATGTTGCGTGTTGTATCTAGTTTATTTAACACGCTTAATAATATTTTACTCAAGGAGCAAATAAACGGTTTTAACATGGAATAGATTCATTAGGCGGACCAAACAAAAACAGTAAAGATGCTACACTAAAATCAATGTATAATATTCGTAATTGATTCCGAGAAGATAGATATCATCAACATCAACCACATTACATTTTACACAATTTGTACACCAAAAATTCGATGACACCTCATTGAGCATTTTTTAGATCGAATATGTTGTTGTAGAACGATAATGAAAATCATTGCAGAATCAGCACGATTCTGCAATGATTGTCTAAACCTAAAATTACAACAGTGTATCTTTGTCCATACCATTATACAGAATGAAAAGGAGATACCAATGTTAAATTTTGTTTTAAGTTTAGTGAATCGTGCCAGAATCGACACCAGTGACGAGTTATAAGCTCACAACCTCATAATAGTTTCCAAAACAGGACACTTACTTACTATTACTTATTTTTTTCCTTACCAGGCGAGAAGTTGAGTGACGCTGAAGTCGATGAAGTAGTTAAGGACTGCATGGACCCTGAAGATGATGACGGCATGATCCCCTACGCACGTGAGTTTCAATTTATTTATCAAAAGTAGAATATAATACCATTTTCAATAATTTATCAATCACATCCAGAATTAAGAATATAATCACACAGATGTAGTGCTTTTTATTAAATCTAATGTAATTTAGTAAATTTTTCACAAAATGTGCATGAAAAAAGTACTCGTGCCTGCATTGAAAGTAGAGACCCCAATTCAATAAGACATGTCTTAGAATCCAGTACATATAATGTAACAGTAGTTGAAATTATTCCTTGTTAAAAATATAATTACTTTTATACCCCGCATGAGGGATATTCTCGTACCTATACGAGTATATGCATGTGTTCCCAATTTTTACCCCATTATACATTTCCAGCATTCCTGAAGAAGGTGATGGCGTAGAAGAACGCATCTCGTCATATCTTTAGTTATAAGATCGTAAGTGAATTAAAAGATACAGCTGTCGCAAATCTATTATGCTTCGCCGGTGCTTACTCTATTATTATTATTCTTCCGATGCTTTTTCCGTTTTGTTATTGTCTATATTAATACTTTTCAATGTGTTTCTTTTATTCATATGAATTCTTCGTTCTGTATCTCAACAAATTCATTGGAAACTTTAATACCATTAAAACATTTTTCATTTACTACGGATTTATTGTACGGTTCCACAAAAAATAGAATTTGAATGACGAAAAGTCGTTATCATGTGTGGTAGTTCTACTACAGTAATTCCGTAGTTGCGTTTCTATCTTTTCAGTGTTCTGATATTAACCGACAGCGGTTTTTAAAAGATGTTTATTTAAATAGAGTTTACATTAACAGCTTTCCTACGGAAAATGTGCGACGGTTGGGGTGCAAAGCCGGAGGAGGAGGCGGCGCCCGCGGAGGGCTAAGCTCCGTCCAATTGTTGGAGCCGGACGCCGACCGCCGGACGGCGCTCAAACCGTGCCGTGCCGTGCCATCCGCCGGACGACGCCCGACCCGCCTCACCCCGCCGCACAACCCGTATTCACCATCATACATACGGACTCAATCCCTTTTTATACGCAACAACAATATTGTACAATTTACTACCGACGACTGTACATACTAAAGTAAGATTATATTAAACTACTGTAAAACACACGTTGTACGTGTCTTTTTCAAATTTTTATTATTTATTTACTTATTAAGTACTCGTTTATAATGATGATAAAAAAATACATAAAAACCGTAAACTATTTTATAATAAATTGTTAAAATTTTTGGTCTCGTCTCAATTGTTTTAGAACGGATTATTGATTATTCTTTTCATTTCCTTGGATAGGAATAGTCAAGATCACATTAAAATCAGGAAAATAAATATTTTACATACATTATGTAATCGTATTTGAGGAAAAAATCAGAGTAATAATGTATATACAATACAAATTGAAAAGGAGTGATTGATGTCAAATTTATTTTAAGTTATGAAAATCAGGCCCACTTTCGAAAATTTGCACTACATAGTTAAGCCCTAAATATTGAAGAAATAAAACGAGACAAGGAATGGTAATACATAATAAAGTCCGGTTTTTTTTTAAATAAATTATCACTTTTCAATAAAAATAACAGAGATTGGGGAACTAATTACAAATACTTAAAATCCGTAATAATGGTAAATTATTGAGCAATAGTGGATAGGCATTATTGATGAACAGCATTTGCAACAACCAAAAATATTATTAAAAACTATGCTGTGATAATTTTTGCAACAGGCAGTGCTATTAGCAAACATGTTAATGAAAAATAAACAATAACTACGTTAATTTAATTTTCTTATCATGAATACTGGATTAAATTTAGTATAGTGGCAAACGTACACAAGTGGTACTTGCTCCGAAAACTTGATTTTACTGGGAAATGTTGCTTGCGTTCGACCTTAGCAGTAAGTATATGAAGATTGCTTCAATAGGGATGATGACTAACGTTTGATTCTTCATCTATCAGGTATATTATCAAAAAGTATTTGAGACGTATTTTTTTCTTTTTTTTTCACAATCAAAACATTACAGAAATATATTAAAATGTCATGACGTGACTTGGTACAATTTTTACTTAGAAATGACGTCACGAGCCCCCACTACAATACTTTAACTTTGTAACTTTTTGGTTGATTGACAAATGAAATAATAGGTCTACATATTTTTTGATAACTAACGGACTAAATAGAATTCAAAATTCATTTACTTTACCCCGTCATCATCCCTTTTGCCAAGATCCAACAGACTGCCAGTATCTTCGTTTCTGCAGCAACAATTTATCGAAGGACTTCTTTACTTATTGCTTACTGCAAGCCAAAAGCTGATTCCGTCCATACATAAGTTATCAGATCTGAGATCCACACCCTCCAGTTGCAATAGTTCGGTTGTTCGTCCGATTTGACCGGAATTATTAAGTTATTTGTTGCAATAATTCGGTTAATACAAAGCACCGACCTAAATGAAACCATTGGTACTAGTAGTTTAGTCAATTAAAAGCGGACATTGTCTGTAGTTCTTAGCTCTCTCGTAAAAAAATAAATAGTCGTAACAAATGTAAAAAATTGTCACAAACTATCCAAATCAATAATTCCACGCGGATAAAGTCGCGGTTTAACTAATATTATAAAGCTGAAAGTTTGTGAGTGTGTATGTTTGTTACGTCTTCATGTCTATACTGCTGGAGTGATTTTAATGAAATTTGGTATGGAGTTAGCTGACACCCTGGATTAACACATAGGTTACGTTTTACTGCGGGAAAATATCCCTAATAAACAGTGGGTAACACCGCGGGGCACAGCTAGTATTATATATTTCCTTGGGCACATAAGTAAATACAGATACACTAATTGTAAGCACTTACAGTGCTTGGTTATGATTATGCGGATAAAATATAATAAAATAGGGACCCGTCCCTATGTTACGAGGTCCGGCAATGGAGAAAGCGAGTCAGCGGGAGTTGCTGCTGATCCTCAATAAAATAGTACCTATTTTTTTCTTAGATTTTCAAGCACACCACTCATTAAATAAAAGAAAGCTTCAACTAAACCGTTGAAGCTTTCTTTTATTTAATGCGTTAATTTATTTGTTTCTTGACGTTTCGCAACTTTTTCAGGCTGCGTCGACAGAATTATGATAACCTGAGTAAATAATAACAAAGCAAATTAACCCATTTAAACCGTTGAAGCTTTGTTTTACTTAAAATAGTACCTATAAGATCCTCATAAAATACAACTGGTAACCCTGACCTTTATGTTACCAGTTGTGTTTTTTTGATGATCATTTACAATTTTTTGAGGATCATTCAAACTCAGATTACAAAACCAAAGGCAATTGGAGCGCACGGAACACGCAATGCGTGGCATCAAAACAAATGCGAAGTTAATAGTAAAGATTTTTTTTATCTTTGTAAACAGTTATAACAATGTTGGAACAAGGCGGCACAGTTTAAATAAAAACTTAATATTCACGGGACGCATTCACAAGCACGTGTAGTGTACTGACGCGAGTTGATATTCGCTTTTGACTTCGTATTTGCTATGGTGCCACGCATTGCGTGTTCCATGCGCTCCATCTGCTTTTTGTTCTGTAATCTGAGCATTGAAATACATATTTTCATTTATTAATTTATGCTGAGCTTGAGTTATTAAACAACCAGATTGTCTAAGGTTTTTACAACTTTCTCTATAACATTTGTCAGGATTTCTGTTGGTAATATTATTTTCTGTTTATTCACTGCGAGTTCGCCTCTCAAAATTCATTTTTCGTAGTGACAGATTTTCTGTTACTAATTTACTCTAAGCATCAGCTTTATTTAACCGGAAATATATTTAGATCATCATCATCAGCCTATTAATGTCCCCACTGCTGGGGCACTGGCCTTCCCTATGAATGGAATAGGGTAGGGAGATTGGGCCACGACTCACCTCGCGGGCCCAGTGCGGATTGGTGGGTGCTAACGACGGCAGATGCAGACGGTACCAACGGCTTGACATGCTTTCCGAAGCACGAAGGAGCTCGAATAGTAAATCGAGATCATCATATTTAGATATATTAATATAATCTTATCAATCAAACTGAGAATAGTCAGTATTCTTATGGAAGAAATCAGTTTTTCGTGCAGCTTCTGGCTAAATAATATGATTGTTGAATGTGTGTGTGTTAATAAGATCAAAATTATCACCCAGAAATTTCTTAAAACTATAGAAAAAGATATGCCACTAAAATTATTCAGATAAACGAGTTCTTATATTTATTTTCTCGAGTACATTCTTAGTTATTTGAACGAAAAAAAAAACATAACAGTGAATAATAATATGGAACGGTTACTCACAACTAGGTTGATAAAAAGAAGACAACAACAACTAACGCTGACTTGTTTCAAAGATTTATTAAGAGAAAATGTTTTGAGCTTTCTTTTCAAACATTTCCTATTGATTACTTTTCGAAGCTAACAAAGCCTGGAATCTTATACAGAGTATGGTTAGAAAACAAATATCTTGGCTAGTAAACAACTATATTTGTTCATTCAACATCATATTAAAACGAGAGAAGGAAAGACCTTGAGATTAAAGCATCAGAGCGCCATATAACTATTTGCTACATAAGTAGTTTATTTTATCTCGATAGATTTTCAACAGATTCTGTTGAGAATAACTCCACAAAATAGTCAGTCAGTCAGACCACTTGCGTCCCCTTATTAATAAACGAAAAATAAGCTTGGGTTAGATACTCCATGTTTAGTCCCCTTCATTAAATTATAAATTGCATATGATCAAAACACGGCGTAGGTAATTAGTATCAAGCTTATTCCTTGTTTATTATTAATAAGGGTTTACAGTTCCCTTAAGTGATATGTGAAATTTTAGCAACTAACATATTATAATGTTTTCCTTTGACTTCAAAATTAAAATAAATGTCTAAATTCCCTTTAATTGGGTAACAGCAATATGATTAGATTTAAACATCTAGCAGTTAAATGCTTAAAAAATAAATAAAAACATAAAAAATTAAATTTTTTCAATGGTATGACGAAATGAAGTAGGTAAAACTCAATTCAAAAAAGGGTATTTTCGTATTTTTATCATCTTTGGTTCGTTGAGATTATCTTTATATAACTGTTTACACTTATCGGAATTATTCCAGAATTTGGTATTGAGTATAATATGTCATGTATAAGTATTTTAGACTATTAATCTATATTTGTATTAAGCGGAAATATCTGTTGAAATACTCTAACACCCTTGATTGAGGTTTGCCCCTTTGTTCAAAATAGCAAAGGGATCTTGACTGGTCAATGGCCGTTTCAAAACAGGGTCATTCAGGGGCGTCGTTTGCCAAATTCACCCTTGCGCGAGCCAAGAAAAATGGCGCGCAAAGTGTTTTCCCGGCATCAATACGAACGCAATGCTACGGATATATTCGGAGAGTCTCGGCAGTATCCGCCGATTGCAGCGTGTGAAGCTGAGGAAAATGTTGCCAGAGTCTGCGAGACTCCATTATATTTTTTATTTATTTATGAGACACTGTCTTGTCCGGCCAAAACACTTTCTGCTGCCATTTTTCTTGGAAAAGGTCGACTTTGGCAATCGAAACCCAAGATGACTGTTTAGAAATGGCCAAAGACGAGCCGAGAGAACCTTTTGCATTCTTATTTTGTACAATTTTCAGTATTTACACCTTAAATTAACACAAGAATAATAAAACTGGGTAAGAATTCTTGTTGTTATAATTATCGATCCTGACCTGACCTGTTTTGAATCTACAGAATAGGCAACGGTAGAGGACACTAAGATAAAAAATTGTGTGTGTCAGCTCCGACGCACGACTGGAGTTTACTCCTTAAGTTCGATAGTCTAACCAGACGCAAAAAGAGTTTATTTAACTCATGGACGTATAAAAAAAGGCGGACAGAGTCCCGGCAAACAACAAACTGTGTCGCTCAGAGTCGGCCAGGTCGCTATATGTACAAGCCGGCACACACACATTCACACCATAGTCAGCCATTACGCGTGCAAACGTCAAAGCAGCCGATACGTTAAGTGGAGATAAAAATAAGTTAAAACAAGATGTCTTGCGTGGTAAAATGGTGTAAAAACCGTAGTGACCGAAAGAAAAAAAATCCAGGAATCACGTTTCATAGGTAAATGAACAATATAATCACTTTTTTCTAGTTTTTAGAAATCGAAATCAATTTTCATTCTAAGCACAA